GGTTGCAAATGGCATCGCTGTTGTCAGAGGCAGACACACAAAAAAATGCCACACTGCTGAGCTCTGCAATGACGGCATTCTGGTGGTGGCAACAGCATGCGTTGATTGGCGTGCTGTCTGGCTGACCCCGGGTGCCGATGCATGCTGTCTGACTGTGCCACTAGCTCCTTGCGACGACCTCCCTCTGCTTCCAACTCGTCTCCTCCTCCTCCTCTCTGTCTCCCCATCTGAACTTTACCCCTGTTCTTCTTCTCTTCTAGCGGGCACCCACGTGACATCCACGGACGCATCGTCATCATCAACCGCTTCACTTGTATCTGACAACTCAACAAAGGAAGCAGCAGCGGGTACAACATCATCATCATCACACCGTACGTCCATGTGTGTAATGCTGCCTGACTGAGACATATCCCTGTTATCTACATCTTCTGGCAATAATGGTTGTGCATCACTCATTTCTTCCAACTGATGTGTAAATAACTCCTCTGACATACCAAGTGAAGCTGCTGTGGTGCTAGTGTTGGTGGTGGCGGCAGGCGGGCGAGTGGTAACTTGAGAGGTGCCCGAAGCTAAGCTGGAGGAGGATGGTGCGTCAAGGTTCCGAGCGGAAGCTGTAGAAGATTGGGTGTCCTGTGTTAGCCAGTCAACTATGTCCTCAGAACTTTTCGAGTTCAGGGTACGTGGCCTCTGAACACTGGGCATTATTCTAGGGCCAAAGGGAATCACAGCACCACGACCACGACGGCCCCTGCGGTGGCCTGCCTCTACCTGTAATTTTTTTTTCGATTAGTGGTACTATGTGTGCAAGCTACTGTGACAACAGATATGAGTGGCACTGTGCAGTGGCAGAAGTTGGCAGAGTAGATGCTGTAGGCCTGACACACACACGCTTGCAGACAACTAACTGCTATTCAATCTATTACAGTCAAAATTGTATTTTTTTTATTTTTTTTAAATGTACACTACTGTTACACCAGATATGAGTTGCACTGGTGTGACACTGTGCCCTGGCAGGCCCTGAAACGCACACGCCTGAAGGAAACTGACTGCTATTATATTACAGTCCAAAAAGTTTTGGTTTTTTTTAAATGCAAGCTATTGGGACACCAGTGAGTGAGTGGGGGCACTGGGCAGGCCCAGAAACGCACACTCGTGAAGGAAACTGACTGCTTTTATATTACAGTCCAAAAAGTTTTTGTTTTTTTTAAATGCAAGCTATTGGGACACCAGTGAGTGAGTGGGGGCACTGGGCAGGCCCTGAAACGCACACTCGTGAAGGAAACTGACTGCTTTTATATTACAGTCCAAAAAGTTTTTGTTTTTTTTTAAATGCAAGCTATTGGGACACCAGTGAGTGAGTGGTGGCACTGGGCAGGCCCTGAAACGCACACTCGTGAAGGAAACTGACTGCTATTATATTACAGTCCAAAAAGTTTTTTTTTTTAAATGCAAGCTATTGGGACACCAGTGAGTGAGTGGTGGCACGGGGCAGGCCCTGAAACGCACACTCGTGAAGGAAACTGACTGCTATTATATTACAGTCCAAAAAGTTTGTTTGTTTTTTAAATGCAAGCTATTGTGACACCAGTGAGTGAGTTGTGGCACTGGGCAGGCCCTGAAACGCACATTCATGAAGGAAACTGACTGCTATTATATTACAGTCAAAAACTTTTTGTTTTTTTTTAAATGCAAGCTATTGTGACACCAGTGAGTGAGTGGTGGCACTGGGCAGGCCCTGAAACGCACACTAGTGAAGGAAACTGACTGCTATTATATTACAGTCAAAGAAGTTTTGTTTTGTTTAAATGCAAGCTATTGTGACACCTGTGAGTGAGTGGTGGCACTGGGCAAGTGGGCACAGTATATGCTGTGAGCCTGACACACAAGCTGGCAGGCAGGCAACTGCAATTACATTACACAGAAAAAAAAAGCAGACTGATGTTAGCAGAGATCAGATGAGTCCTTCAGGACTGTAGTGGACACTGAATACACTAGCCTAGCTATCAATTTCCCTATCAAATCAGCAGCAGCTACACTATCCCTCCTCTCACTAAGAATGCAGCTTCACAATGAATGTAAAATGGATGCTGTCCAGGAGGTGGGAGGGTCTGGGAGGGAGGGTCTGCTGCTGATTGGCTGGAATGTGTCTGCTGACTGTGAGGTACAGGGTCAAGGTTTACTCAATGATGACGAATAGGGGGCAGACCGAACAGCGCATATGATCGCCGTCCGTGGCGAACGCGAACAAGCGATGTTCGCAGGGAACAATTCGCCAGCGAACCGTTCAGGATATCACTGTTACAGAGATATTGAGAATTTAATAAGACAGGGCTAGAAAATGGCATGTCCATTGTATGTTATTATAAGAGCCCCATCCATCGCCCATGGGTGGGGGATACAAGGTCTCCGCTTTTTTTTATTATTAAGAGCCCCAACCCACCACAACAATTGGTGTCCCCCCTCCCCAGACATATTATACTAACCCCCACCTGACAACCATCTATGTGAAATAGGAAATACTATGCCCCCATATCTAAAATTAGTAGCTCCCTATTTTTTTTTTTAAATGTAATTGCTCCCATCCACCTACCAATTTTTAATTTAAAGCTCCCAACACTCAAAACTCAATGACTGATCAGTTGCTAGTTTGAAATATTTAGTATATTTGCTCCCACCATCAGCTGCTCTAAAGCCACCGGAGTCATCGCTCAGCCATATAATTTCAACAAAATATTTAAAATGGTGGGTCTTGTTCACCATTAAATAAATTAGATTAGAAGTTATTGCTTTAAAACATCAATGGGGGGGGAAAAAAACAAAAAAAACTAATTCTACTAATCTAGTTAGATGATCACTGTGATATTTAATAAAAAAAATATAGAACACACTTTTTTATATTTTTCATTTTATTTGATTTTTTTTTTTAAATTACATTATGCTCTAAATTTCTGCTTGTTTTAGACCAGTTCTATGATCCTCATTTTGTTATTTTTTTCCAGAAAATAATCAAGTATTCCTTTATACCTACAAGCTGTTCACCCTTGAGAGTCTTGTTAGCACCATTTTTGCAAGTATGCAGTCAGCGGTTGGTGGTTCCAAAATGGAACAAAGCTGTGGTCTGTAGGAGGCGGAGGTGAGGAGAGTCGACCATTCTCCTAGCTCTCAGGTCAGATGTAAGTACCACCCCTTTGGGTGTTATACCGATCCCCACTGGGGGTGATGTCACACTCACCTTGCCAAGATCTGGCGGTTCCCTTGGAGCTGGCTTTCTGAAAAATGCAAGCTAAGATGGCCGTCAATGAGATGGTTATAATAAAGGCCTCACAGCAAGAATGCCTCAGTCATCAGTCTTTTAAGCACCTCTGGGCGCAATTCTGGAGTTGAATACAACAACAAATGGTGAGGTCTCTTACAGTAGCTTTACTCCAACCTGACCCAATACACATTACAGCCAATCTAAGACCCGCTGGGCGAAATCATGACGCAGTGTTGATGATGGGGTAGTGGAGACCTTCCTTAGCCACAGTTCAACATGGGATAATCCCATACACACTGCTCATACCCTCGGATGGCCCTGACAAGGGACTTGTGAAATCGCTATCCTGGACTGTATTTCGGCTCGAGGCTGGTGGGGTACAGTTAAGAGGTACTCTTATACACACTCTCACCAGTACAGTATACATTTTATGAAAGGCATAGACTGAGCATATTGCTAAATAAAAGCAGTTCACAATAAGCAAACGTGTTCTAACTGCTCTTTCTTCCTATATTTTCATACCCAGTGAACATATGTTATTTGCAAAATGTCAGTTGCTTTAGCCTGATTTTCCTCATGTTTCTTTTTACTCCCTCCTGACATTTTTTTCTCCTCTTGCACTTGCAGCATGAGTATTCACTTATTTATTACGCTGTCAAGGCAGCTTTTCTTTTGTTCTATTAGTTCTGATCCTGTTCATGGACTTGATATATCTGCTTAGCTTGATCTATCTTGTTATATGTTTACCAAAAAGTGCACACTCTCTTGACATTGCCAACTATGCTTATGTGTCTCCAATTGATGTTTACGTGTATACAATATGTCATTACCAACTCTTGTATTTTTTACTGCACACCAAAAAGAATGTAAAAAATAAAAACAATAACATTTTGATTGCGTATGAACAAGTTGAGATGGGTGAACGTTATCGGCCAATTGAGTTATTGTATTATGGATAGTGCACATAGATGCGTATGAACAAGTTGAGATAGGTGAACGTTATCGGCCAATTGAGTTATTGTATTATGGATAGTGCACATAGATGCACTTTCTTAAATTATATAAAAACTATAAGAGGACACTGATTGACTGTTAGGGTGGAGTCACGTCATCAGGTCGGGTCATATTGATCTCATCTTGGCTGAGCTAGGTCCATACACTGCGCACTTCCAATCAGTAGGATATTTTGGGAAAGAGAAGGTGTGGTGATGAGTTGGGTTCATTATGCAGACAATACTAAACGTTTTATTTTTTAAAATAAAAAATAAAAAGGCTTGAGTGTGGAAGACCTATAGCATGAATATGAGGCCAAACAAATCAAATGCACTAAGTAGTGTTGCAGATTTTTTTTTCTATGTAGGTTAGTTCTTCAGTTATGTTTTGGGTGATGGGCATGCACTGATAGAATAACAATCTGAGTAAGGAAGAATACACACTGTCCTATGCAAGCTGGATGTACTGTCACTGGGATTCCTCCATTCCCAAATACAAATGTATATAAAGTATGGCCATTGAATTTTACATTTTGGTCCCTCATGGACCTGTGTTAAGGTTGGCTTAGTCAAGGTCAATTTGGAACTGAAAACTTACTGGGACCACACTGGTGGAATACAACTCTTCTGAAGCCATTTTCTGGTTTTGCGTAGACTATAATATAATGTCCTAAGCCCAAATCTCTATCAATCTTTGCAAAGCACTAGAAAAATACAGCAAATAATAATTCAAATAAAAGCAGACACTAAAATATTTAAACCAAATTTTATTTTTTTTGTAAATGAGATTACACACATTTTGCAAATGTACATGATTATGAGTAAAAGACAAATATCAATAGAAAAAAACTATAAAAGGAGAAAATCTCTGCTGAACAGTACCAAACAGTAAGAAAGATTTGATTAGTTTGTGAGGACTTGAAAGCAGATTACAATGGTGCATAGGTCAAAGGAAGGAGTCATAGTGGTTGTACGAAAATGGTACTAATGTATGTACTAAGTAGAGTGAGAGGTGTGCCTGAGGTTTTAATATAGGAGGTTCATGGTTGCAAAACTGGAGCAACACTGTAACATATTGGATCCACTCATGTTAACTAATTTAACCACAGTTCGATTCCTGTATATTCTTAGCGACTTGTGGCATCAGTTTCGCACAGACACACATACAGTGATTCCCTATTTATTGTATCCATTTCAAAAACAGCATTACATTATTGGCAATAAGTTAGCCACGCAACATTCATGAAGGCTTTGCAATAAAAACACACAGCTGAACGCCTTCCTAATTCTTAGCTCTAAGATGAAATGAACACACTAATTTATTGCGAGTCTTTCACTTCTTATTTTAAATTTGTTCATCTTTTATTTTTACATTAGATGCCTTAGTACATATCTTCTCTGTCAGCACTGGGATAAAAGATAAAGGGCTGAGAATACATGTTATGCTTTTAAAAAGGAGGACTCCACTATTGGACCAATTTATGTCCAAACATGTGTGGTAAACGTGTGACAAAATCAGCCAGAAGGTTATGAAAGTCGTTAGGTAAATAGTTTCTCATAGGAAATTCCTCCCAGTTGGATACATACTAACACAGGGTAGGCAACCCCTGATGCTGTTTACTACATCACCCATAATGCTCTTACAACCATAATGCTTGCAAAGCAACAGAGGACATGTAGTCCACAATATCTGTAGTGCCGATGGTTGCCTACCCTTGCTAAAGTATAGCTGATTGCAAACCAAACGTTTTTTGTGCTCAATTAAAAAATATATATATGTGTAGATAAATATTTGCATTGGAACTTGATTTTTAGAGTTATAGCCTCTATTGTTGAGAGGTAAGGCCTCCCATTGTCTACTTTAATGTGTCCCACTTGGTTGTAGAACTTAACTATGGCTGGAATTGGTCATCCATCTTAAACCAATCTAAAAAAGCCCTTTTAAACTATTGTAACTATTGTTACCATTCTGGCTATTTTAATATTACCATGGTGAACAACTTCCCATTTAATTTGGCAATACTTTCAAATAAAAAATTATTTTGTGGCACTTGAGAATTTTTGTAAGGAATGTATAAAGCAACAATATTTTAGACATAATTTAATTTCATCTTGATAGACACAGACAATTTCTTATAGCATTAAACGGTCTAAAATGTCTATAATGATAACACTAATGAACATTGCATTCAGTTATTTGTCAGGTGTTTAAACACTGTTGTAGTGTATCTCTTTGTACTGATGTAAGAAATGGAACAATAAATACATATTCAAAGTCCAGTTTCAGGATCTTAGCCCACATCACTTAAAAGGAATGGAATACAGATTTCTCCTGTGATAATTGATATTTTTGTTTTTCATTGAAAATAATTTGAACTGTTGGGCAGTGTCAGAAAAAGAAATAAGACTCCTCTGGCATACCATCTGTTGTAGATTTGTCCATAGCTGATGTGGTGCCAGTTCAAAACTACCTACTGTTTCTTGTGATTAGCATATTCTAGAGCAGCACCATTTGGCCCTTGGCCCTCCACGTGTGTGAAGCTACAATTCCAGAAATCCTCTGACAGCCAACTGCTGCAGTCACAAGACTGGATATCCCATTTCTTAGCCTATGTCTACCTTCCAAGTTATGCCAAACAATTCCCATGATCCTCAGCCATTTTGTAGCTGGATAAAGATTGGTGAACAACCATCGAGTTTGGAAACTGTAACAAATGGATCAGGGCTACCACTGCTCAAGAACACAAGTACATGGAGGGCTTGAGAAACAGGGATCATTCTGTAGTTATGCATATGTTTACATATTTATATTGTAGGAGAAATCTGCCTTTTAGATATCATTTCACCTGCAAATTACCTATGCCAATGGCTCCCCCTCCCCAAAAAACGAAGCGTTTTATGAGAATACCGGATTTTTTTGTTATTAATAGTTGTCTAGATTGTTGAAGAGAAAAACGGTCATTGAGATTTCCAATTTTAAAGAAAGACAACTGAAACGCTTGACTTAATCACACTGAGTGCTAGGCTTGTGAGAAACACATTATTTAACAAAGCACCTCTACGACTTTGTGTAGCTAAGAGGGGCTTTGCACTTCCAGCAATTGTAATGTTTTCACATATGACAGTAGCCCTTGAACTTCATCTGTTTATAGGGCCCATATAGCAAATGTATGTTGAATTTATATTTAACATACTTTAAGCCCCTGCTATTTTTAGTTGCTTTTATCATACTTTCACCCACCAATTTCCTTTCAACCAACCCGCCCAGCACACCCTTTTCAGAGGTTCTATGCCACAACTTGTTCTCATAGCTTAGGCAAGTAGCCACATGGATTTATTTACATAATATAGCTCAACACTGCAATTTATCTCAGTTTAGACTATAATCTAGTTTCCTAAGACAACTTGGCAAGTGTAACAGCCTATATTAACCCATATCTTATGACAGTTAAGGAATAGAGACGTTGAATCCCTATAATTTTCCAGTATCAAAATATGTCCACGCATGCACCCCAAAAGTCTTGTTAACGAACAATCTACATCTTCTAAAATTACATCCACTATTCCACTAAGTACTTGAATCCTAAATACAACTATGCTTAACATCATTTGTTTAAACATCAATAAAGAGCTTTGCTGTACAGTTGATGGCATGGTTAAGTACTAAAATCCCAATTGGAACCCCCAATGCATTGCTCTGCAGTGCATTGGAAATTACACCTGGTAGTTTAGGAATTACAAAAAAGCTAAGGAACTCACCACAAATGAGGCATAATTATCAAAGATCATGCATGTGCTGTATACATTAAGCAAGAAATCATTGGCTTCAAGCTGAGCTATATTACAACATGATAGAGTGAAGACGGCATGAGTGAACCCTTCCATAATTCACCAGTTCTGAAAATATTCCAATCGGCCCCTTTTTAAAAATCCAGTGGGTTCAGTAATACATATAGCAATGCATATTTAAGCGGATAGTGATGGGATATTGATTGGGAAAACTGACTGACTAATTTATAGTTATTTCCCAGGACATATCGTATACATATTAAAATTGGGTTGTTATTTACACTATATAGGTCAACATATATTTTTAAAAAGAGACTTAATATATTAAAAAACCACAGTTCCATCCTGCAGTATATAGTTTAGGTCTCAGTTTAAAGCAATGACTAATTCACATTTCTAAATACATGTAATTGTTTTTTTTAATTCTAGTTTTGCATTGTTGACATTTTATTTTCTTAAATATGGTATAGGAAAAAATGCAGATTAAATGGTTTGTCAGTTAATAATTGGGAGAAAAAAAACTTGCTGTAATTATTTAACTTTATTTAACATTCTAGAAACAGCTGGATTGTGCCCAGACCACTACATATCCTAGAATTTGGATATTTTGTTATGACATACTCATTGGTATAAGGTTAAATTGCGCTAATATTTCTAATGGGCTATAACCAAAAAAACTTGTTAAAAATGCAAGAACTGGTGAAGGGAATTTTGTATATTTTTAGTACATGATCCTTTTTTAAACTTATACGGCAGTGTTTCCAAAAGATCCTTAGTCCTCACTTAGTTACCACGTTCCATTCATTCTTATTAAGCTCTGTGCAAGACAGAGCCAGTATACATCCACTGAACAGTGCTTTATCAAAACTAAAATAAGATCAAATACAGTATAAAAATGTTTTCTTTAAAAACAGTCTTTATACACATGATAAAAAAGGAGACACAACTTGCATTAATGCTCAGTAAGTAAAACCATTATGTGCCTGGCTTTTATCCCAGATAAATAGCCAAGGGTATCGCATTAAATGTTTCATTATGTTTTTGGCCCTCTTTTGCTGCACAGTATTGTGACGCTTCTGTGACTATCATCACAGCTGGTTCCGATAAGCTTTTACAATCAAAGTATTGCACACCACTGACGCTCCAAGGGTTAGTAAGTACTTTTAGTGAATGCCGAAAACATTCAGTACACATAATCCTTTATCCAAAATACCTCACCCCTTTTTGGCAAACCCCTTTGCACCCTGCAAGGGGAAGCCAAGCATACAATTATCCAATGAACAAAGTTTCTAAACATATGTATCAACAATATTGAAAATTATATAAAGTGACTTGTCGTGGCAAGTTAATAGCTAAACCCTATCAATAACAGAGGGTTTGCAATGCATCCTATTTCTTGTAGCCAGTAGGTAAAATATTGACCTATGTACTTAGACAATGACAATCACTACAAATGCTCAGCTAACAATTTTCAGATTCTTACAATTTTAAAACCCAGATGGAATACCCACTATTCTGAATTCTAGGGTATATCATTATATGATTTAAAAACAAAAAAACACCATTGTAATAAAAAGTTTACTTATTAGAAAAAAACTAAATCTTGAGCCTTTAAGGGTATTTTAAGAACATAACTGTACTTGTATCTACAGTCTCTTGCACTTAGAACACCATATCTCCAAGCATACATCTAATCTCTTATTTTAAAATCATGGACCTTGTATAGAAACTGACATGTATCAGAAACAAGGAAGTTGTCTATATAGCTACCATAAGAATAAAGTATTACATTGAAACTTAACACTATATTTTGAAAATCTGATAAATCATTACACATTTTGACCAAATTGTACCCTCTATAGATATGTATAATGTGTGTCATCTTATAATTCTGCTAAAGCTGTAATGGGGTTTCAATAAACATCCTTAATATAATTTGGCAGGTTGGTTAAATACAGTTGAACAATAATATGGCACAGGAATTTATCCTACTAAACTGGCATTATATAACGAAAATACTCAGAGGTTTGTCTGGACTAATGGAGGCTTTTCAGCTACCTTAAAATAACTTACTATATAGTAATTTAGTGACTGGTGCAAAATGTGAAAATCAGCAACTTCAATAATGATGTGTAACTTTGTGAGGGCTATTTACTCAATTGAGAATTCAAAACGAATTTCAAAGTTAACGTCAGAGTAGTCAAAATGAAAGCATAGTTTGTCCATTTTAACCTTAAAACTAAAATTTACTTTGATTTCTCATTTTAGTGCATAACCCTTTGTATATTCTTCTGGCGGTATGTCAGGCGTAATCTTTAGAATTAAATGGGCCGACAAGAGTCTCTTTAAGGGACAGATGGAAAATTATTGCAAAACATATAAAACTCTGTTCAGTTTAATAGCAATGGCTTTATTCTACCCAACCTTGCCATTATTCAAGAATTTAGAAAATATCACACTAAAATCTCTCATAGTTCATTTGAGGTTTATCATCTTTCTCTTTTGCATCAGCATGTTTGTAACAATAACTATATTTTTGTCATATTGTCAATCCAGATTACAAATCTGTTCTTTATAACAAATATAATAATATTATTAAGATATTTTCCAAGGGAGACTTTGTTACTGCAGTTTACTACAGAAACCAGAGAAAAAGCAGGTCAAGGTGCTTAGCTGGGACTGTCCTTTCAGATCTGGGACAGTTGGGAGGTGTGGCATGAACAGTATAATTGTATTTACTTACTGCAATAGGCATGCATTTAACATGTTAACCTTGTGAGAGTGTCCTTTACCTTGTTAACCCTATGAGTGCCTGGGAAGAGAGAAATGCACAGTTAGGATTAATGTGTGGTGTCCTTGTACTTTAACGTTCCCCTTATTTGTCTGATCCACTCTTATTGTATTGCAATAATTGTAACCATTAGGACTACTTCTAAGTACAAGAAAATAAATCTTTACATTTGTTTCCTCTCAGATTAAATGTAAATTATACCCTTACAAACGGCTCAATATTTCTACTCTTCACAAGCCCATGGCAAGTTGAAATTCACTCTTAATTAATGTGCCATGGACCTTTGCATTGATAAGTAACCTTTAGGCCTATCTAGTGGCATAGGACGTCAAGTTTGAGCCCTGCTCAGAATATAAATTCTAGCCTTAGTAAAGTTTGTATTGACTCGTATCATCAGCCTCTGCTAGGTAATGTGAATATAGTAAGCAAACATTACTGCTATCAGTTATTTTTCACCATGCAAGCAGACCCACCCTCCAGCCATTTAAAGGTAATTTTGGCGTCATGGTTCAGAATATGAGATTTTTTAATTGAAAAGTCAGCTTGGTTTTAGTATTAATCAATGGCTTAGGTATATGTTGACCATTGTCTAGTACAAAAATGTGTAACACAATTTTTTTTTTAGGCTATAATACCCAATTACTTGCAGGTGTAATAACTTTGATTAGGAGTCTAAAACATGTTTGTGCATCTATTTAAAATTTTTAGCAAGCTCCCAGTCAAAAAATGGCTACCATCACAGAAGACTTTTTCCTATGACTTCACTTGCTTTCCAATGACAGAAATCTGGTCTTATTATATAATGGCAAGTTTAATATGGGAAATGGAAAACTGTTTTAGGCCTAGTGACTACAAGTGCTGCAAACTCTTAAACGATACTGTGTCCTGCTAGCCTATCAAATGTATAGCAATAAAAAAGTGCGTGCTGACAACAGGCGTAATGAACTTCTTCCCTGTAGGCAAGCAACTATGCGTCTCAACAGACATTTTCCCCCTCCTTTCCTAATGACAGCCCTCTCTTCCATCTTCCCTTTCTGACTCCTCCTTACATTATGTTATATGTCTTTTGCAATTCTACTTCTGTCTTGCTCCAGCTGCCATTTGGTTAGACTCAATTGTATCCAATGCTTCTCTATCAAAGGAAGGTGATTGGCACAATCACAAAAGGTCCAACTCTAGGAGAAGCATTTCATTTGACTGAACAGATAAGGATTACACAGAGTGATGATGGAGATGGTGTGGAAAAGATTTGCAAGAACTTGAGTCTGTACGTATCGTGTACCTATTTGGGTATTCCGTGCCTTAGATTGATTGTTAGGATTGTTAATAAGTATGATTTTGGGTCTGACAAATGTGATTTATGTATATGTTACTGATTATTGTATTTAGATATCTAGCTTAACAGGTATATTCTGTATATGCCTTGATTTTTTGGATAACATTTAATTTTGTTTGCATAATAGAGTTGGTTTATACTTTTATTGGCTGTGCTCCACAGTTTTGTTTGATTCATGGTACTTTTAGACTCTATATGGAATAGAGTCGTTGAGTGAGCACTAGTGATGTGCCGAACGGTTCGCCACGGACGGCGAACATAAACATAAACTTTGACCCTGTACCTCACAGTCAGCAAACACATACCAGCCAATCAGCAGCAGACCCTCCTTCCTAGACCCTCCCACCTCCTGGACAGAATCCATTTTACATTCATTGTGAAGCTGCATTCTTAGTGAGCTGTCCAGGAGGTGGGAGTGTCTGGGAGGGAGGGTCTGCTGCTGATTGGCTGGAATGTGTCTGCTGAATGTGAGGTACAGGGTCAAAGTTTACTCAATGATGAGTCCGCGGCGAACCGTTCGGGACATCACTAGTGAGCACCCTTTTGCTTAATTTTTATTTTTGTGATTATATTTTGTGTTTGTTCTTTGAAAGTGCGCGCTCTCTTGTAATTTTTTGGGTGGGGTGGGAAACCAGTTGACAACTGCACAATTAAAGCTAAATTAACAAAAGTTTAAAATCCAGTTTCACATTTACAAGGTTATTCACCGAAGCGTGAATTGTTAGCAATTTAAAGTGAATTTCAATCTATTGGATAAAAAAAAAAAAAAAGTGGTCATGAAAAACATAGCAGACTTGGAGAAAGTATTCAATTCTGTTTTATTATTTGCTATTTTGGCCTTAAATTTAAAATTCACTCTTACTTTCTGCCAGTTCTCACTTTAGTAAATACTCCTGTTAGTAAATACAGCCATTCCATATTTTGTCAACCACAAATCCTATTTAAACCTTTTGAGAACCATTAGAATAAGAGAGGCATAAAATTGATATTTACTGCAGTGTTGAAATCCCATATTTTCGCATGTTTGCCTTAAAATAATGTCTGTAAAGTCATCATAAGATGTACTTGCATTTAAGCTTAAGTCCAGATGCGTCATTTCTTTTCTTTTTTTACTTGTACAAGCCTATCTTTTTGTGTTGTGACATTCATCATTTTGATTCTCACTGGCCAAAGAAAAAAAATTCTTTGAGGCTTTCTATGCAAAGCGGTGTCTTGTCAAGAAACGTCTACTTAACCTGACATGTTAGGTGAAGCAGAGAATTTGAGGCCTATTACGTTAACTGGCCCATGAAAGAAATGACTAAATTAATTGAGTGACAGAAGCCAAAAAGCAAATCATTAGTGGGGATTTTCACTAAAAGGTACCAGTGACCTATAATTATGATAACAAAAGCCACAAGCAATTGTAACAACGCCTTAAAGTGGGAAAATATTTGAAACTGGCATTTATATGTTTTATTATATTATTAAAAGAGATTTATAGATGTAGAAATCGAACAACAAACTAGATTCCATTTTAACAAGAGCACATTACAATGAACTATAGTAGCATGTTCTGTTAATAAAAGAAAACAACTGAAAACAGGATTAACAGGACACGTTGTTATAGTAGTTATGGTGCCGAGGGACATCCGGTGGTAATCAGTCAAAACGTTCAAATGTTTTCACATTTACTTTGCAGAGTCAAGCTCCTGTGGTTCTGCTGGTCTAAATTGGTCTGTTTAAAAAAAAAATACACTACTGCATTATTATACCAACCCATAACAGGTGCCAGCTGCTGGGTCTCAACAATGAGTATTGTACAAATCTATTGTAAGTTGATAAGATAATGCATAACTATGAACTTATGATTTATCAGATCAAAACTCACTGGAAGGACTGGAAGCAAACACAGTTTATGTGAAACCATTCTGTAACCGTTTGACAGATTACATCCACATGGCATCCAGTTACTCTTCACCATAACCACTGCAGCACGATATAGTAGGTATAGTGCTTAGACGTAGCCTTCAATGATTCAAGGCACTTTGCACCATAAATTTAAATTCATGTACAGTTTGAAAAAAGTGGACCTAAATTTACCTTATCACATTTCAGTCCATAAATAGTTTAAGAAAAAAAGTGCAATGGTTTGTGCCTTTTTTAATGTAGTAAAATTTAGTTCTAGCCACATATTGCTAATTTAGCATCTTTGTACTCTTGTAATCCAAAAGTAAGTTAATAAAAATGTCAGTGTGATTTAGAGCTCTGGATCAACTTTAAGGGTGGATGAGAGTTTTGGATCACAATATCATCAATATTTATTAGCAGAATTAGTACAGTGTGTTCGTATATAGATGAGGTTTCCTTATACATTACCCTAATTTTCTTATTTTGACCGACACAATGTCATCTGGCATTAGTCTTCTGTTTTGTTTCTATAATCTGCTCTAGGTGTGTGATAAGTGTGTTTACCAAATTCAGTGAGCCATGTTCATTATGTCTAGTGCCATCATGTTTGTTTGTTTTTTAAATTAATTTAATGGGTAGTTTGTTGAATTTCATGATCATTTTCATGTTTTCCACCTTAACTGTGACACTGCCATGCATTGTACGAAATTGTTTATTATGTAAATATACATTGAGACATATCAAGCAGGGTGTAAATGGTACATAACATTAATTAGTTCTCTGACTTGTCATTAAGAAGTTAATAGTTCTATTATCAAGGTGAGAACGATCATGGCAACCCCGGCTCAACTTAATATGTTTAACGAAAATAACTCCCTTCCCCCTAATAAAAAGATTTCTGATGCAATACTGACATATTTTATCACCATCAAGTAAATATTACTTGATGTTGATCAAATGTGTCAGACATTTAGGTAACATTATAATTCAATTAGAGAAAGACAGAAATATTTATACAGTCTGTCTAAAGCCATTTTTATCACTGAAAATAAACTCCTCCCTCAGATGATACATTGACACAGATCTGTTTATTGTTCCCATGCCAACTGATGTTTATACAGCCTAATGCAAATGTATTAATTTACCAAAATCATTTTGTTTAAAAGATAAAAGCAAAAGAGTGTGATTTTTTTTTTTCCTTGAAAACTGTTAAAGAAAAAAAAAGAAAAAGATTTTCCCGGTGTGAAGAAAAAAAAATACATGCAACTGGTTTACTACCCTTAGCTATTTAGAAACAGCAACAGTTATTTTTACTGGATTGGGGAGAGGGGGTTAATTTTACTTTGCACCTAGTTTTTTGTGTATTGCCTGAGCAGGACCTGAAGCAGTGCACAACAGGAAGTTAAGAGTGTAATCAAAAATTGCTTCCCCTAGGCTACTGGGAAAAAACAAAACAAAAACAATTGCATTCAGTTTTAAATACACTGCAATCTTATCAAATATGGCAGCCTTTATATGATTATTAAAAAAAATCAAATGTTATAAAATGTTCTTCCATATAGGAACTTGAAACATAGATATAGCATCCCTATAGTATAAAAAGAGTACTATATAATGACTGGCATTAGTAAGAAACCACATCTAATATGACTGAAAAACAGATTTATAATATTTACCGGACTGTATATATGTTAATAGTACAATACAAGCAGTACAAATAAATTAATCTAATGTACAGAAACACAAGTCTTAAGTTTTTACAAAAACCATATCAAAATGTTTGTTAAAAAAAAAAAAAAAAAAGTGTATTTCTTTCTTAATTCTGTAAATAAATGCTGTGTAAATCGGTTGCTTGTCCCAGAGTTGTTGTCATATTTTCTAAAGTTTGTAAAGTTGAAAACGAGGTCTTTATAAAAGTAGGTTCCTATAAATCTACTTTTAGAAGTGACAATAATAAAAAGTGTTATTTATTGATATAAAACATAGAAATTAAAACACAGTATCACAGTGTTTTCAGGGCTGGATATTACAAAAGAAATATAATTTAGTAAAGATAAAAGCTGAAATACAGGATTATTGTAGATTAACTTTTTACTTGCATACAGTTTCCGATTAAAAACCACCTGTTTCTCCCCCCTCCCCCCAGTTTCATTAATAGGCCACATTTTAGATATGGCACAGACAGATCAAGCTGAAAAACTCAGCTTTCAGAGCATATTTATCTCTATTTCAGGCTATCAAAATTAAAACAAATGCATGGATCAAATAGAAAGAGGGTTTCAAATATAGTAGATCTGTCCTTCTGTCTTGGCCCATATTTAATTTCACTGCATCCATGCAAACCAATAAATAAGCACACAATGACTGTAAATATGGGGCATGGTCATACAATTTTACATAACAGGTTTCTCTTGATCTACACATTTGATAGTAATTTTATTAGCAAATATATACTTTGTGTGCCTTCCCTAAAACACGCGAACTCAATTATAAGTGTTAATGTGTGCAGTTAATTTCAGTGCAAGCATTTCTATACAAAATCTCTCTCCTGATTAAATAGTGCTTTGGTGATTAGATTCACCATATTACCAGAGAGACAGGGTTGTCAATTCTAGAGTTCTATGAATCCACAATAAGCAGAGAGCTGTATTTCATAAGTCTGGGCCCTCTGACTAATAATGATGCATAACAGAACCTTTTGCTCCACGGCTCCAAAGATTAATTTGATTAAGCAATCTGTGGCCAGTTATATTTCAATGTATGACAATACTTCGAGGCATACATAGAATAGGCTGACTTGTATAGTCATTTCAATTACCACTTCTTACTATAGTGGAATTACTACTAAATATTACCTCCAATGGTATCATCCACAAATACAAATTAAATACAAATGTTATCACTGAACTGGTTTGGAAAGGATTGAAAGATTAATAAATACCAATTTTACAGGCCAGATTTAAATACCCAATTATATTAATCATGATCATCTACTGATTAATAACTTTCAAATTTGTTTCAAATAATTCAACCATCTGCTCTTTAAATTGGATTTTTCTTTTCTTTGGCGTGGGGCTAAACAAGAAACTGGAGCATAATAAAACATGATAGGGCATGACAATTGGAGGAGGAGAACTGAAATTGCCTTGTAAAAATAAATAAGGTGACCATATGGTTCCAGATCAGTAGAAATAGCTTGAACAACCCTTAAGTGATCTGCAGTATTCTCTCTAAATCTGTCACTGGACACATTACTAGATGTAACTAATCAAATATTAACCTGTTTTGTCTACCACTAGAACCAACAAAGTTGGTACTGAGTAAAATAGTTCATTAACCCTTTTAACTCTGCAAATTGGACAAACATTTCTGTTTCAGACTCTCCATGGTACAGAGAGTGTGATGCGTTTAGTGTGATTCAGAACACCATTTTCAACCTTGACATTTGTTAAAAAAGAAAATCTATTAAAATCCCCATGATAAAATCACAAGAAAAGCCTTGGTGTTTCAAGGTGACATACAGTTTAAGGCACAATTCAGTAAAAGTAGAATCAACTGGCAGCTGAATTGATTCATCCATATCAATATTTCATATTGAAATCTGCTATAATTATTCTTAAAATTCACAAACAGAAAAATAATATTACGAATTAAAAAATGCACTATCTTGAATGAAACAAAAAACATTCAAATTAGCAGCTGATGTTTCCATAAATCTGCAGTTAATTTTAGAATGGTTCTAACAATTCAACTTTTTGCTACCGACCAAATTCACCCAAACATCATCTGACTTTTGAATTTCAACCCCTATTTGATTTATCTGATATTTTTACAGCTAGTCGTATATGTACCTTTTATGGAATGGTGCCTATACTATATCTCACCCAAGTTATGATATAAAGAGACTTTCTTTAAAGACCTTGCAACAAATTTCAATTTAATTATTATTAGGATTTATAAATTAACAAAAAGGTAATCCGTTTAGTTACCTTCAATAGAATACAAAATTACACACATAACCAGCAGTATAATCTACACACTAAACATTCCCCATTACACTTACATGTGTACTTTACTGTTAAGTTTTTCTTTCACTTACTAAACTTAACCAGCTATTTGTGTTATAGATGTTGTTAACGATAACACTGTCATCAGCTTGTAGAGCACAATGTTGTGTAACAAAAAACTCAAAAAATGACACACGTTGCATAAACATAAATTTGAAGCCTGCTTCATCACTATAAAACAAATGTTTATCACCCTTGCCAGATTGGGTCACATGGATTTATGGCACAAACAATAAATGACAGAAATAATTATAAAAATGTAACAGTGAAAGCTGTAACTGTATCCTTAGTTAAGAAAGCACCAATGTGCCCGGTCTGCTTCTATCCACTATGCGGTCCTACGAACTGGGACATGTTATACTGTAGCCTTTTACATGGAATCACCAAGGGAGTCAGAGTCATCCAGAGAGAGGGGAAGGTACAGGTCCTGTAAAAAGAAAAAAGATAAAAAGGAATGAGTTAAAAAATAAATACATTTCAGAGTATGAAGCTTATATGAAGACCATTTTATGGCTTGTTTACAAAAAACAAAGAAAACACACAACCTAAAATATGCTAGTGAGGATAGTACTTATCGCATATCATCAAAAAGAAAAAATATAGCTGCCTATAATTAAATTTTCAATGTCAGATAAAGATGGACTGTTCAGGCACATACATGCACATTTGTGTTTACATAAAACTATAAGACAGATGTTAAAACAGAAATGACAATATTTTCATTCACATGAGACATTTGTATGTATTAGATATAAGTATTCAAAAGGTATTGCTATCATTCTCATATGCAAGTAAATGATAAATTTAATTACTACTTGCTCGCTGGTAGCACTGACTGAATGCTGCAAATTCGGATGGCAGTTCTATTCAAGAAAGGGACCTAGTCCCACCGACCCCCACCAACTGGTGGCAGTTGGGGTCTATAATTATAATATTCAGGGGAGAGGAAATAGTGGGAGCTGTCAGAGTGCTCTGACTGTTTGGCTTACTAATCAACCAATCATAGTGCTCTTCCTCATATTGCATAGTGTAAGAAGATTTCCCATGCTTTACAATAGCCGACATATGCGGAACCCTCTATGAGTGAAAATTGATTAATTTAATTGTGGTGCAATCTTTTTAATATTTCTGCCATTTTTTTTTGTGGTCAGACTTTTTATTTTATCATAATCCATTGAACTGCGAGATAATGGATTTTTATTTGGGCTTTTCTGGGGCTGAATATAAGAATAAATAGAAGACTTCAAGTCTAATATTCTTTTAAACAGGTGCAAGTTTAATTGTTCCCCCACTATTATTTGGATGAGGAGGGTAAATAGGGTTATCTATTTTTATTGGTTAAAGGCTAGGGGATTGGAGACCACTAGCCACCAGAGGAAGTTGGCAATTCCAATATTTGTGGGTGTGGTGGACTATGGCATCTCCACCCCTTCCATTTTTTAATTAATTTGGGCCCCACCTGCCATCCAAGGATAGGGACTTGGGAGGGCATCAGTTCCGCCTATTTTTTTTTTTATTATTTGGATGGATGTACGGCTAGCAAGAAGTGACCAGGCGCCACATAATTACCCTCTTGGCACTGACTGTTATTTAGCGATTTGCTGCTAGCTGCTAGTTCTGCCAGCAATCATTTTGTTCAGATTTTATTTTTAGATCTGGGCCCAATTTGTAGCATCCATGCCACATTTGCAGGATTCGGGCCCGATTTCAGCCATTGCCAAGGTTGGCGGTGTTTGGCCAGGCTGAAATCTACACTAAAAATAGGCCCAGTCAGGGCCTGAATTATAAAATCTGGACTTTGTTAAATTGCATGAACAATTTCATTATTTTACAATCTGAATGGCCTAGAATGCAGAAGAATGATTTTGCCCCTTTTAGTGGAGGGCCATTCGGACTTTACTTGATTAACCCACCAATATTATGAACGAGTATAGACTAACCATGCATCTCAAATGGTACCTGAAAAAGTATCCTCACCATTTAATTTTACTAAACAGATTTCAATAGCATATATATGTAAAGTTTTTCCTGTCAGTAACAAGCATGTTTAATCAAAGGGTAATTGGGGGCACATGTACTTCTCAATAATGGTGCTGCCTTAGAGGTAAAAAAATTATACAAAATACAGATTAAGAATACACACATAAAAATACAGTGTTACATTTTCGAAGACTACTTAAAATCACCTATCTCTGTAAACAAATATGAGGATTCAGTTCCACAATATGGCCATTTTATGTTAAGTCCACCACTATTTCGCAATACCCCAATATTATATATAAATAAATTTTCACTATGTATATTTGGACCAGATCTGATTGCTTTTGTGTTTAGTACTCCGCCAGAACCCCTGGCTTTAGATGCCCCTTTAAAGGCAACCTTTGGATAGTAATGTCACTTTAATCATAATTTTAATTAGTGTAGAGCAGATGTATGGTATGCATTGTATAGGGCATGATACTACATTTCAGAGTATGAAGCTTATATGAAGACCATTTTATGGCTTGTTTACAAAAAACTAAGAAAACACACAACCTAAATAGTGTCAAAGCTAAACAAAGCGAAAGTGCTTTGAGATAGATCTATAGATATCTAGATAGATAGATATATATATATATATATATATATATCTATCTATCTAGATATCTATAGATCTATCTCAAAGCACTTTCGCTTTGTTTAGCTTTGACACTATTTCTTTTAATTGTCTTTATCACATTCATTTTCCATTATGTATATTCACAATGCTCTTACAACAGATTATTTATATGCACATTTAGCACTAGCACTATTTGTCTCCATCGTTGAAATGAGTGTAGGACGCATTTATATTGGGGTATTGAGAAGTAGTGGTACTGTATTTTCATGTGTGTGCTGTTCCTTAATCTGTATTTAGTAACAAGCATGTTGGCAGAGGGTAATCAATGAAGGAGTTCATTAATTACAGCAAGGATAATATGGGAAGTGGAACACTGCCTTTAAGTATGTTTCTCTGTGGACTGTACTGTTGTGGTCTTCTGACCATAAGAGGCTTAAAGCGATTTCTGCCAAGGCAGACAAGAGTACATGGACAGTTTAAATAGAGTGGGTATTCATTATCAAAGCAAATTCTACAACTATTTCAAACCACTGTTGGTCTTTGATATATGTATCATGCATCTTGTGTGTATTAAGAATTGTGGTTAACTGACCCTCTTATCATATTCTCATCATGATCAATCATGTCTGACACACTAGTACATTTAGACGAGTCACAAGACCAATCTCATGCTAAAATGTTTTCCTAATAAGAATTGCTATTGATTTTTTCGAATTTACATAACTATGTGTAGTCAGCATTTATTAAAATGTTATTACAGCTCTTGGGTATTGTACTTCTTGCACTTATTGCATATCACTGGAGAGGTCCCCTTGGACTACCAGCTGTTAAACTACAATTGTTAAACCATGATATTTTTTCACATTTAAACTTTATCAGTATAATTAATTCTCTTTTTATACATAGAATGTGTAGTTATGTTGTGTAGACAAAAAGTTAAATGTGGAAACATATGGTCCATAGCATTAGACCACGGATAGGCAACCTTCGGCCCTCCAGATGTTGTGGACTACATCTCCACAGATGTTATGCAAGCATTATGGCTGTAAGAGCATTATGAGAGATGCTGTCCAAAACATCTGAAGTGCCAAAGGTTGCCTACTCCTGCTATAGACTGAACAGGTCTCCATATGATATCATGAATGTGAACGTGCTTGAATGCGGAAAACAACATTTTGGTTTGGTTTGATGGCTGAGCAGGCTAAAAAAAAAAATGCCCCATTAGTGCATGGTTCACAAAATACTGCCAAACACAATACAGCGTACTGAATGAAAAGGTCTACTTTGACTAATGCCAGTGTCAGTCAATGGAGAATTACAAATATATAGTAAGATTGACTGGTACTGTATGAGCTCTAAAAATGTAGGCTTTGTTCAACATTATGCAAAGCAAGCTCAATGATTGTGTAGCAAAAAAGTGCACAATGACAAGCTAGCTAGCATCTGCTTACATTTGGCACAGTTCATATTTGTGTATCTATAGATAGGCTCCAAAACAACAAGGGGGGCTCAGATTTTGAAAGACTACGGATAAGTATGAAACTAATGTAATGCCTTAATTACACATAGATTGTTTTCATTATAGTAGTAAATCCACCCCACCAAAACTCATGCTAATAATAAGATTAATAATGATATTAAAAAAACAAAACAAAACACAACTAATAATAATTAGTCAACAATACTAAAGATGAAAGCAACATTTAAAACAAATAATTTAAAATTACACTTTTTTTCTAATAAGTTAAGTTTTTTTCACTAAATAGAGAGTTATTACGTTAGATGGTTGAAACTCAGATGAGATTAGGTTTTTGTTAAACTATTTACATCCAGCTTGCCTCTAACCAACTAGAAAGAATAATACAAATAAATGATAAAAAAAAAATTGCTGAAAGTGCAACTGTTGCTGGATCCCAGGAGCACGCCTGCACCCCCTATCCATTTATCCAATAATCAGATGTTAGAGGTTCGGTTAAGGGGTAAGCTTTACCTCATACCCTGCTAAATGCAACATGTGAATAGCCATGTATTAATATAGCATAATGTAATGGTGAGCAAATTGCATATCTTAACTGTCCTTATTGTACAATGCTTTAGATTAGAACAATTAGGCAATTTAGCAGAGTTGAAGTTAACCAAGTTGAATCTGTTTTAGTATTAATCCCAATCACATGAATAGCGAATAATTTTAGAGGTTTATTCAGCATCTAACTTGCAGAATCTTACACCTAATTCAATAAAACATCACAAGATTTAATTAGGTTTAGGATAGTACTTTGAAATAAGATGTAGTGTTACGTAGTTGGAGAGGAAACATAATACCTTATGTTTGCGAAGACTTCCTGGACTGGTCGGGGTAGAAATTGGAGACTGCTTGGATTTGGGCGTGGACAACTGACTGCTTGATGTCCCATTAGCTGCCACAGAAGAGAATCACACAGTATGTTAACATGAGTTGTCTGAATAATGCAATGTTTATAAAACCCTTACAGTAATATCCCATTTGCTCAATTTCCTTTAGGAAGCAGGGTATGTTCCCACAGCAGCTAAGTAGACTTAAGTATATTCAATAAAGTGTGAGCTATGGTGGACTAAAAAAAGTATATATTTTGAACATTTAGGCCAAGCCTGCTATGCTGTACAATAGCTGAACTAGAAAGGTTTTAACGTTTGTTTACCACAATTCATAGTAGTAACTAAAGCACATACTGAAAGATTTACTGGGATCAAGACTGCAGTAACAAGTACCAAACAAACCTACATACACAGCCCTTCTATGCCAAAGTACGGGCATTTTACCATGATCATCTGGGAATAGTGGACATCAACTCAGAAAATGTCGTATGAGTGCAACTATGTTCCGGCCCTCACTATTACATACTGGGTCAAGGTAATACACATTGTTCGATTTGGCTGTGTTCGGATTGTCTGGCATATGATTCATATAAAAGATAGATTGTGTAAACAAAGCAAAAAGTGACAAATTATGTACAAAATCCTTTCTCCTGCACTTTTAATCAGGCAGCAAGAAGACTCTGCAAACAAAAGTACATCATTGATTTAAAGGAACACTTTAGCATTAGGAATACAAACCTTTATTTATTTTTTTGAAGATTTTGGTTTATTGAAAATGTTTTTAATCTTTATTTTGTTGTAGGTGTGAATACAAATCGCTTTAGTGTCGCCACAACAGCGAATACTTTGGGTAAGTTCTCAGTGAAAACAGTGGCAGGATTAAACATTGCACATTTTTTTTTTTTTTTAATTAATAACAAGCATAAACCTTTTGCATAACACAGGTTAAGAATTCGGGTGGCTAGATGTAGTGGGCATGCGTGCATGTAGATCCTTGTATATTAGCTCAATTTACAGATGTCAGTCAGTCAAGAGCTTATGATTATGTCGCTATGTCCTAAAGTTGGGCGATCATGTGGGTTGGGCCTGCGTGTGTTCTGGCGTGAATGTGTAGACTTATTTTGCTTATTGTAAGCAGGTCTGGGCTTCCTGCCCTCTCTCATATGTACACTGTTGTGTGATAACCTGTCGTAATATTAGTCGGTTAGGTTGTGTGCCTGGTATTAAGCCCCGGGACTAGCTAGAGATTAGTGATGTCGCGAACCCGAAATTTTCGGTTCGCGAACGGCGAACGCGAACTTCCGCAAATGTTCGCGAACCGGCGAACCGCCCGAAACGCCATTGACTTCAATGGGGAGGCGAATTTTAAAACACACAGGGACTCTTTCTGGCCACAATAGGGATGGAAAAGTTGTTTCAAGGGGACTAACACCTGGACTGTGGCATGCCGGAGGGGGGTCCATGGCAAAACTCCCATGGAAAATTACACAGTTGATACAGTCTGGTTTTAATCCATAAAGGGCAGAAATCACCTAACATTCCTAAATCACAATCAATATGGATTGACACCTGACATATGACATATTGACACCTTGACATATGGATTGACACCTGTCCTCAGAGCCCCTGATGCACACGGACACAGAGCAGAATAGAGACTGGTCCCCCTACATAGGGTCACTTGGCAGATATGGATTGACACCTGTCCTAAGGATCCCTGATACACACTGACACAGAGCAGAATAGGGACTGTTCCCCTACATCGGGTCACTTGGCAGATATGGATTGACACCTGTCCTAAGGTTCCCTGATACACACTGACACAGAGCAGAATAGGGACTGGTCCCCCTACATCGGGTCACTTGGCGGATATGGATTGACACCTTGTTACAAACTGCTATTTGTAACGGGCCCTTTAAATGGCAAATTGCCCTGCTTCCCTGGGTTGTGGAGAAGCCTATTTGCCAGCCTCCTCCCGCATGACTATGGCCCCTGGGAGATTGTGAAAATGTATGCACTTTTATTTGGTGTGTATGGCCCTTTAAGACTGTCGGTGGGCATATTGGGGCTTATGGACTCTTTATGTGACTGGTGCTGGCCCTTTAAACACCTTTTTTGGGACATCAGGAAGATTGGGACACTGCCCCTTTAAGGCCGTGTCCCCAGACTTGTTGGGGACACGGCCCCTTTAAGGCGGTGTCCCCTGTGTCCCCAGACCTGGTGCAAACCCTTTGTGCCTGCCTGGCTATTTCCCACTTGGTTCAGTAAATGGGAAATTATTTCAGCTGCAGAGACTGTCCCATTCAGCGATGGGACTTAGTCTTTTTTTCAGCCATATTTTTCAGCCTTATTTCAGCTGCAGAGACTAAAGTCCCATTCGGCGATGGGACTTAGTCTTTTTTTCAGCCGTTTTTTTCAGCCTGAAATAGACCGACCTCACAGCCCAAATCTATGGAACTGTTTTGGGCAGGAAAATGTGCTTGCGGTCGGTCATAAAGGGACCTCCAGCTAACTTTTTTAACCCCTGGATGGATTTGGCTGATTTTTGGTTATGTTTATGTTTTAAGTGTGCTGATTCCAAATATGTAATTATGAAGATGGGATGTGTAGTTTTAAAGTTACAGGGTATGGCTAAAAACTGTATTTTTACTGCCTGTGTTTAATTATGTTAATCTCTTCCCAAACGTCATTTAGTTCAAAGTGGAGAGAATGTTAAAAAAATATATTTTTGTTCTGAGTGTGAGAAATGCTTTTCAGCCGCTTCTAATCTTAAGCATCATTTGAGGAGCCATACAGGAGAGAAACCTTATTAGTGGTGTGTTTAGTATTGTTCTGATCAGTTTAATACCTTCCGCGTCTCCTATCAGTGGACGTGTATATGGCAGCCATTTTAGGAACCGTACACCTGGGACCCGAGCAAGGTCACCTCGTTCAACAGGCTTGCAGCGTATCCTCCAGGAAGAAGAGCCTGAACCCTTACCGGCTGCACGTGTCTTACCTGTACATGGAAAGCTGCTGTGGTTCCTTGATGAGCCAGCTGCCTGTGAGTTAACATGTCCCGTGGAGAAGCACTCTGTCCTGTAAAGCCTCACCAAAAAAAAGGAGTGGTGTGTTTAGTATTGTTCTGATCAGTTTAATACCTTCCGCGTCTCCTATCAGTGGACGTGTACACGGCATTGATTTTTATCTAACCCGTAAACTTTTGCACAGCGAAGTATATTCACTGCCATTGAAAAGGAGTGCATGGCGGTGGTGTGGGCCCTCAAAAAGCTGCAACCTACTTGTATGGACAACCGTTTACCTTACTCACAGATCACATTAAATTTGGGGCACTGCGCGGTCAAGCTAATGTGACACCAGATAGGAGTGGTGTGTCTAGTACTATTTTTATCAGTTTAATACCTTCCGCGTCTCCTATCAGTGGACGTGTACACGGCATTGATTTTTGTAACAGGGAGATGGAAGAAGAGGCTTGGTCGGTCCTCTTACTGCAAATTTGGGGCACTGCGCGGTCAAGCTAATGTGACACCAGATAGGAGTGGTGTGTTTAGTACTATTTTTATCAGTTTAATACCTTCCGCGTCTCCTATCAGTGGTCGTGTACACGGCAGTAATTTATGTAACAGGCAGATGGAAGAAGATGCTTGGCTGGTCCTCCTAACTGGAGACTGTGTTGCTGTACGGGTGGCAGGTGGAGCCATTTATAAAGTACACACTGCTTTATAAAGCCATTTATAAAGTACACACTGGCGGCTTGAACCCTAGTTGGTGGTGGATAAGTCACGCAAGTCAACAGGCATTCAGAGCTAAAATACAGCAGCGTGTGGACCATTTTTAGCCCAAGGCAGCTCATCTCATCAGGCCTTTTTTACATAGGGTCACTTGGCAGATATGGATTGACACCTGTCCTTGGGATCCCTGATACACACTGACACAGAGCAGAATAGGGACTGTTCCTCCTACATCGGGTCACTTGGCAGATATGGATTGACACCCGTCCTAAGGATCCCTGATACACACTGACACAGATCAGAATAGGGAATGTTACCCCAACATAGGGTCACTTGGCAGATATGGATTGACACCTGTCCTAAGGATCCCTGATACACACTGATACACACCTACTTGGATGGTATAGACATTTTTAGCAGCTCCTGGCCTGAACACCTGACCCACATAGGAGCCGTAATAGACCGGATTAGGGAGTCCGTACTGACCCTAAAGCCCAGTAAGTGCTATATAGGAACGTGTAAAAACCTCCCCAAGATAGTAGTATGGGCCCCAGAGTGTGAACAGGCCTTCCAACAGCTCAAGACGGCGCTCATTAAATCACCTGTACTTTCTTCTCCTGATCCAACTAAACACTTTCTCGTCCATACAGACGCTTCTATGCTTGGATTGGGAGCAGTATTGAGCCAAGTCGGAGCAGATGGTGGCTAACAACCCGGGGCTTATCTAAGCCGTAAACTTTTGCACAGCGAAGTATATTCACTGCCATTGAAAAGGAGTGCATAGCGGTGGTGTGGGCCCTCAAAAAGCTGCAACCTACTTGTATGGACAACCGCTTACCTTACTCACAGATCACAACAAATTTGGGGCACTGCGCGTGCAATCTAATGTGCCACCAGATAGGAGTGGTGTGTTTAGTACTATTGTTATCAGTTTAATCACTGTTACGTCCCCTATCCGCTGATGTGGAGCAAGACGCAGCAGCAGAAGAGGACTAAGCCGAGGAGGTTATGGAAGAGGATGGAGTAGGAGGAGTAGAGGAGGTGGCAGCGTACTGGCAGAGTACACGCTGTAGAGCTGACACACCTGCTTAAAGATAACTAACTGCTATTCAATCTATAACAGTGAAAAAAGTTTTTTGTTTTTTTAAATCCAAGCTTTGTGTCACCAGATCTAAGTGGTGGCACTGACTGGGGAAATGGGCACAGTATGCACTGTGAGCCTGACACAGAAGCTGGCAGCAGTGGCAGACAACTAAGTGCAATTACATTACATAGAAAAAAAAATCAAAAAAAAGCATACCCTAACCCTAACCTAGCTATGCTTTTCCCTATCTTATGAACAGCAGCTACACTTTCCCTCCTCTTACTAATCATGCAGCTTGAGAATGAATCTAAAATGGATGCCTTCCAGGAGGTGGGAGGGTCTGCTAGGGAGGGTGTGCTGCTAATTGGCTGGAATGTGTCTGCTGACTGTGAGGTACAGGGTCAAAGTTTACTCAATGATGACGAATAGGGGGCGGGTCGAACCGCGCATATGTTCCGCCGCCGTGGCGAACGCGAACATGCTATGTTCGCCAGCGAACCGTTCGGTACATCACTACTAGAGATGTATGCGGGTCATCCGTCTATGCTGAGCTGGTCAAGTTAAGCCCTGCAGGGTGCTGGATAAGAGTGCGTTAACTGTCTGTTTAAAAGCATCGCAGTACATATATACTGTCATGGCAATGCAAGTTAGGAGATTATATATTATATATATATATATATATATATATATATTAATTAAAGTCACCACAAAAGTAAAGTCACCACATTTGAGCTGTGTTCCAAAGGGTAGCGGTGGTGGCTTGTGTGGGGGGAAAACGTCCCTGTGAAAATGCTGTGGGTGAGAGTCCCGGTTCAAGTCGTAGCTGTTGCGTAGGGTTCCGCTGGCGGTCTTCTTGGCACGAACTCTGGGGCTTTGGCTGCATCTCTGATTGTGTGAGTGAGTCCATAGGAAGGTTGAGCTTGCCCAAGGCCTTTGTGGCCTCTTGTAGGTCATGGATTACTTTTCTCCGGTTGCGACGTGTAGAGTGCGGCTGGTCCCCATCGGTATTTAATATGGTGGCGCTGCAGTAGACTGGTGAAGTGGTGTAGGGACCTGCGCCATGCAAGCATCCCACTTGAGAGGTCCACATAGAAGGACAGTGCCATTTATTTGAAAGGGTAAGTTGGTTGGCCCCTGGTGGCTTCAAGGACCGCAGCTTTATCTTTTAGGATTTGAAACTGGATTACCAAATCTCCGGGGGCATTAGGTGGTGCATTAGGTGGTCGTGGTATCTGGAAGATGCAGTCTATCATGATCGCTCTGGCCGCCTTCGGGTTTAGCAGCGCGGTGAGTAAACAGCTAGTGAAGTGTGGGAACTCTGCTTCTGGTACGGAGTCCGCAACACCTCTAATTTTCAGTTTGTCAGCGTTTGTCTTCCAGTGTTGCTAGTTACATAGTTACATAGCTGAAAAGAGACTTGCGTCCATCAAGTTCAGCTTTCCTCACATATGTTTTTGCTGTTAATCCAAAATAAGGCAAAAAACCCAGTCTGAAGCGCTTCCAATTTTGCAACAAACTAGGAATAAAATCCTTCTTGACCCTAAAATAGCAGTCAGATGTCTCCTTGGATCAAGCAGCTATTACCCCACTAATTAGAAACTATATCCCTGTATGTTATGTTTTTGCAAGTATTTATCCAATTGCAGTTTAAACATCTGTATAGACTGACAAAACCACCTCTTAAGGCAGAAAATTTACCATTAATGACAACTCATTGTACTCTATCCTTAAGCCAATGTTCTACCCAAGAACAAGAATATTAATCTAGACCAATTTCTTTTAGTTTGAAGACTAACCTATTGTGAGGAAACGTAGTTGTTGCTCATGTTGCAGGCTTTGCTGTTGTAAGCTGTGCACCGCCGCCTGAAGCTCTCCAATCTAGCAGGTATGTTTGTTGGAGGTCTCCTCCACTTCCCCCAGCCGAACTGCTATGTTTTGGGCAGGACAGATATGTTGTTTTTTGGGCTTTGTGGGCTGAAGTCCCAGGTGTGAATCTCTACAGGTAGTGGAGAGGCAACATGAGACTAGTGTTTTTTTCCCCCCCACTTTTGACATCAGACTGATGATCAAAGCAGTCTACTGTACCCCTTTTCCATTGCTTAAGTACCTTGGCTAAAAAAAACTGCATTTAATGCTGGGGATGTTTTTGTTTCCAGCAACTTTTTTCATGGACATAATGGCTCACAGAGTTGGAACGGTTTGTGAAGAGAGGCATGGATATGGCTCTTAAAGGGTTACTACAGCTCACGTTTTATACACCGCTTTTTAAAATGAAGAATGCCATATTGAGCATTATTCTTTAGATCCCCCTAACTAGTAAAAACAAAAAAAAAAAAAGTATATAGCATATACTTGCGATTGGCACTTGACATCATGGGAGCCGCATCTGGTCCATACAAAGATCTCATAGAGAAACCTTTGCCTGGACCATGTAGCTGGCTCAGAGCCCACGCTGCAGAACAGCACCAACAGACATCCCACAACACCTCTTCCTATTTTAGTCCAAAGACATATGGTGTAAGACCGTAGACTACCACCCCTCTATAGTAGTGACACATGGACAAATGCCTCATTTCCATCCTTGCCGGCCCTCCCATGGATATAGGTCTGTCACAGCGGATTGTGTATGTGTATATAAAAGTCTCTTTTTATAAATGATCATTAAGAGCATAACAAACATTTAGCAAGTCTACAATGCAGCTATGAATTAAGGAATAAATAGAATTTAAAGATTAGACGCCAGCACAATCCAGTTTTTTTTCTACCAAATTGTTACCTATAAATTTTAAGATTTAAGAGATACATATCCCCCAGCATTTGTTATAACACATTTTCAAATGTTGATGTTCTGTAAATATATTCTGTTTTTTTTAGGCTCCACGGTATGTCAAATCCCAGGACAATGCCTAAGTATATTATATTTCTTGGTATTTACAGTCTGGGCAATGCATGAGTTGACCTGCTGGAGGCCAGACATAGACAGTCTCGAAAAAATGACTCAGCCTGTGACATGTACCGAAAGAGACAGGTTGAAAGATATATGGAGGACAGCCGAAAGATGGTATTTCTACCTTTCTGTTAAATGCACTGTGCCTGTAAGATTATGTGGGCAGCTGCTGACATTTCAGCAAAAAGATCACCAGTGTGAAAACAAAAAAAACAATGAAATTCAATAGCAATCCAAACATTTTAAAGTTTAAAAAAGGTGAGTTCTAAATAAAATGTCAACGGGCATCATTTCACTGGTAGAAAATTCCATGCTTTGGTATTGCTAACCCTTTCAATACAAGAAAATATGTAGTAGTGGATTTGACACATGCCTTTGGTCCAAGCAGCAAGGTATTTTTGTAGAGAAGATGTACTTGTCTAGGGGAATTGGATTCAGAAGATTGTGCATAGCTGAGTTTTTCTGGAACAACAAGTGTTCATAGCACTCACTGGTATAAAGAAAATGTTCTACCCCTTAGGAAATAATGAGAGAAGTACACTGTTGCCTCTTGCGATGTAACAACTGGGTGAGGGGTGCTATACATGAAAATATGTTGAAAACTCCATGACCCAGCAATGCTAAATTACACCAGCACTTTTTCTGCTGCCCCGGATTACAGAGGGATAAGTGCTCCCAGAATAAATTGAACTCGGAAGCTTGTTTGCATCCATCCATTTTACAACAGTGCTTTTATCTCCAAATATTTAACCTTTAATTTCAATTGGTGGTAGCAGTGCGGAGTAAGGGTAGCCAAAAGGTAGAAACCCAACTATTGCAAATCTAAAAGTCTTTTGTAGGTCCCCATGTTGATACTAAATATGTGTGCTTGTTTTTATTGTAGTGTTTCAGTAACATTGTTGGCCAACACCCTAAAGATCAATAGTCTGGACTTTGTCATGTTATGTCACTACAACCTATTTGTGCTCAACAAATAAACATATGATCAGATTTTTTCTTGCAAGAGAGAGGAACTGGGAGGGATAGGAAAGACCAGAACAATGGCCTAGAAATTACTTGTGCATGAAAAAAAATCCCTTGACATTTTCTTCATGGTTACAAAAATAACATGTAACTTATGTGGTGCCATTTTTACATAAGAACAAAAATGGCCTACATCCTTTACCTGCAAATAATCATTTAAATACATGCATCTCTACTGCGTCTTATGTAAGAGGGGAGATAACCATCATATATCATAGAGCAAAGCCCAGTATTCCATATTATGTTTAAGAGAGATAAATGGCCCATCTATTTCATATTAATGCGCTATTGGAGCTATTTCTGTCATTTTAAACCTTGAACCATCTGGTCAGTCAGTCTCCATCTTTCACTGGTTATATTGCAGCTTTTCCTCCCTGTGACCATTAATGAGTTTTCTGGAGTCTCTGTGGGATTCCCTCTAGAGCAGTAAATTACTTGGCAAGTCTATAGCTATGGTTGTATGTGGAATCTATTTATGTTTCCTTCTATTAATCCATACAGAATTGCAGAAAACCCCTGAATGAACAGCAGTTTGTTTTACATGTCGTAGGTATCTTTCCTCACTTGGAAGCACCGAATTAAATTTAAGGGTGACAACTGGCAAAATTGTCACATCCATGCAGCCTGTGGAGGTACAATATATATTTTGGGGCATAATCTTTTGCATGCTTTTATATAGATAAGTTATGACTGTACACTGTTCCTGAAAGGTTTATTTAAGCAGGGCATTTTGTTCTTTTAAGGAGATACTATAGACATAAAACAACATTCGCTTAATGAGGCAGCTTTGGTGTATAGACAATGCCCGTGCAGTCTCACTGCTCAATTCTCTGCTATTTAGGAGTTTAATCAATTTCATTAAGAAGTGCTAGTCACACCTCCCCTCAGGTGACCTACACAGCCTTCCTAACACTTCCTGTAAAGGAGAGTTCTGAAATGTAACCCTCCTTTACTGCACATGCTGTTAAATTTAAAATATTTTGTCTACTTTTAATAGTCTGTCCCAGCAAAAATGAGTCTCAACAACTGTCTCAGATCCCATGGGCACAACTACTGATGGTCTTCTAGACAGTGTAGGTACACCAGGGCCTGGAGGAATGTGGTTAGAAATATGTATTTTCTTTATTTTATGATTTGTTTTGTGTGAGTTTGCTAGTGTGTGCATATCTATGTATGGCAGTGTTTCACTTAATGTATCTGTGTGTATATTACATAGTTACATAGCTGAAAAGAGACTTGCGTCCATCGAGTTCAGACTTCCTCACATTTGTTTTTTGCTGTTGATCCAAAAGAAGGCAAAAAAAAACAGTTTGAAGCACAATTTTGCAACAAGCTAGGAAAAAAATTCCTTCTTGACCCCAGAATGGCAGTCAGATTTATCCTTGGATCAAGCAGTTATTACCCTACATTGAAAGATTATATCATTGAATATTCTGTTTTTGCAAGTATGCATCAAGTAGCTGTTTGAACATCTGTATGGGCTCTGATAAAACCACTTCTTCAGGCAGAGATTTCCACATCCTGATTGTTATTACAGTAAAAAAAAAACAAAAAAAAAACTTTCCTTTGCCTTAGACGATTATTGTGTATATGTTTCTGTGTGTGCCACCATATATGTGTGTGCGTGTCTCTGTATATCTGTGTGTATACTTGCCACAAAGTGCCCTTGGAAATTGTTTTTTTTTAAATATTAGCAACTATGCACCTGTAAAATATAGCTTGAGGCAGCTATTAATTATACATAGACTGTATTTTATTTTAGAAGACAGGCAACACTAGCTGGGGGTTCTTAAGAATGGCTGTGCCCTCTGGAAGTAGTGGCCCTTTGAGAATAAAACTGTAATAATTTTGCTACCACCACAGACTAAATATCACAAGTCCTTTGCAGTAGTATCCAGTCTACACTTAAAGATGACATCTGCTGTGTTCTTAAGCTACCCATCTTTACAGGCCCATGAGAATAGAATGTGAAGTCAGGACCTGACTGACATGATGTATTTGTACTAGATAATTGCTGTCTCTTTGTGGAAATATTTTTGTCTCCCTAGTCCAACCCAGCCATTAAGGAAGCATGAAATTAAAGCCCGGAAAACATGCCTCACTGATTAGATTGTCTTGTCTCTGAGATTAAATTTTAACTCCTCCCTTACTAAGTATCCTGCTGTGCTTTGAAAGTCAGTGTGCGGCAAGGGCATCTTTCAGTGTAAGTGTTAGCACTGCATAATAGATGTACAGTATGTTCAATCGTGTACATTTAGAATTGTGAATTAAATGTAACACAACAACACTGTATTAATTAACTGGGTTTGTGACAGACATTTAAAAATTATAAAAGGACCTGAATGGTAAGAATTTGTTGTGAATTTTTTTTAAAGGAATAGAAAGAAATTAAAGGTGAAACCACATGATATGCTAGGCATAATGTATAGTTAAAATTAGTTATGCAGGGACATTTCAAAATAAAATAATCTTTTACTTGATTAGTAAGAAGTATTATTTTTCTCCATACAGTTATATGGGATTTTTTTTTTTTTTTTTTACTCTCAGAGTTTTATTTCAGCAGCGGTTTTACTTTTACAGTAAACATGCAATTTAACTACAACTCCTAAAAACCCATGCTTTATCAAAAAAATTAATGGTATCATTTTAGCACTGTTGTAGAAAGTAAGCTGAGCCTGTGCCAAGCTCACTGCAGAAATTGCAAAACCTATTCATTTGTAATAAACGCAGAAACTTCAAATGCAAGTATTCTTTTAAAGTTGTATTCTTTTTATTTTATTGTCTTTGAATATGTATACTATCGTATTACCTGCACGCATTAAACAGGAATTGGTACCCTACAGCCAGGAATATCCCTTTAATGATTTCAATCTATCTACTTTGTTTTTAAAAACAAAGTTAATTTTATTCTCTGCAACATTTAATTTGTGATCACAGATTGCCGTCTGCATGTGCATATGAAGAAATAGGAATAATTTTGGTATAATTTTGCAAGCCATTTTTTTAGAACATAAACTTTGCATGATCACCTATGGACACCTTAGTATTATGGGAGTCCAGGTGTTAAACAAGTAGCTAACCATTTACTCACCTGAATCAGCAGGTGATTTACTGCGGCGTGTTGGTGCAGGACTTTTAGCTGCACTTTTCAGAGAACTGGATGTGGGCTTGGCTTGGGGAGCTGGAGTCCCCCCTTTCATTACCCGGCACTCTGTGGGGAGAGACATGAGTTTAGTAAAAAATTCTGGGAACACATTCTTGAAACATATAGCAGTAGTGGTAATCTAATCAGCCCAACTCCCTGAGCCTGATAACTTGAGGGTATCTTGGTGGATACTTTAATGCTAAAAGTGGTTGCATGTACCATTACCATGAAGGTGTGGAACCAGCAAACACATTCTATTAGTGACTCTGCCCCTTTTTACATCACTTTCAAAAAGTTTGTACATAACTCCTTATATGATCAACAACAAATGTATGACTTAAAAGCATACAAGTACCATTCATTGATTAGATGTACGTATTGATCTGAAGTTGACCAACCATGAATTTTGGTTATGACAGAGTACCTTCAAATATGACATTTTATACATACATATATCCTAAGATTGGGAGATTTTCAGATCAGGATGTGTGTCCGCCTGAATGGAGTCGATGCCAGTGACATGAAGTGTGACACTAGTGACACCCTTAGACCATGCCTTTGAACGACTGACAAGGCCCTTAATTGCAGGAACCAGAGAGCTCTGCTGGAGTGCTTTCTGCAGGGTCCCAGTACTGGTGCACAGTGCTTAAGTATCTAATGAAGCATTCGCAGTATACTTATCTTTAGTGGCATGTTGTGTACCAGAGAACTAAATTGAGATGGTGAGATAGAACCTCAAATGGGTACGGTCCTGCTAAAATTGGGACGGTTTGGGGCACCTGTACATAGTTACATAGCTGAAAAGAGACTTGCGACCATCAAGTTCAGCCTTCCTCACATTTGTTTTTTGCTGTTGATCCAAAAGAAGGCAAAAAAAAAAAAAAACCTGTTTGAAGCACTTCCAATTTTGCAACAAACTAGGGGAAAAAAAAAAAATCATTCTTGACCCCAGAATGGCCGTCAGATTTATCCTTGGATCAAGCAGTTATTACCCGACATTGAAAAATTATATCCTTGAATATTCTGTTTTTGCAAGTATGCATCTAGTAGCTGTTTGAACATCTGTATGGACTCAGATAAAACCACTTCTTCAGGCAGAGAATTCCACATCCTTATTGTACTTTTCTTTGCCTTAGACGACATGGAGTGGAGGAAAAGTTCTGACTCCTCATTTTCCATTTACTAGGACATTCTTACATGCCCCCCAACTGTCCTGATTTAGGCACGACTATCCCGATTTTGGAGCTGTGTCCCGCCATCTGTTCCACTTTTCCCTGCATCAGATTTATTGTAAAGTAACACACAGATTTCCCTGAGACACAGGGTGTGCTGGCAGGATGCACGAGTCTCAAATTACACTCTCTGACCTCTCTGCCCTGCTTCATGGACACTAAGGGGAGGGAGGTTGATGACGCTCTTGCTCTGATCAGTCAGTGTGTACAAAGTACAATGGGCCTTGACATGGCTAACAGGCAGACAAAGACTATGGGTAATGTTTGGGATGGGCTAGGAGAAAGTAGGGGAGGGGTTTTGGCTATGGGAGTATATATAGGGGCCATTTAAGATTAGGGACCATCTTAACTAATCCTCACTTACCTGTTGTTGTCCCACCTTCCCTTTTTTGTATTAAGTACCAGTTTGGTCATGGGGGCGGGAGGTGGATAAAAAAAAAAAGTTGGGGTGTAGGTCGTTTGTTCAGCTGTAGGATAGTTTCAGTTCACCAAAAACAGTTAAATTGGAATTGGTTTTGATAGGTTCGAGCTTATTGGTAGCTCTGAATCTGGTGGGTGTAGGGTGTATCTTGGTATACCACTACATTGTAAAAATTGGAAAATCATGCTCTCGGTGGCAATGGTTTATATACTATTGTATTATATGTTCGAATGGTTATCAGTTATTGTTATGTGGGTCATTTTATAGGGTAGAATTGTGAAAAAGAATGGGGATGGATATGCAATGTTGAAATATGTTTACAATTACATTAAATTATTTATGTTATCTTTTAAATAAAAGCGGTAATAATTTTTCCCACAACAAGGTGTCTGAATCTTATTGGAGGGTTATGGGTTTTAAAAGGGTATGCCGAGAAGGCGACTATGCATAGGTCAAGCTACTGGACCAAAAATTCCACCTACTTACTGCATAATGTAGAGTTAAGAGCACACAGTGGTATGTTATTGGCCAGCTTTATGAATAAAGAGCATGTCAATTGGTAAGGTTTAAAGGCGTGGTATTGCATCTTTAAAATGCCATGCTGTGGGGGGGGGAGGAGGCAGAGGGGAGGAGGAATCACTTGAATCATGCAGACATCACCATCATGAGTTCCATATAAAACGATTACCTACAATCTGTATGATGTTTGATTCATATGCAATTAACATTCCCTGAGAGAATCTGTGGTCCCTGTCTTGCCAGACAACAATATCTAGGCTTACCGTTAACATTTCCTGCAAAGAAGTTTGATGGCAGACTAGGCAGAACAAAAGGATTTAGTAATATCTGCACATTGTCAACTTTTCACACTGAACTCCAGGAATGAATTTTCAGCAAACTAAGAATCTGACGAATGTCAGACTTACAGTAAAAGAGTCAAGTTACAGAAATGTATTTTAGTGTTTTCTGGAGCGAGATGCCGAGGAATACATTTATATTTGCACGTTAGAATGTCAGCCATCTGAGTGTTTGTTTATTCAGTTACTAACATTCATTACAACATAACATATAATTTTAAAGTATTTGCATGTTGTATATTCACAAAATGGCTCTCAGACATTGTAGTAAAATAGAACTTCTCTTTATTTCAGTACACACACACACACACACACACACACACACGAGAGACTAACAGAACAAGTGCATAACTTCACTATGCTGCCATCTACTGGAAGGTGGACTGCATAAACCCCAATACACAACAATAATTATATAGGCTGATTAAAGATTAATGTCAAGTTTAATCATTCAAACAACTCAGTTTTTGCTGTTGATCCAAAAGTAAATAGAAAAAAAAACACAACAAAACAAATTTTCAGCAATTTCTAGTTGTCACAAAATGGGATAAGAAAATCCTTCATGACTCCAGAATGGCATTTCGATTGCTTCTTGGATCAAACAATAATAAAGATAGGTTTACCACCCATTTAGAAATTTGTATTGCAACCCTGTTAATGTATTAAATAATCCTGCCATACATATAAAGATTACTATTACGCAGTCAAGTGTGAAATTAAGAGCAATCACCAAGGAAACCAACAGAATGTTTTTCAAAATGTCACCTGTTAGTCTACATTAAAGCTCCTCAAAATCTTTCCAACATGTCTTGGACTATGATAATCTGGTACCTTCTAAATGCAAAATGGATATAAATATGATGAGTTGCATTTACCCAAAAATAACTAGTTGGCTGGAGCCCACACTGTATGATCATACATGTGCATTACTGGAAAGGACACTATAATGTTAGGAATACAAACACGTGTTCCTAACACTATAGTGCTGGAGTGGCTGTTTATAGTGTTGGAGCAGCCCCCCCCCCTCAATGCAGTAAAAATTATTTAAGTTTGCCTATTCTCTTCTGCCGGCGCCTGTCTCGTCTTCATAGCTGAGATCATCAATCTCCATAGGAAAGCATTAGGAGACTATTGCGCATGTACGGCAAAATGTAGCACTGCGCCAATCAGTATCTCTTCAAAGAGGATGCATGGAATCAATTAATCTCTATGGGGTACATTTAGCTCATCCATGCAGAGTGTGAAGACTTAAAGTAGATGATGCACACTGCAGCACTAGACTAGGAAGCATCTCCAGTGGCCATCAGAGTGACTGCAACTAGAGGTGCTACTAGGAAGTAATGTAAACACTGCCTTTTCAGAGAGCTTTCTGGGACAGGCCATAGACACCAGAACAACTACATTAATCTGTGGTAGTTTTGGTGATTATAGTGTCCATTTAAAGCCAGTCCTGTGGTAATTTATCAGGATAGACAGCAGGGGACATGCTAACAACTGTTTGAGTCCATAACAGATCAGGTAGGCATCAAAACGCAGCTTTACAAATAAAATATAGTGGATAAACCAGGTTTTACTTGTGGAATGAGCACACCACAAATTAAAGACTGTTATACCGCATAAAAAAATCCAGAATTGTATTTCTGTAACCGTTTAATAGTTAAATAATCTATTTTAGTTTTGTTTTAGTGATTTGTTTTTTAAGACACGGCTGTAGGCAGCCTTACATTTTCCCTACACGTTTTTCTTATTAAATATATTGCTGAGTAAATGTAGGGACAGCATCAGAATACTAATTGGCATAGCCCACTGATGCATAAGGTCACCCAACAGTCACATTACACGTAGTGGTTTGTAAAGAAAAAAAAAAATTAAAAAAAAAAGAGTAGAGCTTCAGATGTAGTAGTTATCATTCTAAATGAAATAAACATAGTCTTCAGAAGGAAGACACGTGTGGTAAAACAGACAGGGCTGTAATTAGGAACTGCTGGGCCCATCAGAGACACAGCCATGTTAGTCATACATATCCCACAGATCATATGATACTGCTTAAAGAGACACACAAAACACGTATTTCTAAAGCCATAGTGTTCCATTACTTGTTTAGATGCCCCCAAGGTAAGACTTACTTACCTTTATCCCATAGCACACTGATCTCTGTACCGAAGACCCATATTCCTGACTGAGATCATCAAACACTGGAAAGCTAGTAAACATGCACGTCAAAACACCTCTTTCCACCAATCAAATGGTCTCTTTGAGACAATGATTGAATAGCCAAGTTTAATTCGACTATTAAGGTGGAAGTGCCTCTAATAGCTGTCAGGAAGATAGCCAAAAGACGCGTGTTGACCCTGCAATGTTAACACATTCTTGCAAAATGGCAAGGTTTTCAGTTGCAGGGTTAAATATGAAGGACATATCACTCAGATCGCTTAATTGAGATAAAGTGGTCTGGGTGCCTATTTAGCTTAATAGTTTTACTATTAGAGTGGCTTTGTCACAAAAATACACATTAGCTAATCTGTTTCCACAAAGCTCCATTTGTCTAAATCTCTTATTTTTCAGTTTTTATAACATATATAAGGAAAATTGCTAACTACTAAACAACTTGATAATGGGGGAAGCTTATGCAAGGTTCCGTTTCAATTGCCAATCAAATTTACCCAAGATCCATTAGTAAAGCGAATCTCACAGAAGAGCAAACAGCAGACATCATGCACCGAGGAGAACAACATGGGTGCACCCAAATATTGAGATCCAGCACCAGTAAGAAACAATAACAAATACCAAGTCACATGGAAAATGGGAGTATAATCATTAAACTACAGGGGAAACAAGGAAATGGAAAACCAGATGGAAAAAAAACCCAACAGTGCTGCTTTTTAACAAAGTCTTTTTTGGGGGTGTACAGTACTTGAACTTACCATTTTCATCAAGAGAAAAATCATCTTGGGCATATCGAAATTTCTCTGGTCCACAGGCAATAAATACATCATCCTCCCCAAAGAAATCATGCAGACAGGTGACCTGTACAAGAAGGATAAGAGGCCATTAATCTACTAACCAGAGTAAATTAAATAGTTTTTATTGCAGCTGTTCTGATTACTCTGATAAATGTGCTGAAGACCAACCACGAACATACAATTACACGCTATAATATATTGAAATAAATGAGCATGATCTCTGCACTCATATTTCAATAATAAGTGATTTGTATGGGTACAGCTTCATTGGAACCATAATCTCTTACTAGCACCCACAATCAAAATATGCACACGTATACATTTAATATACACAATAAAGGTGGTCAGGTTGCAACTTTATTAGGTTATTCATTAAAGTTGGAACGGCCAGGAATTCAAAGTGAATAATTTTTTTAGACTTTAATAGCCCAACTGCCAGCATGGCTTAAATGAAGAAGTTTTCCAGTCCAGCTATTTTGGCCTTAAACTTGACATTCCCTTAGAATTCTTGGAAATTCTCACTTCAATGATCAATCAATCAACACTCCCGTATATGTTTGTACTGTCTGGGTGTTATGCCTGAGTAAAACACCATTTGTAGGGAGGTTATAAGATTACAACCCCCACTGCAAACTCCGCCTCCTCTCCCCCTCTTCGGCTGAATGCCCATGCACGGCAAGAGCATTCAGCCAGTCCATAGGAAAGCATTCACAATGCTTTCCTATGGATGCTGGCGTCTTCTCACTGGGATTTTCACAGCGCGGAAGCAGCTGCCAACGAGACAGCCACTAGAGGCCGGATTAACCCTATTATAAACATAGCAGTTTCTTTGAAACTGCTATGTTTATAGAAAAAAAAAAAAGAAGGGTTAAACCTAGCTGGACCAGGCACCCAGACCAGTTCATTAAGCTGGGTGCCTATAGTGGTCCTTTAACTCCCTGACACTATCCACAAGAAAGGAGGGCATTATGGCAGATGGGGTAGATTGCTACTGGAATAATGCAGGAGACATACTCATGAACCAATTAAACTCTTAATGTTAAGACATGCCATAATGTCCTAGAAAGCCTGGGCTATAATGCTGTTAGAACGCATTGGCACATTCTAAAGTCCTGATGTGAGAAAGAAAATCTGTGTTCATGCCTTGAAGACCCAACTTGGGACTCTCGGTCACCTATTACCTTATTTAGTAGCCCTCATCATGCTGAAAAACAGTCACAAACCGCTCTACTGCTCTAGCTTATAAATCCCTGTGTTGATAGGAGTACTGATATTAGCAGAGAAAATCCTTTATATGGGGTAGAGGTAGGTATAGGTGTAGGGTAAGTGTTAGGATAAGGTAATGACTAATGCTGGGTTAGGGTTATTGCTGTGTAAGGTTTACGAATGGTGTAGGACATTTAAGGATATGGTAAGGTTATGGCAGGTACACAGAGTTGGTGCAAGCGTAGTTGTAAGGATAAGGTTGGAATTGGTTTTGGGAGGTTGCATTAACCAAAAATATGCTTAGATCCTAGACGTATCAAGCATTTAGCAATCAGGACTGATACGTGAATCTATTTTGAGAGTCGATCTGCATTTCAGATCTGAACCACCATTTTGGATGGGTTCAGTTTGATATGCAAATTAACTAGATTCTCTTTTAATGGCACAAGAGGAGTTAAACCAGTTCTGAGTGGGAATCCAGTAAAAGTGCAAGCTATGTGAGCTGTTGTCCATTCTCCGTATTTTCCTGCATTCCATTTTTTCCCATCAACACATTGGTAATACACAAACTTGGTGGATTTGTATGTTCTGCATTCACGGTTACAAAAAGGCATTTATTTAAAAAAAATTAACTGACAGTGCAAGACATTTTCAAAGACTAGGAAAAAAAAAAGTGACCTATAAAAGTCAAGTGTTTGATATCAAATCTACATTCTGATTCTCTGCTTTAGTATCAGCCCTTTTTGTTTTCTTCAGAATACCTGCAGCATTTAAATCATTCACCCAAGCTTGCGCTGATGACAATCTAAAGTCACTCCATGGCGCAGAAATATTATTCCACAGTGATAACATATTGATGAACCTTTATTGATTTTTTTTTTTTTAACATAAACATGTAATTCAATACAACATTTTTAAGAATAACCATCTCGCATATTCATTCATTTCATACAGCTACACACACTTCTGTTAAAGGGTTTCTACAAGACTTATTTTAAAAAATGCCCTATTGACACTGTTCACCATGGTCTCCACATCACCCCCTAACCCCCATAAGCTTGAAAAGATTTCTAAATGCAGACATTACTCACCTTAATCCAGCGCCGAGCGGAGCAACTGATGCTCTCCGACTAATGTCACAGGAGCCGTCCAATCAAGGGTTTCTCATAGAGAAGTCTTTGATTTGTCCAAATCTTTGATGCGTGCACTCTGAGCCGGGAGGTGAAGAGGGAGGGTGGGGGTAAAATACAATTTCGGTTGGGATAGTGAGGTGGGAAAGCTACAGTGAAGGAGGGTTTCAAGCTGAAACATTGCACAAACACACTCCTTCCACCATGACCAGGTAAAATCACTGAAATGGTCATGGTGGTCGGCGTAACCCTTTAAAAAGGTGAGAAACCCAGTAACAAGTGCCTTGGAAGTTACCCCAATTGAAAACAAAGGATTGGATACTCAACTTAAGGTGACTTTGCATTTCTTTGAAAATCAAAGTGTACGGACAAGACCCTTAGACACAAATCATACATTATATATAAAACCCCAGAAACAATGTCAGCATCTTGGAAGTAAAAAATACATATCTATTTTTTTTTTTTTTTTCATTTCCAATGTGACATTTCTTTTAGTTGTCAGCATCCTATTTTTTTTGCAATTCTAGAATATCAGTAAAAATTTTCACTCGAGATAACAAGCAGAGTAGATGCCCCTTCCCAACCAGCATTTGATGAGTTAATAATCTTAAATGCTTAGTTGAGCTTCTAGGGAGAAATGTCTGAAGGAGCTGGGAAGAGAGCAGATAACAGATTACTGCTAGGGGAAGCAAGCTACTAATTTGAATCACATTTTACCAGCTCATTATACTGTGTATTTATAGTAACATATCCAGAAGCCTAGAGGCAATGGAAATCTGCAATTGCACATTTTGTCTGAGTTAGGAAAACAAAGACAGGCTGGATAGGAGACCTCCCCTCACAGCAGGGCTGTCACAAACAATGGCAGAGCAATTATTAGGAGAAATGCCACACCTCTTCTATTGTTCTTCACCTCTCCCATCTGGTCCTGTCATGAGCTTCCAATAACCAGCAAGCATAGAAACGATGTGGGCATCTTTAGCCATCAAACATTGTTAAGACAGTTACACCTACATGACCTACTAGTAAAAGGTTTCACAGTTTTAGGGATCAGGTCAGTTCTTTTGTATGAATATATTCAGAAAGGCTTCTGTAGACACATGTACGACTTTTTTTTTTTGTTCTATGCTCAAAACTGTTTTTAATGTGATTAGGTTTTTAACCACAAACAAGATTTCCAATATTTCACCTTTTTAAGTTGACCCCCCCCCTTTTTTTTTTTTACTGGCTTGTAAATGAACGCCCCCCCCCCGACAAACACGGCACACACTGTTATCCATCTGTGCCAGTGGGACAATCACTGGCTAATTATTGTTAATTACATATTCTAGCCTCTCATAGAAGAGGTGGTTCTTTTCTTTTTGGAAAAAAAAAAATTAAAAAAAAAAAATTCTATTGGTCTCAAAAAAAAATAAAAAATAAGAAGTGCTATTCCTTAGTTCTAAATAGTAGTCTCTTTTCAATCAACTGTGAAATATCTTCTTGTCAATCAAAATGAAACAATTATATAAAAGTGCAGCAATGATGATGATTATTATTTCGGCATTTATATATCGCCGTCTTATTCCAATATTATAAAGAGTGAAATTTAACTATAAAGAGTGAAATTTAACAATAAAGAACACAATTTAAAAAATGTTACATTAACAATAGGTTGAGGAACACCCTTCTCAAATGAGTTTACAATCTAGAGGTCACATAATGTGGTGGAGCTGCGAAGAGGAGACTGCCCCGTCAATGAAATATATGTATGTTAAATTTTAAATGTAAAAGGAAAGACCTAGTAATCTAATACAATTAAGGAACGCACTATTTTCGAATGGTTTTACACACCAGGTACCTGCAACCTGGTGCTAAGGCTAAGGTAGAGATTACACCCCATACCAATACCAATACCAGTATCCATACCAATTAAAACAATCTATGGGTGGCAGTGATAGACAGAAACTGGCAGTGCTGTTTGCCGGTCAGTGGCGCCCGCCATCGTTGCTCAGGCTAATGCGGAAGCTAGGTTATAGGTTGCAAAGGACCCTCTTTCAATATTAAATAATTTATAAATGAATTACATAAATGGATATATATATATATATATATATATATATATATATTTTTAGTAGATATGAATGAAGATGCGTCCATGGGTGTTTTTAAATATATATATATATATATATATATATATATATATATATATATATATATATATATATATATATATATAAAAAAAATTAAAAAACACCCATGGACCGCATCTTCATTCATATCTACTAAAAACACAAGTCTATGTTTATGGATAATAGTATTAATAAAAAGACTACGTTTTATTTCAATAATGTAGCTCACAATACTGATAGACATAACCTATTTCTTTATAGAATATTGTTCGTTTGTGTGTATCTGAGTATTTAAATGTGTATATGTACAACAGTGTATGTATAGGAGTAACATTTTGTGTGTGAGTGTATGTGTGTGTCAGTTGGTCAGCGGTGGAGCCATGGGTGGGTCATTGGGTGGTTCATTAGGTGGAGATTGGGTGGGCTTAAGGTAAACTGCAGGAGTGACTATTAAACTGATCATTGGGCTGAAACCCCTTGTATGTTGCTACCTAGCAATACCCCTGACAATGTTTGTTTTTAAGAAAGAAAATAAAAAATAAAAATAAAATATCTTGCCTGTGATTAAGGACTTTATAAGGGTATGGTGCAACCTTGGGAAAAATAAAAAGTATTCAATACTTTAACATTATAATGTTTTAAATAAAAAAAACTAATGCAATGATGATTTTATGCCAAATCTCAGAATACAATAAAATGGTCTCCATTTATCTTCCCTACTATTTGCACATTTAAAAGCTCAGGCAAGATCTTCATGCCACAGTTGGAGGTTCCTGTGAAGATACTTTGTATATAGCATGAAGCTGGATGCTTTATTCCTCTTATCCATGAGACCCCATGCATCATGTATAGTGTATGTAGATAATAAACAGTAGTAGCTGATCTATGGTCTCGAGACTGATGGCCCACATAAAAATAAAGACAGTTTCTTAAGTACAACCTTGCTGGTTCAGGAGTCATCACAAGTTATCCTTATCTGCTGTGTACTTAATAATCATACTCTATGTTGTTCGCCCTGCTGTCAGTAATTACACACTGCCAGGGAAACTGGCAGAACAACTGGTGTCAATGTTGGTGCTGAAATGAGCAGATATAATCAATCCTTTGCAACATAGCTTCCATTTCTACAAAGGCAGGCAATGTGCATGTTTAGATTTTTCCAAATATAATTTCTTAAGATATTTTTAAGTGAAGCCTAAAACAATTAAAATCCCTACAAGCCATATTTTATTTGATCAATTATTTAGAGTGGAAGAATTTTGGTGGAAGGAACGTTTAAAAAAAATAATTTAAAAGACACTTCCATTTTTCATTTAATTTTTTTACAATTTTCATTTTATGTTGATACTATTCAGCTATGCTTTTTGTATATGGTTTTAAGTTTTTATGTATTAAGGAGCTTTCTTCTATCTTTATCTTTCTTTACACACACCTAAGGCACTAAAATTCAGGTTACAGAACGTCCAGAGCCTACAGGCCATCAAGATATAAATTTGCCCTGATCAGTAGACTGTGAATGTATTTTTGACAGTGTCTTGGGCTTTGTTTTGTGTTTCTGTTTTCACACAAATAGATAAAACTAGCAAACATTTCAGAAACTGTTACCCTGTAAATGCCTCAAAAAAATCAAATCAAATTGAAGTAACTGTAGCGTGTGACCTTACACACTTCATTAACGACCTCCCTATTCCCATCAGTGGAAATGTGAGAATATTTCCCAGACTGGTTTTCACTTCCATCAGGTCTTTACACGACCCAAGGATCTTTGTGGAACTGGAAAAGTACAAATGTATCTGTATGTATCTCAGATGCATGCTATGTTTAATTCAACCTGCCAGACACAACTGATCCATAATAATAGGCACTTTAAGTTTTATTGTATCATAAATATACAACAGTGTTTAGTTAGTTTCCGTTGTACACATCTCCAGACAAAGTATAGAGCCATTTAATAACGTTTATTGACAATAAAGCAAAGATTGTATGCTTGTAAAATGCAGGATCAAAAACCTACGTAATATTTTTACAATGGATCAAAGCTAAGTAGCAGTCTGGATTGTGGGTAAAAATCTTCTCATAAATTGGCTAATGGCTGCAGTAAATGTTAATGCAATTAGAAATCAATTCTTGAACTTAAAAGGCAAGTTATAAACTTTTTCCTCTGTTGTGCACTATCATGACCACACTGACGAGTGTAGAATAATCGTCCAACTTCAATTAGTCTCAGTTGTTAGTCATCCAGGCCAAAGCCTACCCATGTTGTAGCGCTGGTTATTATATTAACTGCAGTGGTCCCAGCAGCACTTAATATCCATCACTCATTTTCCTTTACATTATTAAAGGGACCAAAACAACTTTAGCTTAATGAATTAATTTTGGAGTACAGACAGGGTTGTGGTATCCACAATGTTTTCATCCTGGACACACATAATGTCATCATGTTGATTTGCAGCAAATGAAAATACTGCCCTGTATTATGGATGAGTTTGCTGCAGGATTCCTGATTTACTACCTGCAGCATTTGACTTCTACATACTGCAGGGCAGCACTTTTTGTATGTTGTCCATCAATTTGTATAAAATTATAGGTGTCCTGGAAAACATCCAAAGTCTTTATGAAATACTCACATTGACAGGTTGGAATTTCCCTGAAATTTCAACCCAGTCTAAAGATATACTTATATGTTGTGGCAGTGGCGTACACACAACCCAGGGGTCCTCGGTGCGAAAACTGATCAGTTGGATTCTTAATGCTTAAACTTCATGTATGTAAGCTTTTTACTCCTAATTTGTTTATAATTGACCACATTTTTTTCAAATTTGTTTTACTTTTTCAAACTTTTATAAGCTCTGGGCCCTTTGGATACTTTAGTTACCACTGTAGGCTGGGAAGGAAAACTGCTAAAGCTGTTGAATCAGTTTTAATAAGAATGAGTTCAGACAGAATGACAGGAATTTGTACCGGAACTTTGGGCATGACAGCTAGTAACTGCACATCTCAGTGTATCCAAAATGATGGATAATGTAACAAATTATTAAAAGTGGAGCAATCATACAATCCCAAAAAATATATTTTAAACAAAGTTTTTTTTCTAAAGCATCAGTTAACATACATTAAAATTCCCAGCTATGATTGCTCCCGCAACTTTTAAAATAGGGATCTGATTTTTGGTTCATGGCTTTAATGGTCTTGCATGAGATTACTTAAAAAAATGGTGTGAAAAAAAACTGTCTGGAAGTTCTCCTGATGCAAATCTTTTTAGAGCTGGGTTAACAACCTTCAACACTCCAGATTTGGTGGACCAAATCTCCCCGATACTTTTTAGTCCACAACACCTGGAATGCCTGCTTTAAGAAGCGAGAAATGAAGTGGTGCTGGTTATTTCTCACAGCCTATAAATAGATATTGTTGCTGCATGAAAACCCATGTCAAACTACTTAATAAAAAAACAAAAATATGCTGTTAGTGAGACCCAATCAACAGAGCAATTTCATGCCCAAACTGTAACCTCTTACAGCTAGAATAGTCTGTACTGAGGTGAAATCATTAGATGTTATGGTGGTATATTAAGAGATGTGATTGTTATGAATAAAAAATAGTATTAAAACATTTTTACGTAATTTGTAAAAAATAGTAACAGCAAGCAATCTGTTTACAGATGATGTAAAATAAAATCCTATCCTTTTGTTTTAGAATGATCCCTTTAATGGCTTAAGGGTTAAAATACAGGTATTCTAGGATCCAGCATTTTTCTTAACACCCCTCCATTTTTGTTTCTTATTCTCCTGTATGCCTTTCATTCCCTGCATTACAATGTAATTAAATTGTAAAATGTGGATCAGAGGAAACTGCAAATGCCAAGGGTGTCGCTGTGATGGCAAAGCTTTTTGCTCTGTCAGAATACATTTTCTTTACATAAGGAATGAAACAACACTGTATCGACATTGCTATGCATTATGTTAGAGTTTCAACTTTATTCAATTACTGTACAAAGAATTTCTAAATTCATAATCAAGTGGGAGATTGTATAATCATTACAGGAAAGTTTGTGGTCGTTTCATGGAGACTGACATTGTCCTTTGTGTAGTTGTGAAATAATTATTTTGAATTGATGGTTTTACATCAAACTAAGCACAATGCAGCTCTAGTCTATTCCATTTTGGTTCAGTGTCTCTATGCAGTACTTCTTACCTAGCGCAGTAAGGGTGTGATGTGTAATGTGTAAAATGGCAAACTGCATAATTGACTGCAGTGAATTAAAGCTCTTATGCTGTGAGAAATAACATTGCTTGACAGTCCCCTCACGTCCACTGCCGGTTGTGAAGCCGGCAGATTTCATTTGAACAGCATCCCATTCAACTCTAGGGATTTTTAAAGGCACAGTTCACATTATGATGCAGAAACACTGCAAATTCTCCAGCTAGTGCAGACATGACATATGTGGATATGAGCAAATTGCATCTCTGCCAGGAATTGCAGCATGTTTAACTGCTACAGTTTGTTATTGAAATAAAAATCCAGTGCTTAAAAAAAAATACATTGACTTTTTTTCCCCAATAGATTAATGGATCATTCATTTGATTACATTCAGGAAGAAAATCAACGTAGCAGTTAACTTACTGAATGTAAATGGTCGTTTTAATGGTTTTTGGTTAGAATAAAGCTTCCTATCCTAGTTCCCTCTCCAAAATAAATGGTGGTGTGTGTGTGTGTGTGTGTGTGTGTATGTGTGTTGAAAAGGTAAAACTCCCCTTCCATTCCAATGCGGAGGTCAAGTTCTCCCCCAGCCCAATCCTTCTTCACTGCTGTCACTTTTCCTAGCTCAAGGGTGAGGAATGTAAGGAAGGATTGGCTAAGGGGAAGAAAAAGTCAGCACAGGGGGTGGGGCCATGCTGCCATTAACCGTTTGTCCCCAGCATGCGGTGTGTGCTGACCACTGATGCTAAATATGCATCGAATTCACATTAGCTAGCCCAAAGCAAGAGTTGGCTAATTAGACTAAACTGAACCATATTGAAAGCATATCTGACTTAGCGAATATTTCAAGTTTGGCTATTCTGGCCTTAAATGTGAAATTCACTTTGAATTCTCACTTTAGTGAATGACTGAAAGTTTATTGTCTAAAGGTGATACTCGAAAAATTAGAATATCGTGCAAAAAGTTCATTTATTTCAGTAATGCAACATAAAAGGGGAAACTAATATATGAGATAGACGCATTACATGCAAAGCAAGATAGTTCAAGCCGTGATTGGTCATAAGTGCGATGATTATGGCTCACAGCTCATGTAATGCGTCTCTCTCATATATTAGTTTCCCCTTTTATGTTGCATTACTGAAATAAATGAACTTTTGCACGATATTCAAATTTTTCGAGTATCACCTGTATTTCTCATTATTCACAAGACTATAAAAATTAAATTATACTATAATTGAAGGAGGACTTTACCTTTAATGCTTCTTACGCAGACTTAGTGTTGCAATGTAAACACTAAGTGCAATAGGGACACTGCACCCAGACCACTCCAATGAGCTGAAGTGGTATGGTTGCCTATATTGTGACAGTGAATGCGGATATAGCATTTTACATTGTATCTAAAGGTCGATATCTGACACCTGACACAAAGTAACATTTGGCAAGAGTGCATGGTATTTCACTATATAATACATACATACACATACAGTGAGGGAAAAAAGTATTTGATCCCCTGCTGACTTTGAATGTTATATACAGCAATATGGTAATTGATTTGCATGTCACTGAGTGAAATAAGTATTTGACCCCTTCGACTTAGTACTTGGTGGCAAAATCCTTGTTGGCAATCCTTGTTGGCAATCACAGAGGTGAAACGTTTCTTGTAGTTGGCCACCAGGACACTGACCGTTATTTTGGATTTCTTCCATTTGTGAATAGTCGCACCAGCTGTCACCTTCTCACCACGCTGCTTGGCGATGGTCTTGTAGCCCATTCCAGCCTTGTGTAGGTCTACAATCTTGTGCCCGTCATCCTTGGACAGCTCTTTGGTCTTGGCCATGGTGGAGAGTTTGGAATCTGATTGCTTCTGTGGACAGGTGTCTTTTATACAGGTAATGAGCTGAGATTAGGAGCACTACCTTTAAAAGAGTGCTCCTAATCTCAGCTCGTTACCTGTATAAAAAAAAAGACACCTGGGAGCCAGAAATCATGCTGATTGATAGGGGATCAAATACTTATTTCATTCATTGACATGCAAATCAATTTATTACTTTTTTGACATGCATTTTTCTTTAATTTTTTTTTGTAATTCTGTCTTTCACTGTTAAAATACACATACCATTAAAATTATAGACTGATCATTTATAGGTCAGTCGGCAGACAGTCAAAATCAGCAGGGGTCAAATAATTTTTCCCCCCCTCACTGTAATATATATAATTTTTTTTTTCGGTTTTGAGGAGAGGGGAGCAGTCCACACTAGGAAGGGTTACTCCATCAAAAAGCTGAGTTTTCTTAAAACACTACTTTTTTTGGTTGGAGTAACGCTGCAAGTAAGCGCTATGTGGTACTTTTCTCTGTGTGCATAGTGTGCGCCCATAATGTAATGTGCTGCTTACGTCTATAAAATTTAGATAAGTAGACAGACAGATAGACAAGCAGTCACATAGTATAATTCACAGACTCCCACCAGTCCCGGATCTGGTAAGACTATCCCTTTTTGGACTCCTGTCTTGCTGTCCTTGGTTTGTCCATAGGAAGCACACTACAAGTGCATCATTAGATCAAATCGTGTTAAGGGCCCAAGGGTTATACAGAGAACTAAATCATTGCTCTGCGAGCGGTCTGCCCTGTTTGGGGCCACCAGAAAGACTCAGTCAGCCTGGTATTCACTAACACTAAGCTAACATGCTCCTTGTATGACCATGCCCCATTCCCAGGCAGGTCTGACAATTTTAGTAATCATCACGGACAATGTTTACACTGGTGGTGCCACTGTATCGAATTCATACTTCCCAATGCTGAGTGGCATTTCATAAACAAGTTTGAAAAAGTCCAGGAATAAAATTAGACATGCGTACCGTACAACCTAGCTGCCAAACAAAACGAAATAAAAAAATTAAAATGTTGCTTACGTTATTTTAATTTTAAATTAAATAATCTCAATAATGTAATATTCATTTTGTGTAAAATAATATAAATATAGTTCAATTGATTTGATTAACATATACATATATTTTGCAATGAGCATTATTTCATCCTAACAATTCATGATCAGGTCCTGTTTAGGGATTGTAAAATGCATTTGTGACCATCTTCATTTGTCCAAAGAACCAGAACCATAATCATGATTATATCTGTCAAATGTATTTTATCCTCTTCTACACATTACTTAGATAACACTTTACATGAATGGCAGATAAATGGAAATATGCATCTGAATTTGGGCCAAAAAACAATAAAAGAATTAGCCAAATGAAATCCTGACAGCAGCTCATGAGACAATAGGACAAAACACAGCTACTTTCACTTTGCTCATCAGTGTAATGGCCCACTCATGTTTCCTGCATGACTTCCTTGACATGTTTTGACAAGTGACACAGCTTCTGAAACATTTCACATTTCAAAGAGCGGTTTAGAGGAAGGATGCATATTTCACCACTTTGGTAACCACTACTGTCAACATGCAAATTTCTGCAGAGAACCTCCACATTGCAATTCTCAAAAATAATCTTTGGAATTTGAAAGCGTGTGAGAGACTTGTTCTATAGCGGTCTGTAGATGCTATGGTGTTCGATCTTCTCTGTAGATATTAAAGCAGGGATGCCCAAAAGGTAGATCCCCATAGATTTTAGAACTACAATTCCCATGATGCTTTAAAATGCCCTAAGAACGACAAAGGTTCATAGAAGCTGTAGTTTTAAAATGTCTGGAGATCTACCTTTTGGGCACCCTTGTACCAAGACATCCCTGATTTTACAAATAAAGTAATTTGTCATTAAAAGTATGGACATATTTAAAATGCTTGGGATTGTCTGGAGCCCAAAGGACTCAATCCTGACTTTAACCTTTCCTTGTTTTGAGGAGATATAACTTTGCATTACTATAGGTCTTTTTGGTTGTAACAATTGCTTATAATAATTATTTTGTTAATATTTAACTTTTTTATTTTCTAGACCACCATTCCAACATAGGATATTTACTATTGCCCTGCTTTCTATATACGCTCATATTTTCATGTGGTAATTATGTTGCATTACGTACACGGTTAGTGATATCACTATGTTGCAATTATGTTGCACTATGTACACCATTACTGATATCAACATTTATCTATACGTTTATTCCTTGTGTTATAAGTGTGTCTTAACTATACGGACCTGAATCTCACTTGATTAGGCTACATTTGTATTTTCTTTCTAAGGGAAGTAATTTTGGTCATGATAAATTTATGACACATTTTCTTTTTCTCACGGTAGTTACCGTGAAAGTATTATTTTATATGCGTGGTTATCTATATTGATATTTTGTAGGTTATGCTCTTTTTGATGGTATAAAGAGTTAACTTACTGACTCAGCCTAGGGGTAGTTTATACACTGATTGATATACTTAATTGGGTATTTAAGTGGTATGGTGTTAATGGGATATCAGGCTTGTCAAAGACACAGTGTGTGTTGAAACGTTACTGTTATGTTTGCATATCATGTGGTATTGAGACACTTTCTTTCTAGAAGAATATAAAAATGGGCAGCACTCCAGAATACAAGTGGTCACCGTTTATTAGAGGGAAGTAACCTCAGCAGTGCAACATTTCAACTTCATAGAGCCTTAATCATGCATGTAAGCTCTTTGTAAGCCCTCCTCTGCTAACCTTGCCCAGACTTTCTGTGGCTGTCCAATCACAGACTTCACAAATCAGCTCAATGAGAAGTCTTTGCAAAGCAAGTGCTCTATGCAATTGCTGCCTCTTGAGTTTACCTCCACTGAGCTAAGCAACCAGAAAGTAACAGGACCGGTTGTCTGACAGCCAGGGAGGTGTAATATGGTTAATTCATAAAAGTGCCAATTTATATAAAAATCTGCACTTTCTATAAAATGAAAATAGACACACTCGACATACAGAAAGCATTCTAGCAAGTTATAGTGCTTTAGGGGTCTAGAGAGTCCCTTTAGTATCACTGCTCTGTTAAAAGAACACTAAAAACAAACAAACCACAAAACAGGGAGTTATCCTGCAGAGAGATCTCTGTGTAAAGTGATCATTTATTTTGAAATGTGATAACAAGGGAGTACTTTTAACTTGTGATCTTGATGTTTATAAATGGAGATTTAAATCTGGTGATGTGCAGCCGTGTCAGAGCTGACAAGTTTATCACAACAACCTTTTGAGTAATGTGCTCTTAGCGTTGGGATTATTTTTTCTGCAATTGTAGAACAAAGAAATCTGAACATACGTTCCCTGCACACTCACTGCCCATTAACTTGATACTTGCCAGATTAAACAGATTAACCATAAAGTACATGTGTGAAGTCCTAAAACCCCCATCAAAAGATGCATGCATGATATAGCACAGCTGCCTCTGGCTCTGTACTTAGTGTTTGGATGGCACGTTTAGTTGGCCACAAAATTCTTTTATTTCACCCAACTCACCAGACAGGAGATTGGACAAGACTATGGGCAGCCATATAGCCCCCAATTCAATGGGTTAAAAGATCACTATAGTGTCAGGAAACACAAACTCATTTTCCTCACACTATAGCGCCCTTAGGGATAAAACCCCTTCAGCCACTTCTCTCCTCCCCCGCAGTCAGCTTCCGAGTAGAGCGGAATGCGCGGCAAGTGCCGTGCGCGCATTCAAACAGTCCATAGGAAATCATTTCTCAATGCTTTCCTATGGACGCCCTGTACGCTGGATACAAAAATCGCATCCAGCGTCACAGAAGCGTCTCTAGCAGCTGTCAGGAAGACAGTCACTAGAGTTTGGATTAACCCTGCTATGTTTACATATGAAGGGTTAAAACCTGAGGAACCTGGCACCCAGACCACTTCATTGAGCTGAAGTGGTCTGGGTGACTATAGTGTCCCTTTAAGAATTGTAAAAAAAAAAAAAAAAAACAATAGAATCCCATGTTTTGTAAAACCTTTATTTCATGCTTTGTTGGATGGAGAAAGGGGGAGGAAATTTCACATAGCCACTGATAGATTTAATGCATGACATATCACATAGGCATGTGCCTTTGGCTATTTGGCATACCCCTCTAATTTTATTCTAAGTTTATGTTCTACCAATACTAATATAATGAAGTTTTAGGTACAGCAGCCTTTTAGTGGACCTCACTATTTGTTTGTTTTAGGAGTTGACCAAATGTTAGCAAGTGGCTGCTTCACTATCCAGTTAAATCAGATCTATATTTTATCTACCACCAGACTCAGCCACGTAGTTACACAGGTATATTGCCTGAAAGCTGGAAATGTAACTCACTCCGTCATTGTCGGCTTGTCCAAAGTGGCTGGGGCTGGCATACTGTGTTTGTTGCGACCCAAGGTTTGATGTGCTCTTATACAAAGAAAAAAAAATGAATTTATCTCCCCAGTTTCATAATTTGATTTACTTGATCTTAATGTTGCAACACCTTATTTTCAGGCTTGTTTATAGCAAACGGGGGCATGAGCAGCATATTTGCAGAACTTAAGATCCAGGGTTAGGCATTCTTTAGCTATTTCTCTCTATGGAATATGGAGGTACGCATGCTTTGTAGCGCAGATATCTAATCCAATATCTATGACAGCATTTTAATGTATACAAGCCTGCAGACATGGTGAAGAGGCTTGTGCCAATCAGAATCATCAAAATGGGGAAGAAATGTGATATAAGGAACTTTGACCATGGAGAGATTGTTGGTGCCTAAAGTGAGGTTTTGAATATCTGCCGATCCCCTAAATATCGACAGTTTGGAGCGAATGGTGCAACCATCCTCATAAGCTCCCCCTCCTCCTTCCAGAGAAAAGTCATCCAGTGAGTTCCAGGTATAAATGCAAAAGCTTCTTGTTAAAGGGACACTATAGGCACATAGACTACTTCATCTTAATTAAGTCATCTGGGTGTCAATCCCCCCCACCCCCCCACCCCAACCTTACCCCACCCCCCACCTATAATTTTAATGATAGAAGTGAAAATGTTGGCATTCTGCAGGAACTCTTGGAAAAGTTTCAAGCAACTTGTTTAATTCATGCTAGAATTCAAAGAGTTCTGATGACAAAGTAGGGGAGACTACTACCAAGTATTAGAGAAGTGTGCCTAATAAACTGAGCATCGGATGTATATATCTTGTTCAACAATATATGTCCTCAGTCCAGTTTTCAGTGAAAAATTTCTAATAGCGAGTGTGAAATCGCATTGAATCATCCATAATAAGATGCTGTTGTTAATGAAGATTAACTGGAATTAAACAGTTTTAATTATAATGGATACAGCCTTTGGCTATCATGCGGATGGTATTCTCATTTTTTCCCATGGTGTGTTATGCTCCCGCACAAATCTGATTTATACACTACTATAGAAAAATCTGTCTGTAACCATGTGGCTACTGACGCTCCTTAGTAACCACCAACATTTACTAAGGAGGACCATCACTGTAGTGGTAACGATGTTTGGAATGTTCCTTTAACACATAATTGAATAATAATTCAATAACAATAATGAATTGTTAAAATTGATGTTATAAGCTGAGACGTATATTATGCTCATATATAATATATTTCTTATGATAAAACATTACAATTTGGATTAAATGTGTATTTTTTTTTTTTTTTAAGATTAAACAAACTAACAAAAGCCTGATGCTAAATTACCTAACTTTTATTTCAAAACAAACACATAAAACCAGTTAAAACACTACTGACCATTTTCACAATATTACATGCCTGCTATAGGAAAATATCTATCCCTTAGAATTATATCACGCCCCCCTATATCACGCTTTGGAATTAAGTCCTTAAGTGAGGAGGATATTTCTGCCCTATACATGCTGCTTTAAGCTAATAAAATGTATTATTATAATCCAGGAAAGGACACTGTGTATTCAAGCAATGTTTGAACTTGGCATTTGCATTATTTAACTACAGACATCCTAGCTGTTTAATCTGTCAGTTTCGTTCAGAATAAATTATATGCTTTACACAAGCGATCTGACAATACATGTTTAAGTTAAGAAACTCATAAATGTACACCAGCTTGATGCTTCATGAAATAAATATTGAAAAATAGTTCAATTATATTGGATCAAAATGACAGCATTGTCACTTTATATTTTTAGATGAAAGTAACTCATAAAAATATATACAAGACAAATCCTACAACTTTTGTATATTGTATATTCATAAAGCATTATTAAACTTGCAGTTTTACTTCTTTAGAATAATGTGTACTATGTGATCTACACAGTGAGTGTTTCATTGCTGCTCCCACCCCATGTGTAAGACACATGCACACATAATGTCACTTATTTGACAGCTACTTAGTCATGTTCTACACAGACACTTAGTAAGACAACTACAACAAACATACCGAAAACCAAAAAGGAACTGCACTCAATCCATAAATACAAGCCTGGGTGCAAAAAAACCTTTGAGCCAGCACCAAGTCCCAAGAAGTAGTTTGTAGTCACAGAGAAGAGAAAAAGGTCCATGCATGGCTTAGATAGGCAAGCTTATTGGATTACAGTGTTCAGCAGCAATGTTTCAACTACAAGGTCTTTTTCAAACTTGAAAGACATTTTGGTCATTACGTTGTTGCTGGACACTGTAGTTCCAATAAAGTTGCCTTTCAATGCCTGGAACTTTTTCCTTTTCTCTGTGACTACAACCTACACAAAACATACACATGCACACAGAGTGTGACATGTATACAAGCAGACATCTACACACAAATGTCAATAGACACTTCTACATAACCTTTTTGATCCCCTGTGGGCTAATTTTTAAACATAAGAGCTGTTGCTTGAACTGCATTATGGTATGACTAGGCACACATGGTGCATTTGGTCTGCACTGGAATAAAAGGTAAGTTTTTTAAAGGAGGAAAATTAGGGCCAGCCACCTAAATAGTTTTTGTTTTTAACACCATAGGGTCAGGAATACATTTTTGTGTTACTGACCCTACAGTGTTCCTTTTAAGCACTCATAGCTCTTGAAAAAGTTGACTGCAAATTGTAAATATTCTTACCGAATTCATTAGTTTATCAACAAAAAACACAATAATTGGATGAGCTAGGGACATAATATATATATAAAAAAAAAGTTTCTTCAAGGACAAAAATATTTAATTATCATTCATAAGGTTTGTCATTGCTATAAAAACAACCTTTTATTTGTGCAATATTGCAAAACCTCAATCCTCATGATATAATATACATAGAAGTTACAAAGAAACATAATCATACTTACAAGAAACATCTAATTAAGATGTACAAAAAAAAAAAGGTAATAGTATCCCTATTTTGGTGACTGTAATTACTCATTTTTTTCCCATGTTGTTAAAAAGGAAAAAAGGTGACATTTCAGGACCCTAGACAGCTCCTGTGAGAAACAGTATCACAAACACATCTGTAAATATATATATCTTGATATAAACCGACTTTACTGTCAAGTTCCTGGTTCTGACATATTAGCAATTATAAAGTATACAAGTTTTTTAATGTTCTGAAATATTAAAAAGTGACTTAAATATAATTTTTGTACCCTATTGTAGAAAGATAAAATTATACAATAATCACATATCCTTCATTGAGGATTTTGTTGAGTTTTGGGAATGGAATTCCCAAAAACCATCACCAGAATATTATTATTTAATTTCACAAAGCATCTCCATTTCAAGTGACATTGGAGGCTCTCATATTGTATACAAAGCCACCCCACCACTTCCCCCAGATCTTGTTCCAAATTCCAGAGTACAGTGATCTCTGCAAGCTCTTGTACTATGCCTGTGGGAAACAGATGATGACATTTACATTCTATGTGCAAGAGGGAGAAGACCTGACGGGAGCTCTCACAGTGAAATTTTTTTGTCACTTTGGTGGGTTAGGAATTAATTTAAGTAGAACGGAAGTGGGCTTTATTTTAATTTAAACAGTACAAAAAAAAAAATGATGTGCATATAAATTTTCATATTTCAAATATATGTTACTGAAGGTGATATATGTACTTTCTTGAGGTGTACACAAGGTACCCAGGAGTCAGTCAACAAAGTGTATATCCAGGGGTATTACAAGATATAATATTTTATTTGAAGATATGAAGAGTTGTATGCAAATATTTACACTAAACACTCTTTTTCATAGAAGATGTGTTTGTTTTAGTTTCCTTGCTACATGCTAGCCTCCTAGAATAAAATTACTGAAACTTTATTAATTCTGAAAATAAATCAATTCATCAATCAAAAATCCCTCTAAATTCTTATTCGCTAGAAAAAGAACCTGATTGCTCCCGGGCAACATATATCCATTGTAGCATGACTGACAGATTCTGTTATTCAAAAATAGCAACATGTTACAGTTATTTTTGCCTTATGGGGCATGTCAATCTTTTTCTGAGATACAGCCTAAAATATATTGGCATGCATGATTTACAAATTCCAAAAAAATTAGAAAAGTGTGATATGTCTCCCAGCATGCAATGTGACAATATACAAATGTGCATGCAGTCTCACTTTTGGATTACAACCCACATTTCCTTGGGTTCTCTTAGCAACTGCTTGCTTCTATGTACCCAGGTTTTATACTCAAGCATGGAGTTGTATCACAGCTTACAAACACCAACTTCTGATCTTATCGAGTAAAGAAATGGCTACACACACTATTCACTAAACTCAGAATGGCTCTGTACTGAATGAGGCAAAATCATTCAGCTGCAAATGGGGTCAATCAGACTGTAAAATCCAGATATTGTTAACAAGGGAGCCATAGTGCTGGCATATAACTTTGCATACCTAGCACTATAGCATCCATTTAAGCAGTGTGGATTTTTCCACTTGAGAACCTTATGCTTGAATTTGCACTTGTGTGGTTTTAATTGGCCAAGAAATGTAAATGTGATGGCACAGCCATGGGTATAATAGACACAGGAACACCAGAAGCAATATAAAATCATGTGTAACATTGTTTCATCAACGGTAAATCTTTATTACAAGGCCATTATAAGTGATAATCGACACTAGTTAAATAGAAAAGCCCTTGTTAAAACACAAATAGCAACTTATCAAAAGTGATATATATTTTTTTTCTATTTGTGATTTTACACCCAGTTAGATAATCAATTTCCTTTATGGCTTCATTGCAGAATATGTACCTTCTTTTTTTATTTTTAAATTATTTATAGTTTGGCACGGAATATACATACATCCCCAATGCACAAAACAGCAAAAGTAATGTGCCCAATAGTATTTAAATGAAAATATAGAGGCACAACAAGCAATTGAAGAACCTCTTAAAAAAAAAAAAAAATATTTTCTTTTTTTTTTTAGAACATTTCACTTTTTATCCTACAGGGTGAACCAAAAAAAAAACCAAACATACAACATGAAATAAATGTCATTTTTAATGCCAGGACCTACTTGCTCACTACTGGTGTGAATGTATGCTTATGTGCTTGCCTCAGAAATGCTTCATCAGACCATCAAACCGCTTAAATCAAATCCACAACACATCCCCAGTGAGAATAGTTGTGAATATTCCAAGATTCTAATTTAGTCACTGAGTAAAGCCATGTACCAGCCAATTTTTTGGCAGTTGCAACAACAGTAGAGATGCAAAGAAAAAATTGCTGCCCAGCTGTTTTGGGGCTGAGAGATGTGACCCCTCCAGCTGAGAGCCCTTTGTGCTGCTGAGGCTGTTTCCTAGCAACCAGAATTTGAAGCTGCCAGACTAGAAAAAGCAAAACTATGACTGATCGAAAAAAAAAAAAAAAGGCACATGTAAAATATAATGGTTGAATCTGCAAGTTTAGAAATATCTCAGGCCTCCCAAAGCATGCTGAAGACAAATGTTCTGTATTATATTATATATATTCAACATATATAATTTTAATTTTTATATAGTAGATATTACAATCTTGGGGAAAAACTATTTTGTCGGATTATGAGTTTTCATATTAAACATGTTTGTAGAAAATAAACAAAATTGTAAAATTCAAAAATACAGTTGGTACATGGAATAATTTAAGAGAAGCAAATTGTGAATACACATTATATCTCATCATTGGAAACTGATAAAACTTCACATTAACTATATTATTTAATGGTGATTGATTTAATCTCTCTGATTTAGGAGTAACATTAAATAGTTGTTAAACAGTCAATAAATTAAATAGCCTACTTTAGAAAAACAAAGGCAATATTCTTTTGTTTAATAACCCAAGGAAAGCTACATAGAACTTTAATATAATTAAATATAGAACACAGCAATTGGGTATTTATCATATGTGTAAAAAGCAGGCTGAGAAGTGGCACATGTCTATATTTAAACACTATATTCACCAGAACAATGTAGTTGTTATGGTGTCTACAGCTTTGCCCTACAGGCTTTTTAACATAAACATTGCTGTCTAGGAAAACCTCTAGCAACAGTCACTCAGATGGCCACTAAAGGTGCATTCAGTGTCTCCATGGAGACACTGAACGCTGCCTATAGAGATGCATTGATTTAATGCATCTCCATGACGACATGATGATTTGCGCAGCGTGGTGTTTTGCATCGCATGCGCAGTAGCCTCCCAATGCTTTCCTATGGGAACGTTTTGGAATGGCTGAGATAATCAAGTTTGCGGATCTCAGCCAAGGGAAGACCCACGAGAAGACCCACATGGTGCTGGATTAAGGTGAGTAAAATCACTTTAACTGGGGGGAAAGGAAAGTGGGGGCCTAATCGGAGATCTTAGAGCTATAGTGTCAGGAATACATGTTTGTATGTAGTGTTCCTTTAACCACTCACGTAACACATTGAAGCAGGAAAATTTTGAAAATTTAAAATCAAAGTAAATTGTTGTATTGGAGCTTCCAATCCAAACCGTAAATAACCAATGGGTGTAATAAAGGTGTATTGCCCTATCACCTTAGAGATACATACAATGAACACAAAATAATCACACCCACAGTGAACACACATTATATACATTAGCACTGGAGTACAGGAATAATTATCACATCTGGAAAAGATAAGAACAAATACACAGTGCTTTCAGTAAAATAAGGAACTACGCGAAATATAAAAAAAGAGTGGGACTCTCTTAGTAGAGCCATATCAAGCTCTATGTAAACAGCTTCAGAGTTGCCTATACAGGCTTACGAGGTGTGTCCAGAACAGGGACAACAGATCTCAGGATAGATAGTATTCCGTCATTAAGAATAGGGCATAAATAATAATGTACATTACTCCAAGGCATCTCCAAATGTTGTTTATAAAATTAATTTGCAGCCAATTCAATCTGCAGACTTTAAAACCTTCCCTTGTTCTGACCACTATGCATGCAGGAGAAGCCGATAGGTCACTGCTAGTCATGACAGAATAACAATCAATTCCTGCCAGTTGTGTAGTCTATTACATGCACATTGTTTTTATTGCTTGATAAATAATGCATACCATTTATTTGATTTTAACCCTAGAACCACCAAGAAAAAGGTATGACCTGTCCATTTGTGCAGCATTTACTGACAACTGTGCTTTGTAATTCATGGATCTAAAACAGAGTATTCCAAAAGGAGCTTATAATTTAAGTACATATAATAAATATTAAATAACTAGTGTAGCTTAACATTTTATAGGAAACACTGTTCTATAAGGGCACAGAGAAAGAGCATTTTTAGGTTAGACATTTTAAATCACCAGTTCTAGATCATTAAGAAGAAAAACATTAAAAGGAAATATTATTAGGTTGGACTGCAAACACACTAACAAACAAAACAAATGTGCAACCAAAGCGAAAAGAGAACACGTCCATTCCCAAAAAAATCAGATTAAAGAAGCAGTTATTGGGGCAAGAGTGCCTGGGTGCAGCCTTACCTTCAGAGGTTAATCAGCTTTCCAAATGTTTAACCCTAAAGTTTGCTCCCGGTGCATGGCACCTCTGCCTCTTGTCTTGGTTCTTCCCATCCCCCACAGTGAACTAGAAGGTTTGCTGAGCAGCAGGCATTACTGTGTCACTGTCAGAGCATTGAGACTAATAGTACTGTGTATACTCTCAATAGTAAGTGGCTCGCCAGTGATATAAATGGCAAATAGACACCCCCGCCCCCTGGATAGCTTAATTGAGATGAAGATGTGAAGTGGGTGGGAGTGTTCCCTTAAATAAAAAAATTAAAATTAAACCTCTTGGTTTCATATACACACACACACACACATATATATATATATATATATATATATATATATATATATATATATATATATATATATATATATATATATATATATATATATATATATATATATATATATATTAAATATGGATAAGTTGATTTTTCTAATTCAACAATTTTGGCATCAATAAAATCTCTAGATCATAGTATATCCCCTGTGCCTTGCATGCTCTCGTTATACAAAAAAAAAAAAAAATGAAACCCCATCAGAATGCTACTAGAAATGCAGGTGTGAAAAATAAAATTTATAGTGGTCAATAATCATCTCAAGTAAAGCTTAGTGCCTATTGCTTTAAGCATAGCAAGGTCAAAGATGATCAGATAACCCAATATGCTCTCCATGTGTTTGGTCAAGTTCGACCTTCAAAATATTAGTGAATACACAAAGTTCACATTTTGCTAAAAAAAAAAAATAAAAAAAAAATAATATATATATATTCTCTGAGCCATCTCTCTAGAGCCTAGACAAACATGACCCTGTTTGAATAAAGCTGCAAGTATTTAACTGCATTAGCATTGTAATGGAAGATATGATGGGAGATCGATATCTGTCTCACCAGCTATTCACCACTGAATTGATAAATGTGAATAGTAAACAAACAAACAAACATACATTCTCACAATTTTATTTTAGTCTTTTTTTGCAAATCTGCAATTCAAATGCAATTATAACAGAGAGGACATTTTGGACATTTAATTTGCTCACTGAAATTATTACCATTGTGGTTCTAACCTTAGAATTATACAAATAGCAATATAACAATTTTACTTATTTTAACAGGAGTTCAAATGGAGTATTTTACCCCCTCTACACTAAATACTTTTTCTTTTAAGCATAAGATGAACAAAACTAGATGCACTGGTAGCACAGAGAGGGTGGGGTGTGTATCTTAAACATTGAGCAGGTTACTACAGTGTTAGGAATACATGTTTGTGTCCCTTTAATTCCTGAATAAAGAATGAGGCCAGTGTGGCTTTTTGGGCTAAAGTTTTTATCTGCATTTCATTGCAATGAGAAACAAAAGTCCACTTATGTAGAATTGTTGCCGATAGTGAATGATTTAATAAAGAGTTGGGAATTGATTTGTGCGAATTATGCCATTTTATAACGATCATAATATATTGTTATATTTCTTTATCATTTAAATATTATCAATTTGTTTACTATCAACCATTACACTTAATGAAAGATTGTTAACTCAACTTTTTAAAGTTGTTCGCTCATTTGTTATATTTCGTCAAACACACATGTACTATGTTTTACATTTGTTGTTAACGGATGTCAGTCTGATTCATATGTGGGTTTAAAGGGAGTTCATAAAATGTTCTTACAGTAGGTTGTTTATTGTTACATTACCTGTTCAAATAGAAATAACGGTCACAAAATAAATAATGGATAAAACTAGTTATATTTATATACAGATTTCTAGCCTACCTTTTAAATTTTTTTAAAGCACTATTTCCCCTACAGGTTGTTCAGCTGCTGCGTTCAAAAGTGATTAGATTTAGAAATGTGTGCATGCTTCATAGGTACATACACATTTTTCCTGTTCACTTGATGTTAGGGAAGCAAATCTAGCATTTATTTTAAATTAGTTTTGGGCAAATACAAAAATAGTCAATAACCAGGGAATACAAGACAGGTCTAAAGGTTGACATGTACACTGGCATATGTCCACATGTCCTAACAAATGTTTTATATTCCCAAAGTAAGTTTATGAGGAGGACGTACAATCTTCCATCGTGTTCCCTCAATATGTGTCTATGCTTCACCTACAGCAGATGAAAGATCTTAACAGAAGGAACAATATGGATACTGAATTCTCTTTCTAAAGATGCAGTTTTATATAAAAAAGGTCTGGTTTATTTTTTTGGGAAAAACAATGGTATTTCAGTAGAGTTAACTAGTGTTGAACCAAGGAATACAGATTGTCCAGAAAAAAATAAAATAACCACCAAAAAAGACAAGGCTGGAGGCTGAATATGGTGAGCTTGAGTCTTTTTTTCAACCTATATTACTCTGCAACAATGCATAGAATGTAATCAGGGCCGGCGCGTCCTATAGGCGACTTAGGGCGCACCGAACCGGGGAGTGCCAGATTTGATTAACCGTCAGAAGGGAAGCGCACAGCACCCCCCCACCCCCCTTTTGGGTATTTTACCCCATCTTGCCACTCTTGTGTTTCTCATTTTCTGTCTTTTAACCTCGTTTTGCATATCTTACCCCCTTTTTGTATCGCTTACCCTCCTTATGCGTAGCATACCCACCTTCCCCCCCTCCCCCCTTACTTATAACCCTTTTGCCTCTTTGGCATCTTCTTCCCTTATTGTACCTCCTATAGCAGGGTTGGGCAATCTCGGGCACTCCAGATGTTGTGCACTTCATCTCCCATAATGCTCATACATTCATAATGCTTACAAAGCATCAGGGGAGATATAGTCCACGTGTGGTGTGCCAAAGTTGCCTACCCCTGTCCTGTATTAGTGTGCATCATACCCATCCCCCTTTCTGCATGACAACAGCAGCTACTGTTGGTTTGGGCAGAAGATAATGAAAATCCTATATCATTCTTATGAGGCCATGATACAAGTAGTAGCAGGCAAGAGGGAGTTGCTCTGTGGAGTATTGTTTCACATTCATCAAATTACATTCACCATGAGATATTAATATCTCATTGTTTCTAAGAGAGATTCTGTTCCTTTTTAAGACGGGGTGTTCTGTGTCAATAATAAAGTTGTGTTCATTTATTTATTTCAACCTATATATTTCACATGTCGTCAGTTATATGGAAATCTCAGTCTATTTGGCAAACAATGCAATAAAGACATTCAGAACTACTCTCTAAAGTGGCGAGTGTCATGAATTCAGAGTTAATTTAAAATTTTAGACTTTCCTATTCCAATATTGTGGCCTAAAGTTTAAATTTGCTTTGTTTTCATTCACAGGTGCCAGCAGTCCTGGATTTGCTGGGACAAACCTTTATTTTGGGGTACTGTACCAGCAAATATAATTACAGGGAACCTGTCCTGCATTTTGAAACCTCACAGCAGATTTCAAATGAAGGGGACTGGGCACTATGCCTTGAGTGTTCGAGCAGTGCTCCGAGCATGGTCTGCTTGAGAGGGTAGGGTGTTAATCATCCTGGCCACTCTCTTTAAGGACAGGTGAGTGGGACCACCCTCTTGATGGGTGGGTCTGCTCTCTTTACTGCCCAACTCCGTCCCAGAAGGTGGGTAGGGAAGATTGGCAGGTATGTTCCCCTAAAATTCCTGATAATTCACAATTTACTTAATCACGCTTAGAATTTTCATGTGCAGACTCAATGTACAATTTGCAATATGATCATTATATTTTTACCCTCTTTCAATTCCAATCCTAGCTAATCAGTTGGGTGCATTTTCGTCTGTCCAATGGAATGCTTAAGTATCAGCATTTAATTATAGTTATATAAATTGGCATTAAAGTCTTCCTTGTAATATTTAAGAATGTAGGCCTCTGTGTCTAAATCAGTGAGAGGGGTATCTAATTTTACTGAGATTCTTTAGAGATCGTGTGTCAGCTGTCTAATGAAAGTGTCTGGCATGTCTAATTTATATGTAATCCCTAAGCCTGCAGCAGTTGATAAGGTGTAAGATATGTAGAAATTGATGCCAGTGGTTTTAGTACAAAGATTATTCTAAGTGTTTCGTTAACTCAGCTTTTTTTACTATTGGCTTCTCATACTAATCTTTTTATACAATTTTCAGGCTTCCAGTATTAATATGTCAACTGTCGATTTTCATATGGCTGCCAACATCAGAGCTGTGCTTTGAGTTAGCCTATTAATAACTTGGATTTACTGTTAAATGTTTTTAATTAATTTTCAGGACATTTAACTTGTTCGTGAAAAACAGGGTATTTACCATGTACTTTTAAATTTTGGAGGCATCTCATAATAGTTTCTAATTCTCTTTTTAGCCACAGAATTTTCAAATTATGTTAAACAATGAAATAATACAATATACCATTTAAACAAAAGCTATGGTAAATGTTAAATACAAGTGGCTCATATTTTATTTTTTATTTTATTTTTTAAATAAAAAGGTTTTTCTGCTTCCCCCACCCCCGCCCCCTTTTTCTGCTTATCTTCAAAGTATCACAGTGACATTTCATAAACTATAGAATAACAAAGAAAAATAAATCCAGGTCTGTATTTAATGGCCGACGTTTTAAAAATCAAATGCGTCCTCCAGTCATTTGCCCTTTGTCATCTCTGCCCACTGATCTGAAAACTAGGCAGCACAAGCCTATTAACCTGCATACATCATCACTGGCTAATGTGCATTTTGACATTTTAGATTGTTGACCCTTTAGGATGCTTTTCTACTCAAAGAGAATCATGTAGTCGATATAGTGTAAGTAGAAATGCATTCTTCCTTTCTAAAAAGACTACATCCTCCAGTTGTATTTTTATTGTAAGTACGTTTGGAAAGTTAAAATGCATGTAGTACATGATTATTTGAATCCCCACAAAAAAAACACAGAGCATTACAAAAAGCATGCATTTACACATCATTAGCCAATCAGAGATTGCTTCCTTCAATACTTGTCAAAAAAGTAATCCTACTTAATAAAACATACCTATACCAATCTTTTACACCAACTTGTTAAAAAAAAAAAAATGCTATAAGAGCCCAGTTACGTTTTATGCCATTAGCGTAATTCATTATTAAGATGAAAAACAATAGTTACATAATATTTCACTCCATGTTCAGTTACAGAAACATATGAATTCAATCTTACAAAACATCCCTGGTGTTTTACATCCACCAAGAATTAGGAGAATTTAGAATCTCTTGATCACAAACGCATCAAGAGATCTGTGTGACATTTGGTACTTGAAAAACCAGCATGCATAAAACAACATCCACAATCCACACACAATGTAATATTTATAAAGTTGTCACAATCCCTCTGCTGGTACATAACATGGATAAAGTGAATGATGATCCAATTTTCTCCCATGCGAATTACATCTTTATCTCAATTTTACAATTGAAGACCAATTTGTCATATTAGAATCTCTGTTCTACATTGGATGTTCAATGCAAATTCTAATGATAATAGTGGAATTTTGAATAATTTTATAAATGTCATAATAAGACCAATATATTATCAGTGACAAAAAGAAAAATGCTGTGCTGCACAATGTTAATTATAAACATTAAGCAATAAGCATACAGTCTGTATGTGTGTTTGCAGATAGTGACCCCATTTGATTATAATACTTGATGTTACCATTGTGATCTGTAATTTTGGAAATTTCGAACAAAATCTTCAACTCAGTGTGAAACACTAATCCTTATTCAATATTCAGTTCTAGAAACAGAATACAGCAAGGCATGCTGGATGTTATCTTATGTAAATGGAAATCCCTAGTAGTATTATCAAGCCATGGTTATCAGTAATGAGTCAGTTATCAGTTTTATAGCCTGATCCCATGCATGCCATTACATAATTTAAAGACTTTTTAAAAATTTGAAAAATCACACTTGAAATTGAACAAGTCCATATTGTGAAGAATTTGTTTTGTTGGATGTAAATCTACAGTTTCTGCCTGAAATAGTAAACAGCTGTGAATTCTCAACCAATGCTATTCATTATTATCAATGTGTTTCAGAGAGTAATGTGCAGATCCCATAAATCAACGCTAAGCTTGTTAATCAGGATCTGTTAGTTTGAGGAGTAGCTTAGTGTATGGGTTATAAAGGAAGCTGTTCTACAGGCTGAGAAAAAATATGAAGACATTTTTTGTTTACACAAAGTACAAGAATTTGTACTGGCATTGAAATACAAGATTTCCCTATGTGACATCACCAATTCTCCTCATTATAGCTGCATCAATTTGTAGCATTACCTAATGCTGCAGCTATAATGAAGAGAATACAGGGAGATAAAACCTAAAACCATCTTCATGGGAATTTTCTCTAAAATAAAATGAGATTTAAAAAAAAAAAATTTTTTTAGCAATCCATAACCATGCCAATTTATTCTTAATCCGTACAGAGATAAATTATGCCAGTGTAGTCTGGAGAATGTCGACACAGCACAAATTATTCCCGAACCAATATAATCAAAATCTGTGACAGTTTACTGATGAAGGTGTTGTGTGATCAATCAATTGGACCTTTCATCTACTAAACATGGGTGACAAAGTCAGCGTCAGATAAGAGTTCATATTTATTTTATATGCCATATTGGTGTAATCACCCCAAAATGCATAGATTAGAATATTAGAAATGTGTATATCACATTACATATTTTTGGATTAAGTTTCGAATTTCTGGGCAAAAGGATGTGCATAAATACATTTCAACTGATTTTTTTTTTTTTTTTAACTATGAACAGCATAGAAATGAATGTAAACACAAAAAACCCCAAAAAACTACATACATAAATAAAAAAAAAAATAAATAAAAAAAATCTTTATATTTTGCATGTGGTTATTTAGCATTTTAATCATCTATATAAAAGATCCATATGTTTTAATTTTTTAAAATTGTAATGTCATATTTTCTTAAAAATAAACAAAATCCTTGTGCGAACTAGGAATAAAATTATATATATAAGGTTTAATAAAGTGCTACAAACATGGATCGCACTTAAATTAATTACCCCTGTATTCTGTATAGCCTAAATACAGTTCTAAAACATTAAATCTGTTTATTGGGGGTGTGAAACCCTAGAAATTAAAAGAACAGTAAAAACAGACCGTGCTAAACCAATGACCCTAAATGTAAGTGTATGGTGGGAGTTACTTTTTTGCCCCCCATTGTAAAACAAGTTCAATAGTACTCTAATCCAACAACGGACCCTTTCCCCCAAATAAATAAAAGTAATAACAAATAGAAGTACTGTTTCCCAATCACTTGCCTTGACTGCTATGGTCAAGAATGAATCCACTAAAACCATGTAGATTCCTGATGTAAAGTTTATTTTTGCATGACAGTTCCATTTTAAACATTGATACAATTCAGTTATTGGAGTGGCCTTCATGAAGCTTTTAAGATTTGCATTCAGTTTATAGATTATATCATTGTTTATTTGTATCCAACAAGCAAAAATTCACAATCTAAATTCTGAAAAAGTATGACATCAATGGCTTAGATGCTATTCAAAAAGATCAGGATGCAGATATAGTGGATTAAGCGCTGAGCTCTGTACTTGAACCTTTACCAACTAATAAGAAAGTATCAAGTAAAGAACTAAAACGCTTGTCCAATGTTTACTGAGACCAGTGTAATAAAAACCTAGGAAAGAAAGTTCATGGGAATAGGTAAATTAATTTCAAAAGCAAAAAAAAAAAAAAAAAACACATGGTTGCAGACATCCTGTTTGGGGGCCCAAAACATAAATGATGTTTAAATTCCAATGATATTGCATTGACACAAGCTAAAAGTAGAAAAATAAATATCTATAAAGCCTTTATTGCACAAGTTATTTTTATTAGTCAAATTAGTCTATGAAAAATAGTACAGCACACAAATCTAATGATAACCTCAACATAGGGTGATATCCAAACAAGTGCCACCACCACAGATGATGTTCATCACGAGAATAAATTGCATGTATTATTTACTCTCTATTTAAAATGGAATTAGCTATGTTAGCTAATCACAGGCCTATGAAAGCAAGTGCTCAGTCGGGGGTTATCCATCCTAGACTGCCCAGCTCTAAGCGGATCAAGTATGATGGGGATTACTGTTGCATTATGTTCTGTCTAAGGAGGAAAATGCATCTCTACATCTGTTAATATTCGTGCACACAGTGCGTGTGTAATATGTAAAACTTGCATACTCTTAATTTAGGAATGGGTCTTTAAAAATGCATTTTGTTGCACATTAACTAGTCATCTGATTATAAATTGATAGCACTTGAGCTACTGACTAGGTTGAATGTTTAAAAAGTAGCAGCATTGGACTTCCCTGAACGCCTGTCATTCTATGAAAAGGCTTTGGCATCTCATATTCCTTTGGCCGCTATGTATATCATTGTTTTAAATTGGAAAGGATCTATATGCCCTATGAAGGTATTGCTGGTAGAGAAACGCTGAGCCAATTATACTTATGAACTAGCAACTGCCCTTACACCGGACCAGAAAACTACAATTTCCCATATTTAGGAACCATAGTGTAGAGTGGTTCCACAGACTCCTACTTTGTTAGAAGTTCCTAACAGGTTATCAGATGTTCACTCCTTGATAACTGATACAAGATGCACCAATTTGTTACTTTATTATGATTCATTTATGTAATGTATTCTTTTATATCAGTTTTGCTTCATTCTCTGTGTAGTAAGTTTTATAGAAGCTATATCATGCCGTGGCAGAACTACCACAGTGACAGAGGTCGCAGCTGTGACTGGGCCCATCACAGCAGGAGGCCTGGCTACCCTGTTGATCCCTGCCAACGCACAAGGACCTATGGGCTGGTATAACTTCAGGACCGGTACACAGCACCGGCTTGCGCGGTCTCTGGGTGACAGGAAGGGAGCGCTCAATACAGCGCTGTGACACATGGTGGGGCTGGGGAGACCATGATACTATAAAGGGGCTGGTGGGATGAGACACATGGAGGAGCTGGGGGGGAAGACACATGGAGAAGCTGGGGGGATAGACACATGGGAAGCTGGGGGGATAAGACACATGGAGAAGCTGGGGGGATACAGACATGGAGGAGCTGGGGGGATAAGACACATGGAGGAGCTGGGGGGATAAGACACATGGAGGAGCTGGGGGATAAGACACATGGGAGGAGCTGGGGATAAGACACATGGAGGAGCTGGGGGGATAAGACACATGGAGGAGCTGGGGGGATAAGACACATGGAGGAGCTGGGGATAAGACACATGGAGGCTGGGGATAAGATACATGGAGAAGCTGGGGGATAAGATACATGAGAAGCTGGGGGATAAGATACATGGAGAAGCTGAGAATGAGACACATGGATGGACTGGGGGAATGAGACATGGAGAAAGGAATGAGACACATGGAGGGAATGAGACACATGGAGTGAGACATGGAGGCGGAATGGGAACACATGGAGGCTGGAATGAGACACATGGAGGGCTGGGGCATGGAGGGGCTGGGGGTGAGACACATGGAGGGCTGGGGGGTGGAATGAGACACATTGAGGGGCTGGAATTGAAAATTTGACACATTGAGAGGCTGGAGGAAGAATGAAACCGAGTCTGGCTTGGGAAATGGGGGTTACACACATGATGGGCCCAGGGCAATTTTGCACCAGGGCCCGGAAGTTTCTAGTTATGCCTCGGATACCAAATCTATAAATATCTGATGTTTGGTTTGTTGTGTATTATAAACATCAATAAACTTTAATTTAAAAAAGTGGCAGCGTGTAAGGAATCCGCAAGTTTCTATAAATTGTTGTAATCATGGATATGGACTTTATCCTTGATTCAAGCTAGTTGTGTAAGTCTGATGTTTTACACTTGGATCTCTGAAAGAAAAGTACTATTAAACATGACACCAGAGCAAGCTTGTGTCCATAAAACTTATTATTACAAAAAAAAAAATAAGAAGCCAACACTGAGGCTGCTATAATGAATTTACATTATTAGGAATCGATTTCCTTTGTCTCGAAAGTAGCTACACTGCTTGTATTCTGCAGACAGGCTGTATTAAATCTCCATTGTTATGGCTGGCTTCAACCTTTATTAGGATTCCCTGGAGCATGAAAACATAAAAATGAGACAACTGCAAATGCACCTTGATTTATGATGTCACTCGAATGACCTCACCAGAAATTGTACATGTGGCCTCCTTATTCTCTCATACATTACATAATGTCTGCCAGTTAACAGAAAGCTGATGTCACCATAATTTGTAGCACACTACCACGAACCATTGTGCACTGGGCAGCAACTTAAATGTTGGTAGGAACACAGACCGTGACAGACAATGTGACCTTCTAAACACTTGTATTAATCTACAAACCAAAACCTTGGCCAGAGTAAGAGTCAGAGTCAGAGTCAACCTGGGTAATAATCATGTAAAAAAAAACTTGGTACAATCAGCTTTTGACAAACCGCTTTAACTGTTGTAAATTTGACCAAATAGGTCCAATGTTGAATTCAAGTTGTATGAATAAGAAACTCTTTGGGAAACCACACTGTAAGAGACAAACAATAAGATAAAGAGAGAATAATGACATGCTGGAGAGACGTTAAGCCAGTATTAAAGTAAAGCGTCCCATGTATTAAAAGGGTATCCCCTATCCAAGCGTCTGTAGCTCCTAGTAAGAGACCGTGGCAGATTGGACTGGAGCCCCTGAAGCCAGTGACTAAGTCCTAGTGTATCAAATTAAAATCTGACAAAACATCTGGGTGCCTACGGTGTAAATCTCATTACTATTATATATAGTAATACTGGTTGGCTGTAATAAAGAGAGCCACGTAGTGACTGTGCCACTCATAGAAGTGACTTGAATTGATGCTATTACGGGTAGACAAAAATCAAGTGCCAGCTAAATCAGGGATACACTGTATCCAATAACTATATATCTAGTGCCGGCTAAATTCGTGATACATTGTATCTAATCGCTAATAATACTTGTGGCAAAAGCCGTCGCCCACTACGTTGTAGTCTCAATGCTGGAATGTGATACGAGAGCAGCCTCAGGCTGTCTAGCTGCTAAATGAGAGACCAGCGTGCCAGATGTACTATCCAAATCGCAGGCTGATCTTCACCTAAGGGAGAAACCACGCTAGTCTAAACGTGCAACAGAGTAGAAACCAGATAACTCATTATCCCAGAGAGTAGGTCAAATCACGTAGACATACATAAAAAAGAAAAGAAAAAAAGTCTCCAAGGTCTAAGTTGACTTCTCAGCGTGTCTGGGTAACAAATGGGGAGAAATAAATAAATCATACAGCGGTACGATCTATGGCGGCGAACCCGCATACCTGCCCCCCATCATTCCCTAGAAACCAGATCCAAAAAAAAAACAAACAAAAAAACGTACTGAATGGCTACAGAGAGGAAACTAAGCCTGTCTATGCATACGCCTGACGCGTTTCGGAGCTGCTACAGCGCCTTCGTCAGAGGCATAATGACGGCTCCAGTCCAATCTGCCACGGTCTCTCACTAGGAGCTACAGATGCTTGGATAGGGGATACCCTTTTAATATATGGGATGCTCTTAAAGGGCCAATTTGGGCACCCCTTTATTTTAGGACTGGCTCTCCAGCCAGTCATTCTTTCTTCTTATCTTGTTGTTTGTCTCTTACAAGCTTTACAATTTTCACAGTTTTTACTTGAAGTTTATCATTAAAGGTTAGGTTTTAATTTAAACTCACACGGTTCCCCAGGGACTTCCTATATCTTGACCCCCCAGGGCTGCTTGCTCTAGGGGCCATTTTTTTCTTGTTTACCGCACACGAGTGAGGGTTAATCCATGCAGGTTGTCCCTGACACAGTGTCGCTTGTTCCCCCAGGGGTGACTAGCTTACTCTACCCCAAGTTTGGGATTTAGCATTATCATTTATTGTTTAAGGTTTGGTGCTGGATACACATAAAAAAAAAAAATAATAATTTAAAAAATTAATTATACTTTTACCCTGTATACTTTGTTCACAAATTTACAATCTAGTCCTCCACTACTGATAAATAAAAATACAATGTGTCATTTAAAATTGTATCTTCACTTTGAGAGTCTTTTCACGTTTGTCTTTTATTAGTTTAAAATGTGTATCAAAATTTTGTAGTTATGGTTACAGAATTATTGCAGATGTACAAATGCATTTATACATACCTTACTTCTATATATCACGTATTAAACAATGCAAAAAATAGAATCTCTTATATAATAGGAAACAAAGATAGGATTTTGGTTGAAAATATGCAGACATACTAACAGTTTGAATATTGATTCTGTCTACAGATCTCTGTGACTATGAGTCAGTTTGACAGTATGTGACCTCTATGTCTCCTTCATAAATTGCATGTTTTCTGTTATGTAACCTGATCACTATATTTTTTCTTGTATGTATATTATAATTGTGCAAAGAGATTAAAATATTTTGATGGGTTAGACTTCACATATGTATTAAATAAATCGGTTGTAAACGTTGCTAAAAACAAGACGGTTAAAACTATTTGTGCAATGTTTTCCCCATGGAGACACATAATAGTCTGAATGAAACTGGACCTCAAGATTTTTTTTTTTTTTTTTGATTTTTTTTACAATCGACAATATGCTTCTGCTGATGAACATTTGTTGACCCTTAATTAGATCATCCAGACAGGGCTTCTAGCTATATTACGATTGCTCATTTTCAAATTCTGGAATAGGAAACTACATCCCATCCAGTATATCATTTTTCATGCAATCCTATAAAACCAAAAGAGGCCTTAATTCAGATTATGTTTTTAGTGATGAAGATGGATTGCTCAGCCAGACCAGAGAGACAACTCTGTGCTTTTTTTCCCATTTACAATCTTCATCGTTGGCTTTGAGTAACCCCCTTTACTGAACATTGCCCCTGAACAAATCTAGGATCTAGTTTATTGGTTGCTGCTTTCTAGCTTAAGATGAGTGATTGCTGGAGCAGAAAGGATTTACTTAATATCACCGCATGTACTAGTGCAGGGATAGGCAACCATTGGCACTCCAGATGCTTTGGACTACATCACCCATAATGCTCCTACACCAATAATGCTGGCAAAGCATCATGGCAGGTGTAGTCCAAAACATCTGGAGTGCACGAAGGTTGCCTATGCCTGTACTAGTGTGACATAAGTAGCAATATTTGTTGAAAAGATTTATGATTTGCAAAATATGTAATAAATGAGATTAGTCAATAAGTATGTATAAAATGTATACTGATAGTCCAACTGTTAGCAGCTTTGTCATGTTCACTTTGTGTATTTTTTTACTTTACGCTGTATTATCACTAATGTTTCTTGTTATTTCTATTTGTAAGTTAAATTACGCAATTAAAACGCAAGAAATTTGATTCATTTTCTTAAAGGGAGAAAATTGTGCGTGCAATGTCTTTGACATGAGATTGGCTGGCTCATGCCTTGAACATTTCCGTAGGGTTTTGCTCACAATGTCCATGTTTTTAGCATGAGAAATGCAGAGTTTTTGCTCCCAGCATAAATGCAAAACACAGAACAGCGTTATCAGTGTGGATAGTCGTGTGTGCATGGAGCTCATTCTCAATGTCATAAATCATGCAGGTAATGGTTTCTGTATCCTTGCTGCTTAGTAAGTGTACATTGATCAATGTCTGGGATTTACACTGGTTTTGTTCACTTTTTTGCATTGTAAAAAATGTATGGAGATCTTCCCCGGTTTTTTGGGAGTCTTGCTAATCTTTTGCTCAAAGTACATATACGAAAAATTACAATATAATTTCTCTTGCATATTGCTGGGATGTGGTAAATTCAAAATCAATTTAAATTAAATAACGTGTTAAAAAATTTTTTTCCCATGCAAAAAATAGATTTACTACATGTTCTAAACCAGGCTGCTTATGGTTTCTGCACACATAGAACCAGAATTATACTTGGAATAAGAAATTGCAAGAGACCAACACAAGGTCTACACACATACAAAAAATAAACTTTTTGGTTTAATGTTTTCTAAATTTCTCTCCAAATATTCAGATAATTTAAGAAAATGCCTGCCTATTACTGCTAGATTTCAGTAATACGGAGTTTGTGAAGTAGATCAGACTCACCCAACTTTGCAAAGAGGTTGAGCTACATTGTTAAGCATGGTTATCTAATGGAAGACATACACTGCACAACAAACTTGACCCTACCTGTTTCCCATCCAGGGTATACAGCTTTTTGACCACTCCTGTCTCCAGTTTAATAGCATCTGTGATGTCAGTGAGGACTTGTTCAAAGGAATGGGCTGTCTTCTTGTTCAGGAGAACACGCACAGCTTTGCGGGGTTTCACTCCACTGCGGATAATTGTTACCAACTTGGGACGCACAAAGTCTTTGTTCTCCCTGGATTGGTTGTTACAGCTCCCGAGGGACTGTGGGCTTTTTAGAGCTGCTGAGGTCTTCACGTTGACAGACCAGTTGGGATTTACATTCTTGGTGTATTCAAGCTTCTTGAAAAAGTTGTCAGAAGAGCAAACATAGCTTTCACCTAAAATTAGAAATTGCAAAAATGTAAATTCTCTTAACAGCAATAAAGTGAAAAAGTTTTAGATGTTTTGTTTTTTTAGTTAATTATATCACTTTTGCATTCAACACGAATGGTAAAAATGATCATATTTACTGACATACTGCATCATTTTATCATTTGTCTAGTACCACCGTCTTCATTTCTGTCAAATAAAACAATAGTAGAAAAAATACAAACAATGATAACGTTACTCTAATTCTTAGCATAGCAAAATGAACTACGGTAGTCAGAAAATCTAATTTTTCTTGGATGGTAATATTACATTTTCTCAGCAGATTAAATCAGTAACTAGAATCTGTCAATCATGATGCAATAGAGAAAAAAATAATAATAAATAAATAAAATTAAAAAAAAACACACATACACACACACACACACACACGTTTTGTTGGTTCCCTTGATCGGAACAAGCCCTTAGCTCACACATGGCAAAATTAAACCGAGGGAAGAGAGAGGTCGACAGCCAACGTGTTTTGTGCAGCTGCACTTCATTGAGTCTCCTAAACATAAATTTTGACTGTAAAATTAAAAAAAACAAAAAACAAAAAACAAAAACACACCCCAGAAGTTTTTAAACAAGCTAGTTTTTATGAATTCTCAATCCTACTTCTCTAGATTTCAGAACATAATTTTTTACATTGCTCATCTTGGCATGATGACATTCATCACTGTTACACATCATTTCCTGGTATTGCAGTTCACAATGTCACTTTTTGAAAGAAGGCTATATAACTATGGTCTAGTGTTATTTATATAAAGTGGCTCAATTCTATGGGAAAGAAACATTTGTATATTTCTCCATAATAACATAACTTAATATACAGGAGTGAATTTATTGTCAGCTAGGAGCATATAGTATTTGCAGAATTTGTGTGCAAGGCAAAATGTCCAAAAAAGAGTTAGGCACCATTATTATTATTATTATTATTATTATAATATGGAAATCTAAATCTACAAAAACACCAGTAAAAGGTATGGAAAAATGCCCCTATGCTGATATATTTTAGGGTTAGGTCAGGGACATTTTAATAGTGCCATGATGACCTGATATTCCTTGACACTATGAGAATTGGCAATGGGGCGATTATTATGCCAGGGGCCTTTAGATCTCTTTACATCTAGTTTTAGGGGTTATTAAACATTCATGTTTGGCAGCTGGGCATGGTATTGAAGAAGCTAAAGGCACCATGGATAGATGGATCATAGGAACCCCCATTATTAAGATAAGGCCAGGGACCAATGAAAGGATTTAGAAAGTTGGGTAATGGTTCCTATCTGCCATCACATTCCATTTTTCTAGGTTTCTACTATACCTTAACTCATCACTGATTGAATTATGAGTGATGGGAAGGGGAGCAAAATTGAGCAGGCCCTCCACTAATACATAGCTGTCTTCTGGACCCCTGAATTAATAACTGAATTAGACTGATACTCAATCCATATAAAACTCAGGGGTATTATTAAAACCTCTCCTGTGGAAAATTGGGTAACTGTAAAAGACAGGGAGAATCCCACCTTCCACAGTATGGCGGTGTGAGCTGTAGGGCTGCCCACATGCTATACTTTTTACCCTCACATTGTCAATGTTGTTAGGGAGTAGAAATTACCATTTTGGGCTTTGGTTACGCCCGGTTAACCCCTTAAGGACACATGACAGAAATATTCTGTTATGATTCCCTTTTATTCCAGAAATTGTGTCCCTAAGGGGTTAATATGAAAGTATGGGAGAGCATTGCTTACTTCATTTTTTAACGATTGAAAAGATTGTTGATTGCTTGTAAATAGATGGTGCATGGAATTTACACCATTGTACAGGGAGTGCAGAATTATTAGGCAAGTTGTATTTTTGAGGATTATTTTTACTATTGAACAACAACCATGTTCTCAATGAACCCAAAAAACTCATTAATATCAAAGCTGAATATTTTTGGAAGTAGTTTTTAGTTTGTTTTTAGTTTTAGCTATGTTAGGGGGATATCTGTGTGTGCAGGTGGCTATTACTGTGCATAATTATTAGGCAACTTAACAAAAAACAAATATATACCCATTTCAATTATTTATTATTACCAGTGAAACCAATATAACATCTCAACATTCACAAATATACATTTCTGACATTCAAATCAAAACAAAAACAAATCAGTGACCAATATAGCCACCTTTCTTTGCAAGGACACTCAAAATCCTGCCATCCATGGATTCTGTCAGTGTTTTGATCTGTTCACCATCAACATTGCGTGCAGCAGCAACCACAGCCTCCCAGACACTGTTCAGAGAGGTGTACTGTTTTCCCTCCTTGTAAATCTCACATTTGATGATGGACCACAGGTTCTCAATGGGGTTCAGATCAGGTGAACAAGGAGGCCATGTCATTAGATTTTCTTCTTTATACCCTTTCTTGCCAGCCACGCTGTGGAGTACTTGGACGCGTGTGATGGAGCATTGTCCTGCATGAAAATCATGTTTTTCTTGAAGGATGCAGACTTCTTCCTGTACCACTGCTTGAAGAAGGTGTCTTCCAGGAACTGGCTGTAGGACTGGGAGTTGAGCTTGACACCATCCTCAACCCGAAAAGGCCCCACAAGCTCATCTTTGATGATACCAGCCCAAACCAGTACTCCACCTCCACCTTGCTGGCGTCTGAGTCGGACTGGAGCTCTCTGCCCTTTACCAATCCAGCCACGGGCCCATCCATCCGCCCATCAAGACTCACTCTCATTTCATCAGTCCATAAAACCTTAGAAAAATCAGTCTTGAGATATTTCTTGGCCCAGTCTTGGCGTTTCAGCTTGTGTGTCTTGTTCAGTGGTGGTCGTCTTTCAGCCTTTCTTACCTTGGCCATGTCTCTGAGTATTGCACACCTTGTGCTTTTGGGCACTCAGTGATGTTGCAGCTCTGAAATATGGCCAAACTGGTGGCAAGTGGCATCGTGGCAGCTGCACGCTTGACTTTTCTCAGTTCATGGGCAGTTATTTTGCGCCTTGGTTTTTCCACACGCTTCTTGCGACCCTGTTGACTATTTGAATGAAACGCTTGATTGTTCGATGATCACGCTTCAGAAGCTTTGCAATTTTAAGAGTGCTGCATTCCTCTGCAAGATATCTCACTATTTTTGACTTTTCTGAGCCTGTCAAGTCCTTCTTTTGACCCAATTTGCCAAAGGAAAGGAAGTTGCCTAATAATTATGCACACCTGATATAGGGTGTTGATGTCATTAGACCACACCCATTCTCATTACAGAGATGCACATCACCTAATATGCTTAATTGGTAGTAGGCTTTAGAGCCTATACAGCTTGGAGTAAGACAACATGCATAAAGAGGATGATGTGGTCAAAATACTCATTTGCCTAATAATTCTGCACTCCCTGTATTTTTTTTAAGCAAAAAAAAAAAAAAAAATGTTTTTAAATTCAATGAATTTAACCATGACTGATTATTGGAAGTGCCACTAAGTGGGAAGTATGTTTTTTTTTTTTTTTTTTAAACAGAATTCCAGCATCTATTAGGAGCTGTGCAAATAAAATAAAATAACTATTATGGTTAATGTTTTATCATGTATGGTCACAACAATACTACTGTAAATTTCTTACAGACATGGATCACGGTGTGCTATATTCCATTTCAGAGCAATTGTTGTTGACCCTAAAGCAATCACATTTCAATCCACCTTCAGGTAAAGTGGTAACCCTATTTATAAGAAAGTGAGGCAAACAGGCAATTTACTGTATGTTTTTCAACATGTACAGTATTCAACCTTCAGAAAAATGCTATCTGGATAATTTAAAAGTCTGGCTTGACAGATCCGCCTACCCAGGGTGACATTAGCTTCTAAATTAATTCCTATAGTAGGAAAACTGTGCTGTAAAAAGCAGGCATTGTGTTGAAACAGAGTAAGGTAGGCATCAAGTGGTTGCCATAGAAACAATGCAGTCTCAAAGCGGTGGTCCACAATAGACTGGTTTCGTGAAAAAGCCTGCAGCTGCAAGCCAAGGTTGAAAGATCTGCAATTCTCTCAATACAAATCGTTGTATTTCGGAGATGAAAATCCTGAAAATGTAAAAACACTTCGCATATTTATTTTATTTGGTGTAATATTTATTTATTTACAGGTATGTAAAGATGCAGTCAGAATCTGCAAGATTAACCCTTGTCGGTACCTGCGGTAGAGCTGTTAGAAGACTCCCCAATGTTGTATATTCCTGGAAGCATGGAAAGACTTTAGACTGCTTATAAGATTAGCATTGCTTGCCAGTCCCTCTAAACACATCTCCTACTCATCCATTTTAATTTATTTCAGCTTCTGAGCCTCAATGGGATTTGCAAATTAATTGGAACGGGTTTGTCTAGCTGAGAAAGAGCACATGCTTATTTAAAAATGCCTTCATTCCAGCAGTCTGTATCCTATTATAAAATCTATGCTGAATGCTTGTCTTGAAATTTCAAATACGTCCTTCTGGTTTCATTTACAAATATCTATGCTAAATGTATTTTTAAACCTTCCCAGACAGTTCTTTCCTCTATAATTTATATTTCTTTTCGAAGATCAATAATTTGACAATATAAAATTAAAGTTGCATTCAAAAGTAAACATGTGTTTATTTGCATATATAATTGCTTTGGTTTAAAAAACAAGAATTGTAAATAATTTTCTTTTTTTTTTTTTATATTCATGAAGCAACCCTAAAATGCTTTTCTTGCTAGAAAAAAAATAAAAAAAATAAAATCCTTCAATTAAAATTTGTGGTTAGTAGAAATTGTAATGCAATTAAAATCAAGATACATTAAATCTCTAGCCATCACATTAATATTGGTGAAAAGCACATCTTGATATCAGACACAAAGTTCATAAATAAAACAATCACATACGCATAAAAAAATAAAAAATAAATATATAAAAAAACCCACCCACAACCCTCTAGTGTATTGGTACAAGAAAATAAGATGATACTTTTGTGGAAGACTAAAGATATATGTATGACCTTTATTAGGCGTTTGCCCTTCAGTTCAATTGATGCCTTTTTATAAGGTGTACAAGTTCTTTTATTGGCCAAGTCCTCTCCAAACATGGGATGGAACAGAGGTAGGAGACGTGAAGACTCTAGATTTATTTCATATAGCCATTCTAATTCTTGGCACTGACTGGGCCAACTAGTTTGTCAGATAAGTACAGGAGTAAAGTGGGTTAGTTGGATGATTTCACAGAAAGAGCAAGCACGGAGCAGCTAAGGGCAATGTTCCAATTTAATGTGATTATTGGAAGATTTTTTTTCCCCTTTAGATATTTGTGTGGAATAGGTTATCACTTTCAGAGGTTGAATGATTCTGTAGAGGTTTGCGGTTATGTTAGTAGTATTTTCCATAGTTTGTTAAAGAAAGCTTTTGAAGATGAATTGGATAGCAAACCAGTCAATAATGAATCGCTGCAGCTGTTTGATGATAATTACATGTGTCCCAGGCCAGGGTAGGGGGATTAATCTTAAGATCTATTTAGCTCACAATCTGTAGCAGAATGTCAAAATCTTTAAAAGGATGACTCCAAATGCAAGCTGGTGACCCTCGTCTAGCAGGAGAGCCCCATTTGTCTATTCATTATTAATTCTGAGATAGACAGACAGATCAGCATCCCATTGACCACAATTCCATAGGTGTGTGAGCGGGGGTGTGGTCAGGGGCAGAGCTGCTCTGAGAAATTTAAAGTGACCTACTAATAACAATTTATGCAAATAGAGTGCAATTTAGAATACGGACAATTATCTTATCTACACAGACTGATTTCTAAACACATTAATTTTAAAAACACATTACTGTAAGTACTATTTGTTACGGTGCTCATGTATACATTCAGACACACCCACAACAAGAGGCTCCTAGGAAAGGACATTAGGAGAGAAAACGAGGGACAGCGGTATATGAGCCAAAAATTAGGACTTTGGAGGTATGCACTGATTCTATGCGTTCACGGTTGTTTAGAATCTAGCACATTATTTTTTCCCAATTTCTCTCAGGGTCTGTTTTTGAATCATTGTTGAATATCTTATCTTATATTACTCTCCAAGAAGCTGTGCCAGTTTGAGTAGAATATGTTTTTCCCTCTTATCACTCTCTTCCTGGGTCTGTCTCTCTCTCAGAATTAACAGAGAATTATTTTATTTTCTACATATCAGGGCCTGTTCTATATTATTTTCCTTTTCATTTGGTTTTCTTCATGCCTCCCTTACTCTTTTTTGTGCCACGTTATCTTTTAATCTTAATTAATTCTCTTTGCTTTATTTTTCTCTCTAAAGGTCTGTCTTGTATCTATTTACAGAGGTTATCTATTGTATCTGTTGTAGAGTTTATGGTGTTATAAGCCTCCAGGCTGTAGACTACGAGATTTGACAAAAATTAGGGCTTGACCCAGCAACCATAGTCCACTCAACTGCACTGATACCATTGAAATGAGTCCATTCAAAAGAGATGTCATGGATAGTTACATAGCTGAAAAGAGACTTGCATCCATCAAGTTCAGCCTTCCTCACAAGTTTTTGCTGTTGATCCAAAAGAAGGAAAAAAAACCTAGTCTAAAGCACTTCCAATTTTGCAACAAATTAGGAGAAAAATCCTTCTTGAATTCAATATAGCAGTCAGATGTCTCCTTGGATTAAGCAGCTATTATCCCACTAATTGGAAATTATATCCCTGTATGTTATGTTTTTGGAAGTATTTATCCAATTTCAGTTTACACATCTGTATGGACTCTGATAAAACCACCTCTTCAGGCAGAGAATTTCTTATCCTTATTACTTTTACTGTAAAGGAACCTTTTCTTTGCCTTAGATTAAATCTCCTTTCTTTCTGCCTAAATGTGTGACCTCGTGTCCTATGTATAGCCCTGTTTATGAGTAGATTTGCAGATAATGGTTTGTACTGGCCCAGAATACATATTTTTATAATGTTATCATATCCCCTCTGAGGCGCGGTTTTTCCAAACTAAAGAAATGTAAAATTAACCTTTCTTCGTAACTAAAATGCTCCATTCCTTTGATCAATTTTGTAGCTCGTCTCTGCACTTTGTCTAGTGTCATGATATCCTTCTTTAGTACAGGTGCCTAAAATTGCATAGCACATTCAAGGTGTGGTCTTACCAGCGATTTAAAAAGAGGCAAAATTATATTTTCATCTCGAGAATTTATGCCCCTATTTATACATGACAAAACATTACTGGCCTTAGCAACTGCAGATTGACATTGCATATTGCTGCCTAATTTGTCTTCTATTACAATTCCCAAATCCTTCTCGTGTGTGGTAATCCATAATTCACTACCATTTATGGTGTAAATTGCTTGTGCATTCTTAACCCCGAAGTGCATAAATTTGCATTTCTCTATGTTAAATTTCATCTGCCATTTTAGTGCCCAGTCCCCCAATCTATCCAAATCTCTTTGCAGCAAAGTAATATCCTGATAGTCAGAGAGAGTGCCGGGTTAACCTACCACCAGAGCCCTCAGCAGTGATTTCCAGGGTCTGTATCACAGTGAAAGAGCAAAGATGGCCAGCTATAGATGCGAGGTTTCAGTCAAGCCACACCACAACAGTTTGACATGAACTTTGAGGATCTACAGCATCATAGCCACAATGATGATAATATGCAGTGGTTACGGTGATTAGAATGCTCCTTTCATTATTGAAAGAAATGACAAGCCACGTCAGACTCCGTAGAATGGAGAAAGTGCAACATAGGCTTTATGTGAAATTTACAGCTGTTCTTTACGCCTACTTTCACTACTTCCTACTTGAATTCCTGGGTTGAGATTTTGTGCTTGGAATTATATCTTTGAGAATAGCAAATTGTATTATTCTGAATAAAATAATTAGTGAGATGCAATGATGAGACAACCTACAATGGATGTAAGATGCTTTTCCTATAAAAAAGTATTTATTTTATTTCAAGAATAAATTTACAAAGCTATAAATGTGACAGATAGCGTTGGCAGGAGGAGGTTTAAGCAGATTTAGTACTCACTATCCAAAAAAATATGTTACAATCCTGGAAGATGCTCTTTAGCCCCTTGGTCTCTTAAATATTGACACCTGCCTTTACATAAGAAAAATCCACTTCTCTTGAAGGCAGGGCTTTCTTCCAGGGCAAGACAGATGGTAATATGAACATCTACGACACTTTGGCAGCGCAGAGACAGAACAGCAAGGTGATCAGGCCAACAAGTTATTCCACGGTCACCTAACTCCACCAATAATATACATAGCACCAGATCGACAGATTTTGTAATATATTAATGCCAGCAGTTAAATTATGTGCATTTCCTAATTGGCCGTTAAGTTATTCCTCATTTTCCCTAGTGGCAGTTGCTTTGATAGTTAGCATTTCAAATAGACTGAATTGGTGCTCAGGGGTTTTAAAATGTTTATTTTGTATGCACATACAGAGTGAAGAAATGCTTGACAAATGGGTGCTATTTCTGATAGGTGGATTTAATTTCAGGCTAAATTGAATATGGAGATTTTCTTGGGAAAAAAAAAAATACACAAATTTTGAGCACTCTGTAAGCATATTTTTAAATGTTTTGACACCTCCCTCCCCCCACCCACCCCACAAAAACTAAACACAGTGTAGCATATTAAATTCACATTGCCCAGTCTCCCAGAATACAGCTGGACTGTCCCAATATGGAATAAAAGTCTTAAAAGCACTGTGTCACCAATAGGCTTTGTAGGCTTGAGCCTATGACAGTAACACAGAGGGGGACGATACATAGGTTATAAAGAGACATGCTTCCATCAAGTTGAGCCTCTCATATTGATCCAAGCTTGATAATGGTTGCTTAATTAGATTGCCTTTAAAACAGTTAAAATGTTTTTTTCTAATAGAAATACTGTATTAGCACTTGACAGTGACCGCGCATTTGTGCTAGGTTCCACTATTGCTATGACATTGTGGGGAGAGACCTTCAAGCATTGAGGGAGCCTCGGTGCTGGAAAGAAGTAAGTTGCATGGGTTTTTAACCCTTTAATCGTCGAATGGAGGGGTGAACCTATTAAGTTAGGAACGATAGAGCATTAGAATTGCAGGTTTGTATTCCTAATGGAATTGCGTTTCTTTAAGGTTTTTTATTTATCAGTCAAGTAGAATTCCTTGCAGAGCAAGGGCCACTGGGTGTGATTGCTCCCATGAGCAAAATCACACTAATGATTCATGTAACATTTGTTGCAAGTAACAATCATTAATATACAGAATTCCTGTGTTTCTTTTTGTTTCAACTACATCTAGGGGCTCATCTTTGTTCAACTGATTAACACAATTTTTACAGGTTACACTAATCCGGGTGGATTACAGTGTAGTGCATAACACATTTTAATATAAGCAGTCCCTCTGCTCATTTTATTTATTCTGTTATTCAGTTATAATGCAATGGTTAGCTCAGGACCAAACTTTTCCAGAGTTCACTTAAATGAATGTCAGATAATACAAACAAAAAACAACTGATGATCAGCAGTCTAATCAGTCCTTTTTCCTGACAGTGTGCAATACACAGCTGGAAATTTCCACAGATTGGGGTCTCTAGGAAAAAAACACGATGCAGACAAAAAACACAGAGTTTAGATTTTTTAGTGGGTTATAGAACAGGTTTGGGTATACCTCAGAGTCTTGTTCTGAACTCATTGTTCCATTTACAGTGAGGGAAAAAATTATTTGATCCTCTGCTGATTTTGAACGTTTGTCCACCGGCAAAGAAATGATCAGCCTATAATTTTAATGGTAGGTGTATTTTAACAGTGAGACAGAATAACAATTTTTTTTCTAAAAAACGCATGTAAAAAAAAAGTTTAATTTATAGTAAGGTCTATGGAGGAGTCCAGTCACCATATCCCCTTGAGATGACACAGTATGGTACCCAAAGTGTTCCATTAAGAATCACTATAGCGTTAGGAATACAAACCCCTAACCATAGGGGCTGATGGAGCTGCAGCTGCAGGCCCATGCTCATGAAATAGTGCCATTGATTTTAGTACTCTGCACATGCTCTTGCTTAAGTATGGAAACTTGAGAGATCTAGGGGAACAAAACTTGTGTTGATTGGCTGACAATGAATTTAGTTAAGGTAAAGCTGACTTTGCGCACTATGCAAATGCTCTTGCTGCTTCAGTCTCTCTAACACTTTGGCACGTTACTTTTTTTCTACACTCACAAGTCATACCTTTTCTCTGTTCCAGACTGTATACCTTCCTGTATGTGCATGTGCCTTCTTTTCTATGAGTGTCCAAGCCACTGCCTGGATCTAGCTTCCATTAGAAGACTGCATTTGATCTGATGTAAGGACATAGTGAATGGAGCATACCTCAAGAGCGCAACTGAGAAAGATCTGCTGAGATAAAGAGGATAGGTTGGCATTAACAAAAGTAAAGGCTTAATGGCAGCTGATCTGATGGAAAGCAACAGCTCTGTGGTATCTGGGAAGGGCAACTTTTATGCAGTGGTCAGGGAATGTCTGTTCTTATACGAGTCCAATGCCAGTCAACACCCAGTACTGAGATAAGGAATAAGCCTTTTAACTAGCAGAGATGCAAAATAGACAAGGGGGGGTTGGCGCTGGAACCTCAAAATGTTCTACTGGGAAAGGAAGAAACTACCATTCAATGCATTTTGAGTACTAGAGGATGAGGAAGACTTGATGGGTACATGCAGTCTACCTTACATGGAATTCACCCAGATGACTGGGTCTCCCTCCTGGCTGGTACACTCACTGGCCATGCTGCTGAAAGATACTGGGCTGTCTCAGAATAATTGAGTAAGGACTATGCCAGTGTGAAAGGAAGATTTTTAGCTAAGTAAGCTATAGCTTCGGAAGCCTAGTGTCAGAGGTCCCGGGATCTTCAAAGAGTGAGCAAGACTCATTATTGTGGTGAATATGCATACAGACTATGCTGAGCAGCCTCCAACTTATGGCAGGGATGCCAAGTGTCCACAATGGATGTCCACCCACAGGGGGGAAAGTGGGCAGGCCACTAATAAATGGGCAGGTCAGCCTAGCGTGAATGAAGGCCATGAAGAGAGCGCATCTAATGTACCTGTGTTACACTTCCTGGAGGGAATTCCAAAAGTGGGACACCACGGATGAAAGTCAGGACTATGGAACAAAACTCTGAAATGGTTACTGTCCTGATGAAATTGTTAAAATTGGCGGGGCACAAAGTAATCAAGAGAGCACCCTCCCAGCTACTGATTGGTGGTCAGAAGGAAGCAACTTAGGAGCTTTATAAGAATGCTGATTGAAATTGCCACTTATATAAAATAGGTCAGCCTGGATTGTTACGTTAAAAACCAACAAGTGTAGGTTCCTTGGGCCATCAAAGGCCTCTTGCCATCAGCTATTTCTGCAGTCAGGTTTTCATTTTATCCCTAGAGAAACCTCCCTTGCAATTAAACCTTTACTGCATTGCCATATAACCCTCTGGCACTCAAAGAATTATGGAATAATGATGACCAAGTGGTGTGAAAAATGTTAATATTTAAGTTAAATTCCACACAGTTCTTTATCATTTCTTCAAATGTCGCACTATTAAACTCTCAGGGAGCCTGTCCACTATGTTATCATTGCAACCGCCCTCAAAATGCCCAAAGATCTCAAGAATGGCTTGAAGAATCTGCAGTCAGGAGCAGGAAGAAGGATACATTTTGTACATCTGACTATTTAGTTTGTGCTACAAGTGTTCAACAGCCACATCTATTCTTCCAACAACGTGTCGAACTAGCAACTAAGAGCAGTATAGCAAGGTGCAGTCACCAGGTCACGTTCTATGCTCGAAGATAGAATGCGTGGTTGCCATGGAGATCATTTCTTTTCCTGCATTAGCACTTTCTATCTTCCCCCACTCTATCAACTGATGCATTTCCTTTTCTTTGCCATCCCCATCACCATCCCTAGAGATAGGTTTACTGCAAGTCATTAAAACCACAGCTACTTATTTAAAAAGCACTGAATAATAGAAATGTATTCTATTTTTTTCATCTGATGCAGTGCCCTTACTGAAAGACAAATTAGAGTGTCCTGACCAGCCAAAAATATGTAAAATCCTTAAATGGTAATCGTTTTGTCCCGTAACAGAGGCCATTGCAGGGTAAATAGAAAAATGGGCATCTGGCTATCATTGGTCAAAACACTATGAAATACAGCATAAATTTGATTTTTTTTTTTCTGTGTATACCAAATGGAATAAAAGGGGTCTAAAACCATGTAACTGGTTGCTGTGCAAATCCATATTAGTGTAATATTACAGTATATTGAGTTATATGACATGGTGGTGGCAATTCTTCCCATTTCAAGAGTACGAGTTGTCTTCCACCTAAATCTAGGATGTACAGTTAGTGTCCAACTAGTCTTTGACATTCTAAGAAAAGTATACTGGTTTGCATATCAGTCTTGGAAGGGCTTCAGACTGGGTTTTTTGCCTTTTTTTATATCAACAGCAAAATATGTGAGGAAGGCTGAACTTGATGGACGCAAGTCTCTTTTCAGCTATGTAACTATGTAATTTATGATCACATTCACACACTAAACAAAACACTTAGACATGGTCTACTGCAATCACAATAACATTATAGCATTTGTAGGCAAACCACAATGTGCACACACGATTCACAGCATTCTCACATGGTTTACAGCATTTATATACAGTGCTCCACCTTCACAGACGGTCACGTACTGACTGCATTACTATGTGTTGTCGTCTCATAATTCATGCCTTTAAGAGACAACCTATGCACCATGTGTTACTAACCCTCAGAAATTAGATTCCTATCTGCTACAACATATCACATCTCCTCATGAACTTGTGTAAATAGGATGACTCTGCAGGACATCTCTAGTAGTAGTTGCTCTTTTAGTTGGTATTTATCAGCTCTGCATCACATCTCACCAGCCTATGAACTATTGTACAGACATTTTTTTTCCTTAAAATAAAAAAAAATAAAGGGTACATGAACCAGTCTATGTAAGCTTTCAGATACCGGTCTATGTAAGCTTTTAGCTACCTGTTACAATATCAATTCTACATCATATATTAGCTAATGAACTGCCATAACATTATTAAAGAAACACTACAGTCACGAGAACTACTACATCTTATTGTAATTGTTCTAGTGAGTATAACCATTCCCTTCAAGCTTTTTGCAGTAAACACGGAGAGAAAATGTAATGTTTACATTACAGCCTAGGGTTACCTCCAGTGACCACTCAAATGGCTACTAGAGGTTCCTGGGGGCAGTGCTACACAGTGCCATTTAATTTTGCCACCCTCTGCATGGAGATACTGAACTTTCCTCTATGAGGAGAAGCTGATTGGCCAGAGCTATGTTTGACTTGTAGTGGCTTTGCCCCCGATCTGCCTTCTTGACAGCTTCAGCTAATCCTATGGGAAAGCATTGTGATTGGCTCAGAGAAAACATTTTTTAAGTAGTCAAACCATCTGACTTCTTACCAGGTGTCTGCCGAGCATTACTTCATGTTGAGCATTAACACTGGAGAGTTAGAGAGTTCTAAGAAATCAGTCATTCAAGAATGGTGTTTGGAGAGTTCATTTAACCCGTTCTGTGCATTTGCAATTAGCTTCACGTACCAGTGTCCTATTTCTAGTGTTCTCCATATCTGCTTTTCAATAAAACATTACAGCAAGCTACACATGTCTAATCTGCCATTTTTAGGCATCAACTTCATCCATCATCGGGAACCTAACTCACAGTCCAGAGGCAGGTGTACGGATATACCATGGCACGGAGGATCCGCTTTCTGACTGGTATGTTTACAGATCCTGACACTAGTCACATCGATTCCACGTCCTACCCTGAGAATTTGCACACTACCTGCAGATTCACAGATTGCCTGTAGCCATTGGACATTTTACAATGCATTTGCACACATTGCCCAGGGCATGTGAAGACTGCCTGAAGCACGGACACATACAACATACAAAAACGCCATCAGGATTCGGATGTTGCCTGCAGCAATTACACCATGCCAGACAGCTTTCCCTCAAGGCCTCACAGCATTCTCAGACTCAGTACTGCTTACTGCATGGCAGGACTTAGCTCTGATGAGCTAACACAAGCTTCTGGCTCTCAGTGGAGGAAAAGCCCGGTGTGTGACTGCTTACAGTGTGGGGATGCCAAGGCCCCCTTGGCACCATAACCACTACAGCACAGTTTTGTAATTATAGTGTATTTATTGCTCCTTTAAAATGTTATATTTTTTGGTGGGAGAGGGTGCACAAATCAAAATATAACATATGGAACGTATATATATTATATATACACACACATATTATATATAATATGTATGTGTGTGTAATATATATATATATATATATATATATATATATATATATATATATATATATATACACACATACATACATACATACATACAATACACATATATATATATACACACACACACACACACACACACACACACACACTAATACAGATAACTAAGGTCTACTAATACAGATTTCAAACGTAAGCACAATGTATATAATTAACTTATATGGAATTATTACTATTATTATGATTAGCATTTATAAAGCTTCTACATTTTTTCTGCAGCATTTACAATATTAATGCTATATAATGTGTAAAAGAAACTACTTTGTATGAAAGTACCATTGCAACCTGCACTGATTTCTCCAAGTCCTTTCTTCCTTAACCCCTCTATGCCATTGTACCGCACTGTAAGCAGTGCAGGATTAAGAGCCTAATGCTGGCCTGATCTGATTTAAGATGGACCTAGTTACAGAATTTCAAAGACAGAAAACACTAGGACAATCGGCTCTTACATTACTTAAACCATCTGATCTGTCTACATCTTACAACCCCGTATCTAAACTCCACTCTCTTACTAGTCATGAATTCTAAGTCTTACCTCCACAGGGCTCAACTGTCCACTCCTCTCTTTCCTGTATTATAGCTAACTAGTCCAAACAAGTTTTTTTCCCGACCTACCCACCTAATTTGGACGTACTCAGCAGTTCCATCTGCATCATAGAAGAAGTATTTAACGATGGGCCTATTCCATTAGCATGTGACTGAGCTGCAGATCCATTAGCCCCTATATTGCTGATTGTAAGTGTAAGCATTATTGGCTCCTGTATAGTGTCACATTTACAGAGTTATTTACTAGTGAGAATTATAGGAGTTTTTCCCGGATTTGGCTATTTTGACCGTAAAGTGAAATTCACTTTGAATTCTCACTTTATTAAATAAGCCTGTATGCTCCTTGCCTGAAACAGAGAGGCAGACTTATGTGAGAAGGAACAACTGTAATCAAGGTACAAGGGTTGCATAGGGAATCGTTATAGAGAAAGTTAACTTTCTTGGAATTGCTGACAATAAAAGGAAAGTTATAAAATACACTGTGCTGGTGCATACATCTTCCTCTGTTTATAAAAGGGTTTGGAGGGAACAGGTTAAGTGGTGGTTAATTAACCTTACTTGGGAAAACATGCTGCTCACTTCTGTAAAACTTTATAATTTTGTGTCAAAGCCACATAACAGCTAGCTTTCAAACCATCTCCTCTAGTCTAAAACATCCATATTTTACATTCTCTACAGCAATTTCCTTAGTCTTGCTATACTTGCATGACTTATTGCTTTTATTATTTTGAATTAAGCTATTTTAATTTCAAGCGTAGATGACAACTTCTTGAGAAATATCACTGCCCTTGACATTCCAATCCTTTCTTTTGAAAAAACTTTACAAAACCTCACTTTCTCCCTAATAAATGTGTGAAAGAGTCTAATATCTGTGGCCCTCACAGATTTCACTCTAATTTGCTTTTGAAGTTTGACCTTGATCAGTACCAGATAAACTTCCCATCACATAATGATTTGGGTCCCATGCTGAGAAATGAAAAGAGATTATTCATTACAGAAATAATTTGAGGAGAACAACAATATGCATTCCTTCACGATTAAAAATAAATTAATTTTAAAAAAAAAAATTGAGTAAAATTGCATGTTTTAGAAAATGTGTTTGTCATCTGCAGTATAAAAATCATTCAAGCTTTACATTATTTCCCAATGGCCAACATCTGCAGGAGTTAGTCCATTTATTTTGTAGGAGGTGCATGCTTAAATAACAGGTTCTGTATGAAGAATGCGATTTTTTGTGTAACTTTCATATGCTATTTGTGTACCAGGAACCCATGGCAGAAATGAAGTGCTCTGTTATACATTTTATTTATTTATATCCCCTTTGTACTTTCAGGTAGCTTTGCTTGTTTGCTTATAGCAGGACTGTAACATAACTAAACGTTAGCTACATGCTATATTTATTTTATCCCCTCTCATTTAAAGATCCACTCCACACCCATGAACAGCATCCCGTAATAATGACAGATGGCACTTTTATAAATAATTAAAAATAATCAATCCAACAGTCATGGGGAGGGTTTTTCTGCCTGCTCCAGCTAGCAACCCCTAGAGCTGAAAGGAAGTGGCAGGCACTCTACTTACTAGACTTCAGATCAGTAGATGCGCCTTGAGTGCATGGAGGAAACCTTTCAGAGACTCTTCAATCAGAAGCTTGATTGGCTATTTCCCCCATAATGAGACAAAATCGAATTCTTGAAAAAAAAGATACACCCACAATAATTACATGTATTCATTGGGGGTATTTACTAAAAGGATTTTATACTTTTTTTTCTAATATTGGCAATTGGAGTGTTCCTTTGAATGAGAAATTGGCTGTCCTAGCACTAGAGAATATAGAGAAACTGGCTTATATGTTTATGTCTCGATTGAAGGAATGTCATTCTTATGACAATTTTAAAATGTATTTAACTTTTACCAGTTGTGGTTCATCTACAAATCTTAAACAAAACCGTCACCTACATATTTTCCCAAATCAGTAAGCAGTTAGATAATACTTTTTTTATGCTGCAATGGCCATTAAAGTTATTTCATCTGTCACCATCAATGCAAATCTCTTGCTACTTTGAGACAGACTTATGCACACCTGATAAGTTTGGTTTGTCCAAAATTGCATCTATGTGCCTATTTCATTTGTATGAATTATTCAGGAAAAGTGTTTTGGACAAATAAGCCAATCATTGTACTGCAAAATATATAATAAAAAAAATAAAAAAAATAAAATAAATAAATAAATATATATATATATATATATATATATATATATATATATATATATATATATATATATATATATATATATATATATATATATATATATATATATTCAATAAATTGTCAGGAGCAGGGCTGGTGCTACGATAAGACAGCGCAAGCAGCCGCCTTGGGGCGCACCAACCTGAGGGGCGCAAAGATGTCCGAGTGACTGGCGGGAGCATGGAGAACTCGCTGTCCACTTTCTGCAACAATGCCCATGGCAGTAATTTACCCAGCTGGCCACTGAGGGAGGGGAATGGAGCAGCAAGGACATCATATCCCTGCGCCCAACTGCTATGGAGAGTGGAGGATAGCTACTACAGTGCAGCAACCTGCGGGACCTGGGGAGGGAGGGGTGTGTGGGTGTGTCTCTCACAAGGGGTTAAAGAGACCACAAAATTAGGATGAAGACACAAAAAAACATGAAAAAAGAGTGCCAAACAGGGCATACGATATACAAAAAAGGGAAAACTAGAAAGAAAAAGGTGGCAAGATGCACAAAAGAATGGGTAAGAGAGAGGCAAAGGGGGAATATTAGACAGACAGGTGAAGACAAATTTTGCCTAAGTAGACAGAAATCCTTGCACCGGCCCTGGTTAGGAGCATTTTCTCATCATTTGGTTCACAGATTGAGTGAGCATAAGTAATCAAAGGGAGGGGGAAAAAAAGCCCTAACCACATTGTTCTGCTATGTACGATTCTACTTATTTCTGTGTTTTTATTTACAAATAATGTTTGATCCATGTATGTCATAGAAATGGCAAACACGTTGAACAAGGTAAATGCTATCAAAAAACGGCTGGTCAATGCAGCCAGCAGTGCTACCATCAAAACTTCCATGAACATGGCAATAAGTTCAGTATACCTAACATTTCCCATAGTTATATCTGCATTGTGGTAGAATGTAATATTCTACACATCTACAGCAACTGCATGTCATTTTGGACCAGAATCTCTAAGAAATGATGTAAGCACTAAAAGACTCTTCAAGGAGCAAAGAAAGATGTAACAAACGAATTGGTCACTGAATGTAGAACCTATAAAAAAAAAAAAAAAGGAGGTGAACTTTTGTACTTCTTCCTGTTAATCAAGTACATCGATTTCATAATGGGTGTTAAAACTGACGACAATGGAAAATCGTTTCTCCACCAGTAAAAGACTAGCACTGGAGGCTGAAGCAATTGGCTTCTTTTTGAGTCACTTTACCCTGCAAAAGCAAAAATCAAGCCCATTGAGAAGCAAGGTTTAGAATGAAGGGTTTGCACAAGAATAGCACAATTATAAATGAACTTAATTTAGCAAATGCAAAAAAAAAATGCATCAAAGTCTTTATCAAGATCAGGTAGAAGACTAGAATAAAGGCTACGCCATTTTCTACACAGAGACCTTAGTTTGGATTTGAAGTAATTTACAGCAAAAATGAAACTCTCTCCGCCATGGCTTAGACAACAGTTTATAAAAAACTACTCTGGTAAAAAAAACTGGCCTGGGGGGAGACTTGTCTCATTCAAAGCATTAATTCATTCAAGTAGCAAAAGAATGTGATGTAATATTAATAGCTGACACAGCAGAACAGAAATACAGTGCAAGTGATATACCGTATAAATCATATGAGGAACTGTGGAGAATTGGGAAAGGAATTGCAAGTTTTAATCCAAAATTGACAGACTGCTATCCGCCTCATTTTTGCCTAATAATTACATTTTATTTTCACATTCTCTACAATTCCTGCTTTGATGAATAAATCCCATAAGTGATTACTGGATAACTAAGCAGTGGAGATGGGGAAATACTTCATTTCAATTATAGGGTCACGCTTAGAACGGTAACCATTTGATCTTACTGAAGTGATTATGGTGCAAAGACCCTGTCCTTGCAGGCTTTATTTAAATAATTTTTTTCTGCGTGTAGAGCTGCGTTCCTGAGAATAGTCTCTTCCTGGAGATAGGATGTCAGCACACAGCGTACTAACCCCAGATCCCTTGTACAGGCTCCCTATGGCTGGGTTAGTTACACACACACACACAGGGTCATCGCTCCTGCTACTTGGCTCTAATGCAAATTAACTAACTCCCTGCGAGAACATTTAAATCAGTTCTAGGTTTTTGACCTCCACCATTCCAAGGTGCAGAGGTCACAAAAACCCCCCCAAAAAACAAAAAAAAACCCAGACCACTCAGATAGGACTTTTATGTTCTATCAAACTAAGTGCAAACTGTTCTCTGCCCATGCTGGACAACAACTCTGATCATGCTCATCAAGACCCTGGCAGAGGCTGATGGGAGTTAAAATCTGATGTGACAGGATAGTGCCTAAACAGCTCATATGGAATACAACTCCAATCAACCTCATCCAGTGGTTGGCTGAGCCACATAGGAATAGAGATATCTCCATGATTTTAATAAAACCATCTCTATAAGAATCTATGAATTGGGGATTTGTTGTCAGTGCTTCTCTACGAATATGAAAGTAAGGGTTGGGCAAAAAAGAAGTGGGACCTTCTTTAGCTGCAGAGACCATGTCCGTAGGTTTGGAAGGTAGGAAGTATTTGTGCAAATTTTAGTAAATTTCAAGAATTAATTATATACGTGTTTGGACAGAGATTCTCTTACAATCTGCCAAAGGGACAATCTATATGTGTGTATCTACCGGTCACTGTGCCTGGCCATATGTGATCAGTAAGTGCACCTGTGTCCATTGACAAGTGGCTCATTTTGTGGCCAAGGATTTCCTTTCCCAAATGAATCTCTATTAGTGTCCCTGAGCAGAAGGTACTATGACCAGGAAGAAATAATTATAGGTCCAACCAAAAAAAAAAATGGATGTGTTTGCCTGAAAACAGGAATATGTTCCCAAGTTAACAAGTCTAATGATGCACTCACAGTGATTATTTAGAACTAGTTTTTGTTACATTACAAGTAAGATACAATCTGGGACAGTAGAAGAGGAACCCAAGACTTTCCCAACAAATCTTGTACTATTGGGAGGTGCATGAATCTGTGGCATTCTAATACCAATGATTATATGCCTCTAAAATAAAGAGTAGCAAAAACAGCCAAAGTAGTAAGGTTTCAAAACAGAGTTTAGGGTTTATTCATTAAACGGTGTATTGTAGTAAATCAAAGCCCATCCTGAAAAATCCAAGGCATAGCAGTTGCTTCGGAAAAGCTCTCAACTCTGCTATGAACATAGGCTTGCTATTTGAACCGGAATTTTGTAATTATTTTTTATTTTTATTTTTTTATTTTTTATTCAGTACATTCCACCATTTAGTGAATAAATTCCACTGTGAACTTGCTACTGTCTTGTCAATGAAAGATGGATATTGATTATGCCAATAACTCCCTGACGTGAAAGGTTAACTAGAACGGTTTGGGATTTTAACAGGGTGAACTCAAAGTGAATTTCAAATTTAAGGTCAACAAGAACAATTCTCGAAGTCCGTTATAATTTCAGTTTGGCTACGGTGGCCTTAAAATTTAACATTCACTTTGAATTCTCACAATAGTTAATAGCCCTGAATGTTTTATATAGTGATTCTAAAAATCTAAATAGTAAAAATTTTGCTATTCTTTTTGTTTTTAGAGAAATCTTATCTTTCATTTGTTATTCAAATGCAGGTTGTATTAACTAAACAGAGAGATGTGGTGACCTGAAATTAACTTAATTAAAGTCTAAATAGATGAGCTGTAATATATGTATCTTGCTACAACTGTTTAGTGAATAAACCCTTATACAGGGCAAACAAATACTTTTTGTACCTTTAATTCATCCTCTTCAATAAATATATGTAGCTATAATTCAAGCCTGACTCCTCAATGGTAACATGGTATGTTTGCATATATAATGAAATAATAGCAAGGCCACAATTTGAATCAATACAGGTTTTCATTTACAATATAAAGTGCATTTGTAGCCAACTAAAGTATTTAAAAAACTATTTTGAGCCAAGATGTAATATTCTAAATCCTTAGGCATTCTGTGCATTTATCTCAAGTCCCAAGGCCTTCCTATTCTGCATTGTAAATTCACACACTCCCACATCATCATTTGTATCACTTAGTAGCTCTTTATTATACATGTATTTATTCTCCAGTAATTGTTCTGTAGCATGTTTTAATAAAAGACTGTTATGACTTTATTACAATAGGTGCAACAAGAGTAGAGGTTGATTATAAATGGGTCAGGGTTAGACTACTAAAAATATTAGGAAATAAGAAAATATTAGTCTATTAAAATACTATTGCTAGAAAAAAAAAAAAAGTTTAATTTTTTATTGAGTTTTTAGTAAGGTGCACAAACATAGTATGCATTACATTCATTGGCATTCTATATTGCCCCCACCCCACCTCCCCAAGTCAATTGTTTCCATTCTGATATGACAATATACAGTCAAATGCTGCAAGGTGTCAGGGTGCAGGGTTAGTATTTTACTATAGTGTATTAAGGTGCTAGTCTATACCTCTTTATGTAGGCTATTTTAGCCATTTATGTATGTATTTTTCATTTAATATTGTTTGTGTTTTAATTTTTCACTATATATAGGAAGTACGATTTGTATTTTTGTGTGTGGCTTATCTGGTTTCTTTTTGTCCAATTGGACTTTTTTGCCTATATTAGGTTTTAAATACACATAATTTTTGCATTTTTCATCAGGTCCTAGTTACTTCCTCCATTCCTTTCTTTTTCTCTTATATCTACACCGGGATTATCCGCCAATAAGGAGGTGCTGTAACTTTTTGGCTCCATTCTTTTTCCTTTCTTCTTTTAAGTAGGTTTAATACCTTGAACCAATTCATAGCCAGTAGGGAGTGCACCCTCAGTTATTCACTAAAGTGTGAATGATCAGGAATTCAAAGTATAGTCAAAGTGAGTTTCAAACAAATCTCCCTATTGGGATTCATGCTGGGTTTACCCACCTACATATTGCACCCAGCATCATTCTTCAAATAGAATTCTATAAAAATCAAAGCTTACACATCTGCTACAGGTAAATCAAAAAAGACTATAGATGGTCTGAAACCATGCCTCATCTACTTTTCAAAAGAAGGCTGCAGAAGACCTACTCTGCAGATTAGGCCCTCAAATGACCGCTACGATAGTTTGTACAAAACCACAATCAAACTGAGTAAACTAGTTTTTTTACATTTCCTACTGTATTGCAAAATCACAGAATACACATGAGCAAAACTCAGCTTGTTTGTGATTCACTCGCTTTTAAATTGAGCCTTTTGTCATTAGTGAGCCACTGCTCTAAGAAACAAGACAGCATACATAGTTCTATTCACAGTGGAGAAACTAGATATTTCGAGAATCACTGAAAAAAACAATTCTAGTAAAATTGTGTTTGTATTACATAGTTACCTTCTTCTAGCTCGTCCATGCTGCAAATCTTGTTTATTCCATCAATGGTGTAGATATAGCGAACGCCTTGAGGAAGGTTAATATTATCAGAAAGTGACCTGGTCAAATCAGCCAGCAGTGCATCGAAACTTCTGAAGCGGTCAGGGGATACAGCATACACTATTCCCTTGAAGTAGCGATCTCCATTACGGTAGAACCGGACCTTTTTGGCTTTCTTCTCGTTACTCAGAGCCTGCAAAGTACGGGTTCTGTAGAAGCTGCAGTGGGCACTGTGGGTGGGACTGGGCAACCCATTCATTCGAGATGTTCGTGCATTCCTGGAAGTCTTATCCCTCTCATCGAAGTGACCAAAATCAAGCTCCATTTCTTGCTGACTTCAGAGGCCTGAAAGAGGTGTTCATGCAGAGATTAGAATGTTTTTCCTAGCAATCATACCCAGAGATACCAAGAAACAGAGCAATCCCCTTGTAACATTAATAATTCCTTTTAGTTGTTACCAGCACATTCTCATGTTACTCAAAGCGAGTGAATAATTAATACCAAAAAGTGACTGCACTGAAGCATAGTTAAGTGCACAGATTGTTAATTGAGCCAAACAGGGTATGATAACCACAGACCAACAGCTGATCCCATATAAATCCACGAGGTTTGGACTTCAAAGATTAACGAACAAATCTTACAGAAGCAGAGGTGACTTCTTTATCTTATGTCAGCTGTCGACTGACAATAGTATTTCATAGGATTACAAAATCCCTGTGCAAAAGAACTACAAAAAAAAAACTGCTCCATGGCTTTGTAAGATATAATTTCAATATTTGCACAGTGATCAATACATGGATGCAAAAGGCATGCTCGTCTTTCACAGCCATGTAGATAGGCTGACAGTTAACGAGATGTGTTAACTGAACTGGAATTCAATGAGTGTTGCAGATTTAAATGATGTATAAACAAAGAGTCAGAATGACTTGAGAAAATAATTCATGAATCCAAATAGAACCATTGAGGAAAACACACAATTAAGGTGTAACAGTTATTTAGGGTGTGTGGGCGTCTGTGTTCTATACTACATGTAGGCATCAAATAATCCTCCAAACTGACACAAACACACATATGTAAAGCAAAGTAAAGCAAGTGAATAGATAATTCAAATACTGCATATTGTGCATATAGTAGTACTGTAGTGTGTCTGTATCTACTGCCACACCCCCGTTTTACCTATGTGCCTCTATGCCAGTGATGGCAAGCCTATGACACTGTTTCCAACAATGTATCTTGGGAAATGTAGTTTACAATAGCTAGAATGCCAAATGCCTTTATTGATCTAGACTGAATAACAGATGAACCCACCCTGTGCTTACACATCAAATAACTCTATAAAGAGACCAGCAGCTGATGCATACAGCAGACACTCCTCTTCTTATAGAATTTTGAAAAATAGCAGGGATGCTTCACCGATGAACAGCCAGACTCCACATGTCCCACCCTTCTACAGTGACCATTTTGTATGGTATAAAATTAGTATGGTCTTTTTCGCGGTGTAAAAAAAAAATAAAAAAATGAAATGGTATTTTTGAAAGTGCATTAATCACACATCATTTTGTATATGGGATTTGAAAAACACTATCTCTCTGTACATGGATTTGATAACAATGTTCCAAGCAAGCTCAGTTTCCTGCATTTCACATAACTGTAATCTTCATGAGTCAGTTGGCACATTCCCTAAATATAAAAGACACTCCTCGTACATGTGGCATGATGTCATCTATTTGATTCTGCCGCAGCCTCGGTCAACACAAAAGAATCAGTTGCCATGGTTTAAAGATGCAACAAGAAAGGCAATTATTGCATGCCATGTCACACTAGTAATACAACTAAAGTCAAGACAGACAGAGGAAATTACATTTAAAATATACCCTAAAAATAAGGATTCTGTAAAAGCCAAGTGCATACATTATTTTTAACCTTTACATGTTTTTAAGAATGTCGTAGAATAAAAAAAAAAAATTTTTAAAAAAAATAATGTATATATAAAATGTAAATAATTTTCTCTTTTTTTTGGTTCTACAGCAAATTCTAAAAAATAATTTTGCACACACATATATTACTTCTACAGCGACCATGTGGAAATGGTTTTATGTGTCTACTAAAAAAGAAAAAGTAAAATAAAAAAAAAACTTGCACTCAACTATTCTTTGTGTGTCTATTTAGAGTTTTGAATTCTGCAAAGTCTTAGAAGGTGTATATGTATATATTCTCAGTGAGTAATGAACATTAAGAATACAGCTTTAGAGGAACTATGGGTAATCAAGAGTTTTGTGTAGATGGAGATTATATATATATATATATATATATATATATATATATATAAAAACATACATCTACTATATCTAATCAACATCATTTACACGCACAAACACATTTAACTAATAAAATTATTTTAGCGCCACCTCCTCTTACAAATGACCATCAAAAACCTATTATACTACACAAATCTATATTATAAACTGATTCAGGAACTATACTTGGGAAATGCTCTTTAAAGCATATTTTTTTTTTATTGTGTTTGAGCACATACATGGGCATGCCCTAATAACAAAATAAATCAATAAGCAATTGGACATCTCATGCCTCCATGCACTCACACCTACGCATACTAGAATAAAATCCACTGGGAACCCACATGTCAAATTTAAATAAAGGCTTTGATTCTGCCGGTATATTTTCCATAATGAATCTGACAGGCCACCATAAAACCAAAGCCCGGAGTCAGCAAATGGGAGAAACATAAAATATTCCACTTGATGTATTGTCACAAATAACCGGTTAAATAAATAAATAAATTTTTAAAAAATGGGGGAGATATACCAGCATTTTGTCCCAGGGGGATTTTAATTGGTAGATTAGTTATTTTCTATTACAATATGAAAGAATATATGGCCTATGAGTATAGAGGTTGTATTGCTAACTGGCTACTAAGGGGTTAAATCCTGAAAACAATACGCCTTTAGCATGATTTCTCTCTATCCCAGTGCATGTAGTGAAGATGACCACCTTTCACCTCCCCCTGCAACACGCTGACAGATATATTAAAATATTGTATGGAGACATTAACAATAGCAGTCCACACCTCTTCAATGCAGCATTCATTGTCTAAGAACACAATCACATGCCTAACATAAAGCCAGCTTTCTCTTTCATCTCAGAAAAAAATATAACATGTATTTTTTTTCCCCTTTTATTTATTTTTTTTCTGGTGTGCCTCTCGTGTCAATTTTCCATGTGTTTGATGTTCACTTTAACATTTAATTACTGGTTTCCCAAACCACATGGAACCTTGCAGGCACATGAACTAAAACAAAAAGATAAAATAAAAAAAATAAATAAAAAAGAAGAAGACAGAACATCTGTATATATAAATAAAAAAAAAATACAAAAATCACTAGATTCGAAAATGGGAAATAAACCAAGTGGTAATAGGCATATCATTATTGAAAGTGTTAATGCCCTCTATACGGTGAGTTGTATCTGCTTCATCTTTCATTATTATCTTCAGTTAAATCCAAAAACTTGCACACTGGTACCTACTCCCTGTTACCTTAACAACCAATCTTTGTGAGATTACATACTCATCAACTGGCTGTCTGTCACCTTGCTGGAAGGAGGAATCATGTTTAACAGCAGAAATTAACCCTATGGTTGCTGGAAGGAGCTGCACTAATGTCAATAGACAGCACACACCCCTCCCCCTGGCACTCACAGAGTTAACCCAATCCATCCCTGAATACTAAAGATTCTATCACCACTAGAGAAAAGACACTATTCTTCACCTCCTACATTATAATCCCCTTATAATAAATGCAGCATGCAGATTAAATTAATAATTAGGAAATAATTACAGCTGCTAGAAAATATTTTGTTTAAATTGTAATACTGCATAAGAATCTGACATCAGTCCAATGAATAAATAAGATATGTATTGGACAATAAGTAATAGTTGATTAAATATTTTTGCAGATGCAGTATGCCATAGATTTGACAGACTGTCCCTTTGCCAGAATGGGTTTTATTTAATCTCTAAAAGCATGAAGATTTCTATAAAGCAGCTACTTAGCACTTACCTTGCTGCTACTGGTACAAGCTTTAGATGCTGCCGGGATGACTGCTATTCTCAATCTGCCTTTGTTATCCGAGGTTCTAGCCAAGGGATTTCTGCCAGGGTGGGTTAGCATGCTCCCAGGTCCTAGTGCCTAATAAAAAAATACAAGCTCCTCCTGCATTGATTTAACCCCCTTTTTAAAAAATGTTTTAACAAAATACGGAACTAAAGTGTTTGTGCAAATTCTCAATATTATATGTATTGTCAGAATCTGTGCATTAGTATATTTAATATTCTGGGAGGATGAGAGTGCCTTTTTATTTTATGGATCTTGATGTGTAACAATTAGTTAAAATGTAAATAGCCTAATCAATGCATTCTATGCTCAGCTGTTTCTATCTTTTATTATGGGATGTTAATGAAAGTAAACAGGATTTATATTACCTGCTATACAGGGATGTCAGTATTTTACAATGCTTTTTTATTTTATAACAAAAATTATTAGATAAAGTGTATCTTGTGTGTCTATCCATTGCTGTCTTCCTCTAAACAGATGGGGGGAAGAAAACAATGTGACATAGGAGATAATCTTTTAGAAGATCTTTCTATGCTCTTTGGTTAGTGAGAAATGGTTAAAGGGACACTATAGCCACCCAGACCACTTCAGCTCATTGAAGTGGTCTGGGTGCAATGACCCATTACACTTAGCATTGAGCATGAAATTAGTGGAGTTTTTATTAACTACAATAATTACCTGCTAGGGCAGGGGTTCCCAACCCAGTCCTCAAGTACCCCCTAACAGTCCAGGATTTAGGTATTACCCTGTTGTGTCCAAAGTGTTTTTTGTTTTTCTCTAAAAACACCTTATACACAATTGGGTAATCCTTAAATCCTGGACTGTTAGGGGGTACTTGAGGACTGGGTTGGAAACCACTGTGCTAGGATTAACTCCTCATGTAGTGGCTATCTACCAGACAGCCAATAGAGGAATCTATGGGCTCAAAGGCGACTTTTGGAAGCCTAATAGTCTAAACAACGCTGGATGTTCTCACACTATGCATGATGACTTCCAGCATCACCAAAATCCCAATAGGAAAGCACTGAATAATGCTTTCCTATAGGGAAATCCTAATGCGAGCGTGGCCATTAGCACATATGCGCATTAGGTCTCACCTGCTGGCTGACTTTATTAACCCCTTCTGCACCACGGGGGAGGGGAGGGGAGGCCTTGACAGAGGGGGAAGCTATAGTGCCAGGAAAACAAGTTTGTTTTCCTGGCACTACAGTTTCCCTTTAATAGTGATATTAGGGGACCCACAACTGTGCCATTTGACCTCTGTTGCTACTTCAACACTATAATATAACAGGTAGGAAGCAGACTTATTTTGGGGGAGTGATGAGTGAATAACATCCAAGGAAACTCCCCAGGATACAGTCTATTTTTTTATTCCTTGGACTATTGGGTGAGGTAATTAAAAGATGGGCAAACAGTTCTTAATCAACATTAAATATCTATATGCCTGGATAACATCTAAAGTGTTATTCACTAAAGTGAGAATTCAGAGTAAACCCAAAGTGAACTTCAAATTTAAAAGGACACTATATTTACCAGAACTACAGCTTATTGAATTTGTACTGGTGAGTAGAATCATTACCTTCAGGCCTTTTTGCTGTAAACACTGTCTTTTCAGAGAAAATGCAGTGTTTACATTACAGCCTAGTGATAACTTCACTGGCCACTCCTCAGATAGCTGTAAGAGATCCTTCCTCATGGCTGCCTAAAATGCATCCAAACATTCAGTGTCTCCACCAGTGGCGTACACATGACCCATGGGGCCCCAGTGCGAAAATTGATCCGTGGGCCCCCCTCCCCGCGCGCGCGGGCCGCAACACATGGCGGTGGGCACCTGGTCGCAGGGGTTACAGGGCCAAGCAATCCTAGTAATGCCACAGTGCACTTTGCATACACTTAAAGGAACACTTAGTTCCAGACCGCCTTCAGCTTAATGTGAAGCGGCCCAAAGCCAGGTCCAGCTAGGGGTTGTGGTCCGATGTTATTAAACATAGCAGTTTCTCAGAGAAACTGCTATGTTTATGAATGGGCGTTTCCCTTCCCTATTTCCTCTAGCTGCCGTTCCCCATTGGATGCGCTTTTCCTATGTGACCGCTGAATGCGCGCGCAGCTCTTGCCGCGCGTGCGCATACAGCCGACGGGGAGGAGAAGAGGAGGATCGGAGGAGGAGAGCTCTCCGCCCAGCGCTGGAAAAAGGTAAGTTTTACCCCTTTTCCCCTTTCCAGAGCTGGGCAGGAGGGGGTCCCTGAGGGTGGGGGCACCCTCAGGGCACTATAGTGCCAGGAAAACGAGTATGTTTTCCTGGCACTATAATGGTCCTTTAAAGGACCACTACAGACACCCAGATCACATCAGCTCAATGAAGTTGTCTGGGTGTCAGGTCCCTCTAGTTTTAACCCTGCAGCTGAAAACATAGCAGTTTCAGAGAAACTGCTATGTTTCACTGAGGGTTAATCCAGCCTCTAGTGGCTGTCTCACTGACAGCCGCTAGAGGAGCACACTGAACGTCCATAGGAAAGCATTGAGTAATTCCTATGTGGGCTGCCGCAGAATGCGCGGCGCCGGGTCGATCTCTGAGCTGAGCTGAGGGGATCCCCAGCCAAGGGAGTCCGGGCGCTGAGAAAGGTGTAAGTGCTACACACACACACACACACACCTCTACAGACGATACACTGAAGCTAACAGACACACACATTTACTGACAGAGACACAGTCAGCGACAGAAATACACGCACTCACTTACAAAACATACACTCTCATTGACAAACACACACTCACTAACAGACATCAAACAGACTCACTAACACACACACTCAGTAAGACACACACAGTGACACATACAGTAACACACTCACTGACACTCACTAGCAGACACACACACTAACACTCACACTAACACTCACCAGCAGACACACACACTAACACTCACACTAACACTCACTAGCAGACACACACACTAACACGCACACTAACACTCACTAGCAGACACACACACTAACACTCACACTAACACTCACTAGCAGACACACACACTAACACTCACTAGCAGACACACACACTAACTCTCACACTAACACTCACTAGCAGACACACACACTAACACTCACACTAACACTCACTAGCAGACACACACACTAACACTCACACTAACACATGTTTTTTTTTTTTTAATCTAATCCCCCCAGCCTCCTTACCTTTTGGAGTGCTGGGGGGATTCCCTGGGGTCCAGTGGTGCTGCTGGGCTCCTGGGCAGGTGGCCGGTCGGGCAAGCAGGCGGGCGCGCGAGGGAGCACTCAGTGCTTCCTCTTCAGCTCCCTCGCGCGCCGCGTAGGGATGCCGGCGCCGGAAGATGACGTCATCTTCCAGCTCCGGTATCAGTGCGGTGTGCGAGGGAGCTGAAGAGGAAGCACTGAGTGCTCCCTCGCGCGCGCGCCTGCCCGACCGGCCACCCACCTGCCCGGTCACAGCAGGGCCAGCCTCAGGGGGGCCCTGTAGTGGTCGGCTCCTGGGCCCCCCAGGGGAAGAGGCTGGCCCTGTGGGTACATACCAGGTCGCAGGGGCGGCCGGACCCCCTGGTGGGCCGGGCCCGGTCGCAGCCGCGACCCCTGCGACCCTGGTATGTACGCCACCCTCTGCATGCAGACACTGGTATGTCTCCACCCTCTGCATGCAGACACTGAACTTTCCTCATAGAGATTCATTGATTCAATTCACCTCTATGAGGAGATGGTGATTGGCCAGGGCTGTGTTTGAATTGTGCTTGCTCTGCCCCTGATCTGCATCTTTGTCAGTCTCAGTCAATCCTATAGGGAAGCATTGTGATTGGATCAGGCCACCACTTTTGCTGATGTCAGGATCAGAGGAAGTTCACAGGCAGAGGCAGCAGCTTCGGACTTGAATACAAGTAAGATTTTACTATCTTTAAGGAGGCAAAGGGGGCCAAGGGGGCTGGATAGTGATTTTATCTTAACCCTATAGTGTTCCTTTAAGACCTGGATGCATTGCTAAGAGAATTTTTCAATTTCGGCTATCTATACCTTGAATAACCCTTTTAGACCTCACTGAACAAATCCAGTGCCACCCATAACTGATAGCCCCAGTGATTTTAACAGTGTGTATACATACCATCCTATACGATAGTGTCAGGGGATACTATTCAAGAATACCACTGATAACAACCATACCTCTAAAGAGTCCTATGTAATGGTGGACCCAAAGTATAGCACATGATGTACGGGACAGGACCATGAAATTTGGAATGTCTTGATGAAATCAGAAGGTTGGGGGGCCTGAGTAGGCAAGATATAGCCACCCCTCTAGTTACCACCAGTCGGGTACCATAGGAGCCTGGCCAGGTAAGCAACACAATTTAAAAAAAAAACAAAGCAAATTAAATGTAACATGGCTGAGCAGCACCAAGTGAGCAAGGTCTGTCAGTGCTCTTCAGTCTAACACCAGGAGCTCTAAGTACAGAAAGACAGAACATAATTATAGCGTTATTATGTAAAAAGGGAGCATATGGGGAGAGGGACATAACTGACATGGGAAAAAGGAGACATAAGAGAGATGTAGGGGGAAGGACTCAAGTTGAGGAAGGCAAATGGGGAGAGGAAAACAGGAGGGGGAATGGAAGATATGGGGAGTGGAATGCAAGTGGGGGAAAGGAAGTTATTGGAAAAGAGACACATATGGATGAAGGAAGTATATCGATAGAGGGATACAAATAGAGAAAGGGGAAATATAGAGAGTGGGAAATAAGCTAGGGAACCAATGAATGGGAGATTGGGGAGTCATCTAGGGAAACATTGAAAAGGAGATATCAACCAAATGGAAAGTGAAATGTAAATTTGGGGCTGGTGGCTTTCTTTCATGATGTAATATGTGAGAAATATATTTTATGACTGTGTTTCTATGGAGTTTGGTGGGGGAATAAAACAGCTTGGATCCACAGAGCAGAATGTCATTATTCTATGGAATTGCTGGCACTATATAAATAATAAAATTATAATAAAAAAATAATAATTGCCATGATTTGCTGTGCAGTGGTTAAAGCCGGGCC